ATCAATATTCATCATCTACCTTATCACGATCATCCTTCCAGACTTCATCCCTTCCGACATTTATGGCTCGGGAGGTACCGCCACCAAACAAGTTTCACGTACACTAGAGGTAGGAGCTTGTTCAACGTGCGGTCTCATTCTCACTTACTTTGATAGTATTCATTCGGTGATTTTTCCATCTCGCAAGTTGCAAAGATTCTCAACAAAACGGATGATGTAGTCAAGGTTTGCCATACTCCATGTGTGTGAAACAAGAATGTTAATTTTTGCGATTGTAGTACCAAGCCCGAGCGGGAAATTTCGTCAATGTCTGGAATGATATGGTTATACTTCCCGGGAATTCCTCGATCAAGGGCATGATGCAGGCGAGTCATTCTCACCCGTAACATTGTCAATGCAGCATAAGACTCATTGATTTCCAGCCTCGCTTCGCAGATGGGCAGTGGAATTACACCGACCCTCGTCATTGCAGCGTAAATGATCCTCTCAAATCAACCTGTTATCTCGATGCTACAAACCGCGATGGTTTCTATGAGTCATTTCCCATGGTGGTGTGTATCTTCACTGGACTCTATAAATATTTTTATCTAACAGCCTCTTGCTCTCAGTACTCTCAAGTGTGTATATCACGAATATACCTCTTACTTTCATTGACAGACCATCTCTAGTACGTTCCTCAAGACACAGCCAAGTTGATCTTGCTGCAGGGAGGCAACGAATCATTCATACACCGACTTAACTTGATCTTCGACCAGGTAAACACTTCAACTGCGAATGACGTTTGGAGACTGAATTGCATACAGAATTATTTCGATGTCACAGATGAGCCATCTCAGCAAATTCCTTTCATGTACCACTACGCCAATCGACCTGGCCTCAGTATCCAACGTTCCCGCATGGTAATTTCTGAGTCTTACAACACCACAGTCAGCGGTCTTCCGGGTAATGATGATTCCGGTAAGTCTCGCAAAAGCTTCAGTGGACGTCGTCTAATGCTTGCTCAGGTGCCATGGCCAGCTACGCTGTTTTCTACCTCGTGGGGATGTACCCACTTCCCGCAACACGCCAATTCCTTCTCGCTTCACCCTATTTCCCCAAGGTCACATTCTATAACCCGGTTTTCAATACCACGACGACGATCATTGCCAAGAATTTCAGAGGCAACCCCCAGAGTGGCATTGGCGGAACTGTCTTCGTCAAGGTTTGTCACAGCTCAATCGCGTATTTTTCACCTTTTCTTAATGAGAGCGAACTGCCGCAGAGCGTGACTATCGATGGCCAGCCATGGCATTCAAATTGTTACCTAGACTGGGATGTCTTCGTCAATGGCTCCACCGTCGAACTTGAGCTCACAAGCGATATCAATACCACTTGCGGAGAGGGATCTGACGCTCTGCCTCCCTCCCTTTCGACTGGTGGATACAGTGGATCGATTTAAAAAGAAAATTGAGACCAATTAGAAGGACCACGTTCGTATCCCGGTCCATTGTAATTGCCTTGTGAGAATGAATTTACTTCTAACTTGTTGTATGACCATGTATATAGTCTGTAGCAAGATGAAATTTCACAAGTTATTTCAGCAAACATAGGGATAAGTAGGCATACGATATTAAGATATCGAGACGCAAGTGAATTCACTCGCAAAATTCGTGATAAATTCATAAACAAGTCGTACACGCAAAGGAGTGAAAGATGGCAAGTTCGGATCCTGCATATATAAATCACGATCCGAAGTGAACAGTCTAATGAGTTCCTTAGGGTAAAAAAGCATCGATAGACACGGTAGACCTTGTCCGTACCTGACTCTTCAATCATGCGCCAATCTCGAGATGGTAAACACCGCGATGATCACGACAGCAAGTGCACCGATACTCGCAGGGAGCAACAAATCCTTCGGGATACCCATCACCAGCTGCTCCTGCGGTGGTGTGTATGCCCTTGCAGGGGGAGTCACAACAGGTTCGGGGATTGTTACAGCCTCTGCCTTCTCGACTTCCTTCTCTTCCTCCTTCGCAGCTGCATTCACCTCCGCGGCCTTTGCCTCGCTCTTCTCTGCGCCAGCCTCGATCCAGTGCTTTCCGCCCTGGATGAATAGCACAACCCGATCCGAGCCCGCCGACCGCGCGATCTTCACAGCATCCGCGATATCCGTGTCGCTCGTGATGAGCACTGTGTCCCCATCCGCATCCGTGTACAATAACGTGAAATCTTCAGGGTCGGGTCGCTCGGTGGGTGAACCTGCGAATTCGGTGAAGAACGGGTCCGTTGCAAGCTTGCCTTGCACGATTTCGCGCAACATCTCGACACTATCGTGTCGCGCCTGGAACCGATGGGTGCGCCCACTTGGCGTACGGAATTTGAAGACATACGTTCCATCGTCTATTGGCACACTGGAAGTCGCCCCTGTGATGGCTGGAATTGCACCCTTGCGCTTTCGCGAGTAGCCCTCGAGTCCAGACTCGTGTTCCTCGTCGACCACCGAGGCAGAGTCGTTCGGATGCACTTCGGAGTGGGGGGACTGCTGAAGGCGGGTGATGTTATGCGTAGAGAGGGAAACGCCGTCGGTGGGGACATGCGAACCAGAGACAACGGACTCGGTGTCGTCGTGGCCACCAATAGAGTCGAAGAAACGGCCCCACATTGGTCCGCCTTCGGCTTCCATAGATTCACCAGGATTTTCCGTGCTCATAGCATTCATCTAAGATTGAGTTAGCACAGACAAACCTACGAATAGATTTTGCCCACCTGCTCCAGAGTGGCATATGTGAGCTTCAGAACATCAACGATGGCAACTAACCGTCCGCTACTCTCGACAACAGGCAAGTTCAAATAGTGGCCATCTGGCGGCACCTTCAGCACGGGCAACACCAAAACACTAGAACACTTACCATGCATCTTCTTGAGCGCGTCATGTACGCTCATGGTAGGAGGAGCAGTGTCAGGATGAGGGGTCATCACACGGATAACGCTACATATACCCGCATCCAGACCCGCAGCGATGACCCGCAGGACAATGTCCTTGCTTGTGAAGATACCGGCGATCTTGGTGTAGGAATCACCGACACCTGGCGTATTTTCCATGACACAAACAGCAGTGACACGACGCTCCTTCATCAACTTGGCCACCTCACGGACAGTCGTTTTTGGGGTGACAGTTGCAGGTTGCGTCCGCGAGTCCATGACAGTCGTGAGATCTGGCAATGCAGTTTTCTCGCGGAGAGCGTCGACATAAGCGAGCATAGCAGCAGCCTGTGGGTTAGAAGCCATTCCTGGGCCAAGCTCGGATTGCACGCCCGCAAGAGCAGTGTAGAGTTTCTCGGATGCAGACGAGGAACGCTCGACCTTGTTCAGTGCTTCATGGAAGACCTTGGTGATGTCAAGCAATCCAACGACATTGCCTTCCTCATTACAAACAGGCTAGCATTTGTATTAATATTTGCTAATGTTCAGAGAATCAGGTAAAATCATACCAGGTGACGGAAATGACGTTGAACCATGAGCTGAAGAGCCTCGGTCGCGCTAGTGGTATCCCGGGTGACCATCGGGTTCCGGGTCATGATCTGACTGACCGGGGTGGTATGGGGGTCAAGACCATCAGCAGTAACCTGTAAACTGGTAAGGCTGATCGTCAAGTGGAGAACAGTCGACGACGTGCTCTGTATGCCAGATCCTTAGCGGTAAAAATACCGCTGAGTCCTTCTTCATCATCTACGACAAGGACACAATCCGTCCGTTTTGCTGCACATAGTTGACTGGCCTCTGCGACAGTAATACTATCAGGCACAGTGAGTGCAGGGGTAGGCTTCAGCGCAGCAACCGTGCCTTTCGCAACAGCAGGTTTTGCAGCACGTTTTCCACGACCACCCGCATGATGCGTCGTCGAGATGGTACGTTTTCGGGCAAGCTCCGATTCAATCTTCTTCCGGATGGCCTGTGAAGGAGGGTTAGCGACTGAAACGGCACGGACGGGTGTGCGGCGATGGGATATGGTGTTTGACGCGGAATGGGCACGCCCTTGGTAAAGAGGTGATGAGGAACTCATTGAAGGAGTATGTACACGTGTACAAGAAGCGTACCGACGGGTACCGTAAACAAAACCGCGCGTCCGGAAGCCGAAAAGCGGAAAGAATGCTCACCTCGTCGCGTTTGGACTGTTTTCTCCGCGTGTCAGCGACAGACGGTGAGACACCAGATAAGTTGGACATTGATGCTGATGAAGAGTATTTGGGTGCTGGTGGGACTGGAGAAGGAGCACGATCGTGATGGAGACTCTTGTTAGCGGACGGCGAGTGAGATGACGGGACAGGAATGCGAGACATGAATTGTATTGAGAAACAGTTGAACGACGTTGGCAGCAGTCGCCGTCACTGCGGATTTAGTTTCTTGCCGTTGTCGTCGACGACGTTGCTCGCGCTGCTTGAATCCGTGCCTTCCCAATCTTCCAAGAAAGCAATATTCAGACTTTGCTCATATTTGGTTACAGTGGCAGTGCAGTTATCTCAGCTGGCGCCAGCCCCGACTTACTACGTATTTTCATTCTGCGTTGGCAAATGACTGCGGCTAATATGATATTGCCTATGTGACTCTACTGTCAACGCACGACGTTCTCCGACTCATAGACGTCCATCTTGACCAGCCTTAACCAAGTAGTAAGAAATCTGTTTGAAGCTTTGTTCTTTCAAACATTCACTAGCACTCATGGATGGATCGTTCAAGGTCTATCTCAAGTATTCGTGACCAACTGGCACCAGAGTCAAGTTTCGAACAAGCGCGAAGACGGCCTGGAACACAACTAACACAGAATAAATCAATGACAGCCCGATAGCAGCTAAGGAATGCCCGAACTTTGTCAATGTAGCAGTCATCGTCGCCATAGCTGGTCCCGTCGAAATGTTCAACTTTGGTTCAGGTTGGGGCAAGGTCACTGTGGCAGTGCAGTCATAATGATGTACAGCTGGGGCCTGGGATTCTCTTCGATCACCGACGCGCTCTATGATAGGTCAGAGCCTCTTCTTCTGCAGCACCTTTGGTCCCTTTCCCTGCTGTCTGAGCGTATATAAGTAGTAGACTCCACCAACAACCAAAATTGCAGCGAAGTTTGCTGGTAAAAGTAAATCAGTTGCATGCTGAGAACATTACTGCAAGGGACCATGACCCACCAAAAACGAGCCCAAATACTCCCTGGAACAACTCCAGCACCAGAGTAGTGATGCTCTGTCCCAGCTTCAGTATACTCTCAATCGTGCTTTGAACAAGCGCAGAGACGGCTTGGAAGACGGCGAGCACAGAATACAGCAACGACATCCCAATAGCAGCCAAGGACTGGCCAAAGTTCATCAACACAGCAATAATCGTCGCCATGAGTAGCTCGTGATGGTCAAGTTACAATTAGATTGACTTTGCTGTGAACCCCTTTTTATTCACTGGAGCAGTGGTCATCGACGTCATTGGAGCCTGGCCAGAAGCATTCGAGCAATAATATCTATCTTTATACGTTAGTGCAAAAAAGATGATAGAGAGCCATTGCATATGTGCAGTAACTGAGAAATGCCTCGGCGAGCTACCACATGTCCTTTCCCAAAAACCCAACATTTCTCATCCACGTTCACATCCTCATCATTAATCCCTCCTGGCAGCAGCAGGTTCAACGACGGCACTGCCGCCCCACCTGACAACCAGCTCCCGCGCGCGCATCCACACTTGACCCACCACTGGTGGAACCGAAGGGTGGTTCGAGAGATCCGTAATACGTTTGTCCGCAAGCGTAATGGCATCACGTGTGAACTGCGAATGGAAGTAACGCTGATGGAGGAAGTTGGCGTAGACCAGCGGCATCATGAGCGAGTTGCGGAGTAAAAGGGCGCCAAAGAGAACGCGCGCGAAGATGACGAGTTCGGTGATGGCCACGATGCGCATGGCAGTGTCGTAGTTAGCTGGATTACGTGTCACTCGCAAAGTTGGTTGACAAAATGAACTTGGGATCATACCTTTGACCCAAAGGTGGAGCTTCTTCGCCAGGGGATGAGGTTGAGGTGGTCCTCCAGCCGCGAGCGGTGGACCAGGAGGCAAGAATTGAGGCATCAAGGTCGTACGAGTGAACGTCAGTGCATGGAAGAGGGAAAACACAAAGTAAGGAAGCAATGCAACTACGCTTTATTAGTACTTATACTAACTCCAACGATAAAACTCACTGGTGACCGGCCTGGAAGTCCACCAGAAGATAGCCAACAAAAAGTATTGCACGTTCTGCGTCCACCGGTTATCCTCAGGAGGTCAAAAGGGTCAATTAGATAACTTACCTCATCTGCGAGAGCCCTTCTGACATACGCCATGTTCGGCTGGGGAGACTACAGCCATGCCTTAGAAAAACACGTTGTACATGTATTACATCATGAACTCACCCCAAGCGCCTTTCTGAAACACGCAGCATCGACATCAACACGCGATCATCACGTTGGTTGGCACGCCGAAAGCACTCACTGGCAAACAATGAAATAGGACATTAGGGCGCCAAGGAAGCTAGCTGCAAGAATGGTAGGGGGGTTGGTAAGAATGAACCTTCGGGAGGTTGAGCAATGGGCTGCGCACCCTTGTACCACCAGGATGAGACGCTCTTGAACATAATCCATGCTAAAAGATAACGGAACCCTGAGAGAAGGAGTAAGAAGTGTCCACCCGCCCAGAGATAGTGCTATTGTGTTTGGATGGCGAGTGAAACAATGTAAGCAAAGTGCGACAACCCAACACCGTCAGAACAGTTTTTCACGAAATGAGAAGACTGACCTGCGTAGTTGCCATTATACTTGAGGTAGATCACTGAGTGAGTGAAAGAAGTGGTTGAAGAAGAAATTTTGAGCTGGCAGTAAATGTGTGACCGGAGATGTCAGGCTTAGGCCTGGTGTTCAATTTAGGGCAGGCGCACGCAGGTACTCCTTTACACAATGTAGGCGCTTATGGGTGCTCCCGGTTTCCGGTTCCGCAGCAACACTACTTGCACCTGCTGTGTCCCGATGGCTGCCAATGCATAAAAAAACAGTAGTAGTAGACATAATAGTGTCGTTAAGAACCCTAAAAAATCACCCGCTCCACTGCTGTCCTGACGCTTTCGCTCTCTTCCGTTCCTTTCCTTTCCGATACATCTCCTTTTCGACTGCTTTCTTGCCCAAAGTCTCGACCCGCCGTTCTTTCTCCTTCCTCCGCGGCTTGTTTCGCTGGGACTCCTCCTCCATAACCTCATCTCCGCTTTCAGCACCACCACCCAGCGGCATGTCCTCCCATTCCTCGTCATCTGCATCCACCTCATTTCTCCGCCGCTTGCTACCAGTAGTAGTAGGCTTCCCCCCACCAATATTGACATTTATGCGTGGGGGCACAGCGAACCCGAACGCCTTTCCCACCTTTGCAAGGTCCAGTGCATTAATGTCAAATATCTTCTTCAGCGAATACGATGCATATGCTTGCAGATACGACCGGAAACCATCCCTTGCCGACTGGTGTAAAAAGTAGTTTTTCTGCAGAAGCTTCTCCAGCTATATACAGATATGATCAATTCATTCATATCGCAAGGCGTATGAGCGCCTACCTGACTCTGCACATTCGCAATCCGGTCCGTGGGGAACGTAAATTCATTCAGCGGAACCTTTGCTTCCTTGAGGTACCGCAGGAAGCCAAGTTCACTCTCTAGCAGGAACATCAAGCTCTTCCCGACCTTACCAGCACGCGCCGTTCGACCCACACGGTGGATGTAGTCCCGTGGGTCGTCTGGGGGATCAAATTGGACAATCCAGTCTACCCGCGGAATATCGAGGCCGCGGGCTGCGACATCCGTACACAGTAAGATTCCAGACTCGGCATTTATGAACTCGAAGAACGTGTTTGTCCGTTTTTGTTGTTTCTGTTTACCCTGTGATGTACTGCATCAGCTTGTGATGGGGAGATATAGATGGATTAGAGCATACATGTAAATCGAGCACAGGCACGTCGATGTAATTTAATAACTCGCCGTGGTATTTGACGGAATTGCAACTCGAGAAGAACACGATGACTTTCTTCTTCGAGTTCTTTCTGAGGAAAGTGAAGAGAAGGAGGAAACGGCGATCAGAGGGACAAACAACATATCCTTGTGAAAGTGTTGAGACGGTGCTTGTTGCCTCTTCTTTGTCGACATCAACGTGCAGAGGCCCGGGACGAAGGGATATCCGCGCAAGGTCTTGAACTTTTGTAGTTTGAGTGGCTGAGAAGAGCATGGACTGTCGGTCATCTATGCTGCAATTCAGCTCCTTGCAAAGGGGTAGAGTGTTAAAAGACCGAACCATTTGGAAGAATTTTTATTATCTTTTTCATTTCCTCCTCGAAACCGATTTCCAGTATTCGATCTGCCTCGTCTATCACCAAGGCTTTAAGATTTCGGAAAACGAACCCTTTTGTGTTCTACAGAAACAAAGTTAATACACCAGTGTGATGTCTGCGAGGTTTTGAGGACGTACCTCGAGGTGATCCAGCAGCCGACCAGGGGTCGCAACAATCAAATTAACACCTTTCTCCAACTTCTCCGCCTCGGCCCTCCTATTTGCGCCGCCGATAACAATACCAAAGGTCTGTGAATGATGCGCCATGAGATCTTTTGCGACCCCGAATATTTGCAGCGCCAGTTCTCGTGTGGGAGAAACGATAATAATTCCAGTACCTATCACAAACGATTATTCAGCTCCTTCATAGGATAAAGTGAACGCGAAGCATACCATTCCTAGGTTTGAACTTCATCCTATGCAGGAGCTCAATCGCAGGTATGAGGAATGCAAGTGTCTTTCCTGATCCTGTACGTGCAGCGCCTAGGACATCTTTTCCTGCGAGGAGAGGGGGTATAGCTTTGGCTTGTACGGGGGTCATTGTGGTGAAGCCCATATCTGCGAGGGCTTTGTTTGTTGGCTCTGAGAGCTCAAGTGACGAGAACGGTTCGCGGCCAGAGACATCTTGCTGAGGGTCCGCAGATGGTGCGGTAGAGTCCCCTGCCATAGCTATGATTCGCTAATATCAGTGAATATATGTTCAAAAGTTTGAGTATGATAGATTTGTTGGATCGACAAAGAGGAAGAGACCTATAACTTGCAAGCGACGAATCGTTATGTGCAGTCGATCAAAGATTTCAAAAAAGCTACTCTCGGCAAACTCCGACTACCCTTATATCAATGTCTCCGTCAGGTAAGTAATTGGGCACAAGACATTGGAACATCTCGACTTAGCGCATCATTATACAGCACTATCACATGTGGTGGTCGCAGGAGCTGCCCTGGGGTTGGGCTACTATCTTGGGTCACGAATAGGCCCTCAGGACGCTGCTGTACCTGCCACTCAACCTATACCACCGTCGGAGCCAAAGGATAAAGAACCACCCAAGGCCGAACCAGAGGTAGATAGTGAAGAAGAAGATGATGCGCTTGCAGATGGAGATCTTGGTGCGGTCAAGGCAGGATTCATGCAACCTTGCAAATTGGTATGAGCTAGCATTTAACCGAAACTTCACTTGCTGACTTCGACCTCCGAAGGTCTTAGTCGTGCGAACAGACCTCAAGATGACCACTGGGAAAATAGCTGCACAGTAAGTACTACACGTCTGTTCTCAGGTCAATTGAGAATGACTATTTAGGTGTGGGTAAGTACTTATGATGTGACGGGGGGCAGACTATATTGAATGGTGCGACGACTTCCAGACACGCAACACTAGCATGCTACAAGGCATTATCGAGGACAAACCCTGCGGTATGCTTCAACTGCTTATTCTTCCAATCTGGTCATTGAGCTGTCTATAGCTCGTACAACATTGGGAGAGGACTGGGTATGTGCTGAAAAAACTCATTTGCCTTTCACTCGTTGAACACCGCGACCCAGCCAAGCTAAAATTGCTCTCAAATCCTCGTCAGAGGACGAGCTACTCGAACTCGAAGCAGTTGCTAAGAGCCTCAATCTCTGCGCTCGATCAATACTAGACGCGTAAGTATTCCTTTCGAACATACATCACCATGCGTTCCGCTGATCCTTTCTCTCAATGTAGTGGTCGTACACAGATCGCGGCAGGTTCCCGCACTGTTCTTGGTATTGGTCCTGGTAGGGCAAGTCGCTTGTCATGGTAATCAGACTGAGATTCTTTGCAGCACCCGTAGATCTCATCAATCAGGTGACAGGCCACCTGAAGCTCTTGTAGTTCCGGTGGGCTTCTTATCTACATGCTGTGCAAGATGACGATGCCAATTGTACATCTGCGTCATCCAGTCAGCCATTTTAATGCGAGGATAGTGCAGTGTGATTGGTACAAATGAGTAGTTCGTGTGCATGCCGTCTATGCTTCGTAAGTCTAGGTTGTGCATCTAGGTTGTGGAGGCTTCCTTCCCCCTTCTTACCGCTCATAGTACGGCACCGCTCGTTCCCATCCCGCTGTTTCGAAGGCGTCTCTGAAATGGCCAGTCTGCGTCTATTTTTAGTGCAGCAAGGGACTTCTCGGTTCACATTTGGGACCTCAAGACCAATCAGCCAGTTGGAGACTCACTCTTGCATGTCAATGAACTCTCGACTGTTGACATATCCCCTGATAGAAAGTACATTGCAAGTGCTGGAGAAGACACGAAAGTCTACATATGGAGCATGGGGGTGGTGCTCAAATAGCAGGGTGTTGATTATATGGGTATGTCTATGTTGTCAGTGTCTTCTTCTAAGTAGATTTGGTTGTCAACACGTGCTTCCCTTTCGCGCTGTCTCTCACTTCTTTACCAGGGACGTGCAGCCTGACCAGGAGATGCGCGTCAGTCTGTTGTGAACAACCTTATACTTTGCTTATTCGTCTTGTATTCGTTCAATTTTTGATGCCCATGGTCTCCAAGCAGCAGCCCAATAACAGAGGCTTGGCAAGATATGTCCGTATGGTTTTCGTTCCTGGGTTCGTCAAGCTATTCTTACACTAATGTAGGGTGATGACTTCTGGGGTATCAATACAAACTACACACATCATACAGCTCTTCCTGTGAGCTCATCATTTCCCCTTCATTGGCACAGTTCGCCAGGTTCCCTGCGTTTCACCATTCCATCTGCAAATGCATCATAATCAATCTTGCCACGTAAGTCCCAGCGTTGGAATTTCAGCCTGTTTCTTGTGGGACCATCCCGACACACTATTGATGTAACTCCTGCTCGCGAAGAAGATGTAAGTGACAACTCGCCATTGCTTCTATTTAATGTCATTGAAGTCGATACGTTTGCAGAGATACATCATTGCCCCTCCCACCGAGCCAGAAGTGGCTGCAGCTATGCAACGTACGGGTGGCAATGAGGCTGACAGTTCAATGCAACAAGATCATCCTGCACCTGGAATGCAAGCACGATCAACAGAAATACAAGGCTCAAGTGGTGGTACGGGTTAATTTTCTTGTGAAGTTAGGTGCTGCGTATTATTCTTTAGTTGTGGTCGTCCCAGATCGCATCAGTTGCGAGGCTTTTTTTATATACCTCACAGTGGGATCCGTTTGGGTCATAGACCCTATGTTGGCTATACAGTACACATCTGGTTTGCCCAACGACGAAGAGCATAAAGTCGCAAGCAACCCCGTCGAGGCTATCACAAGTCAGTAATAGGCACCAGAATTCAAGCATTTCTATACATATTACAGATTCGGACAAGGCACCCATGAAAAAGCCTGGCTTAAGATCCCTGCAAATCCTCTGGTCTATTTAGCAATATTCCCTGCATTCCACCTTCAATCATCACGACTTGACCAGTGACATGACCGGAGAAAGTGGATGATGTAAGGACCACAATCTGTGTTGCGACGTCGATCGGCATGGCCACCTTCTTAAGCGGAGTCCTGTGGTGGCACGAAAATCAACGTGGATCATGGTTCATGATGGTATCACCAACGTAGCCAAATCACGACACACTATTTGAAAATCATTCAAGGCTTCTTCAGCCATGAGTGTCTTGACCCAGCCAGGCGCAATACAGTTGACTCTGCCTTTGGGGGCTATCTTCACGATTTCATTCTTGAGAGTAAAGTTCAAACCGTACATCATTGCTATAACATGATGAGTCTATGTGAAACTGCGGGCAGAGTCGTTACTGACCGCTCTTCGTCGCAGCGTAGTCCCCACGATTGGGTTCGCCAAACTTCCCAGAGGTACTTCCAATAAGCACAATCGCCGCCTTCTCCTTGATAGTAGAAGGTGCACATTCAAGGTGCTTCAAATACTCTCTGCACACCAGGAATAATGACGTCAAGTTCGTAGTCATGGTGGTGTTCCATTGGTCCAGCGTCATCCTTGCGATTGGAACTTCTGAAATTGGAAATATAGCGTGGTTGACGATCACCACTTGTACGGAGCCGTGAGGCATAGCAGCCAACGACTCGAACATAGCCACCACGGCCTCCTCTTGAGACAGATTCGCCTGGACATGTTGAAGATTGGTGTTCGATGCCAGAAGCTCCTGAATCGGACCAAATTTGGAGTTATAATGTGCGGTCGCTTTCGCGCCGGCGGCCCAATGCTGGATGTCTGAGTCAACTCAATAGCCATCACTTGAGAGCAAATTGCTTACCACAAAACAATTTCACTGTCTCTAGCCCGATGCCACCACTTGCCCCTGCTCGAGTACCGTCAAGTCAGCAGTGCAATAGGATAACGTAGAATACAACCTGTAACAACGACATGCACTCCTTGCAATCCAGGATCCATGACGTGCTGTAGTGGTCAGTGATGCTGAACGTTAACCAAATGATAACACATGATATATCGATTCAGTAGTCAATTGAAATATCGAGGCGTGAAAAAATTCAATAGTACTCATGTATCTAGCTGGTGCCATTGGACAGGCGACCATCCATTATGAATAGCGTGTGGGCATTGGGCGCTTCAATCGTGTACGTCGCTGACATAAGCATTATCCCGATTACCGGTCGGTCACTCTATTCCTTTTGAAGGCAGGCCCTAGCCTCTGACCATTAGTTTCAGTTTCAGTTTCAGGCAGACCGCCGATGCCGACCACTACGACGATTGTCTCGACGTCGGACATGCTGTCTCATAAAACGCCCAGCAAAGGCTCGTCGTCGACGGAGGCAACGTTACAGTCACTGTACAACCGTGCAGCGAGAGCATTCCTTCACCGCGACGTTACAATCACATTCACCTTGTTAAGCGCTGCATTCGCACTGCTCCCACCTCCCCTTGCGCCCTTACCTGATCCCCTAGATGTACACCGGAGAAAGTGGGATATCCTTCGCATCACCCTCGAGACCACCGTCTTCTCTTCTACTCCAGACATCGCTGATTTACCGCAACCACTCCGAGAATTCCTACTCTTATCTCCCCAATCATTTATTTCCACTTTGTATGCTCGATCTCTCGCTTTATTTACTCCTTCATCTCTGTGTCGAAAACCTAGCTCCGCATTCCTTCCGCACCAAGTCCTCATCACACTCGTCGCATCCAGTATCAAGATAGATTGCATAAGTGTTGGTCGTGAGATGACAGAGGATTGGTTATCAAAACGCGGTCAATATGACTTCGTACCTTCCACAGGTGAACCATATTACAGGGTACTAGAACTCTACTGCTTGCATGTCCTGCCTCGTTTGGGCGAGCGGGAATATGTCAAAGAATTCTTGTCCTACGAGAATGAACTCTCGTCTGACAAAAAACGCGTGAGTTTAATTTCATAATTCTTGTGTCGTACTGAACACGATATATTGATAGGAACTTCATTTGGCCCTCGATGCTCAACATGCTCACACGCTAGAGAGTATAAGACGGGAGACGCCAAAACCCGAGACTACTCCCTCTCCTACACCAATACCTCCACTCCGCTCTTTATCCCCAGCCTCTTCCTCTTCCTCTCTATCCACCACGTCCACCCGCACTGCCGTTCCAGCATCCCCACGTCCAAAACTTACCCGCCAACAATCCACCACTTCCACATCAGCAGTTTCAGACTCTACCGTAACCAAATCCCCTCGCCACCGCTACAACCAAAGCATGCCTCGAGGAAGTTCGAGTGCCAGTGGCGTTCGCACCCCCCGCATTCTGCCAGTCGACCACAGTCTCGCCACTGCACAACCCCCAACCTCCCTAGCACTCCTCCGATATTATTTCAACCACTATTTCACCGCAAACAGAATCGCCACTCTATTGGTTTTGTTCTTCCTAATCCCCTTCATGTCTTTGATCCTCCGGAGGCGGCGGCGCTTGGAGACACCTGCGGACTTGGTACGGAGGAGGTTATTGGAAGCCCGTGGCGATTCCTTTGCGAGAAGGTTGTGGAATGAGTTGGTGAGAGCGGTTTTGGATACTGTCAGGATGGGTGGTGGGGGACTTGTGTAACTTACGGTGCGCCTGCTTAGTATCAGTCTTCCTAGCCAGATCAAGTGGAAGGATATTGGTGCCGAATCATACGCCTCATTGAGCTGTTTATAGCTCGTACAACATTGGGAAAGGACTGGGTATGTGCTGAAAAAACTCACTCACCTTTCACTCGTTGAATACTGTGACCCAGCCAAAATTGCTCTCAAATCCTCGGCAGAGGACGAGCTCCTTGAACTCGAAGTAGCTGCCAAGATTATTAATCTCTGCGCTCGATCAATACTGGTCGCGTAAGTATGCCTTTCGAACATAATCACCATGCGTATCCGTTGATCCTTTCGCTCAATGTAGTGGTCGTACACAGATCGCAGCAGGTTCTCGCACTGTCTGGTATGGTCCTGGTAGGGCAAGTCGCTCGTCATGGTAATCTGAGATTATTTGCAGCACCCGTAGATCTCACTAATCAGGTGACAGGCCATCTGAAGCTCTCGTATTTCCGATGGGCTTCTTATTTACATGCTGTACAAGATGGCAATGCCAATTGTACACCTGCGTCACCCAGTCAATCGTTTTAATGTGAGGATAGTGCAGTGTGATATGGTACAAATGAGTAGTCCGTGTGCATGCCGTCTATGCTTCGTAAGTCTAGGTTGTGGAGGTTTCCTTCCCCCTTTTCACTGCTCATAGTACGTCTCCGCTCGTACCCGTCCCGCCGTTTCCTGCGTTGTCTATAAAGGCACAAACCATGTCAGATCTGTGCCGCTGGCCAAGATATCGTGGAGCTTACTTGAGCCAATGTTGATGAGACTGCCAGGGACACCGCTGACCGAGCCACCTGGTGCTAATCCGCCCGTTCCAGTGGACACGTTCCCTGCGGGGACGCCCTTGAACTTTGATGTTCTAAACTTTTTTGACCCAACCCTTTGGATGGGTGCCGAACCTGAACTTCCTACCCCTCCTGCTCCAGCGTTGTCTAGGTAGTGGGTCAGATGGTGGAATGCATGGGTAAGCATCTCCCTTACTTGATCCGATGTTTACGATGCTGTCACCACCTAGTAAACACTCCAACCCCAACGACAAGCCCGAGGAGTTTGTGCAGTTTGTGCTTGCACCGTTGACCGAGCCGCCAGGTGCTACCCCGCCTGTGCCAGTCATGACGTTACCGATTGCATTGCGTGGTGTGGTTCTGCGAGGTGGTAGGGCTCTGACGCCGGCGGTGAGAGCGGTGAGAGCGATAATGGTATTGTAGAAATGCATGATGGTTAGGGGCGGGAGGTGGAAGGTAAGATGATGAGCGGGAAAAGGTGGTAGAGGTTGGCGGTCAAGAAGGGATTGGCGAAATGTAATGTATAAGGCGGGTATTTATGGGTCTGCGCGGGCGGTTGACCAAAACAAACAAGTGGCTAACAGACGCGTTTCGGTCACGTGATTTGATTTCTGAGCCTAGAAAATGTCACAGCCACCCGTTCATCTGTCAAGAAAAGGGAAATTTCTGGAACACAATTTGAATTGCGTCACAGTCCCGTTGTCGCTCTTAAGTGAACAAAAATGAGTGGAGAAAGCACCACCGTCGACCTTACTTAGACCACTACACATCCAAGTTTTCGTTCATCCCAGCACTCCCTCCTATTTTCTCGTATGGCCACTCTCACTATCGCCCGTGCCTATCAGCATGCATACCACACTTACCCAAATTACACTCTCGCTGTCACCGGCGGAACCTTGAATGCTCTTGGTGACATTGTTGCCCAGATTTCGCAGAACATTGTGGGTACCCTCGGTTTTCAATGTCATTCTTCTGCAACTCACGGACCCTTAGCTCGTTAAAGATCACGAGCCCAGACCCGGTTGGGATCCCGCACGTACACTGCGTTTCTTTTGTCTTGGAAGCGGCATGAGTAAGTCATGCAACCTGATTATCTGAGTAAACCTTGAATCCTCTGCTTGCGAGGCCCTCTACTCGGGAGGTGGAATTTATTCCTAGAGAGACGATTTCCTCTCCGAGCATGGAGAATCCAACCTATCAGCTTCAGAGCTCTTTCAAAACGTGTGGCTGCCGACCAACTAATAATGTGAGACTTTCATTATTTGATACTGTTGTAGACTGACACCTTGGTCCCTAGGGCACCGATTGGGGTAAGAATCAGATCCTAAATCGCTACTTTGAACGTGGGACTCATGCGTACTCTAGCTCGTGATGTTTATAGGCTCTATGGGTGTGATGGAATGTCGAAGTCCCAGGCAAATACACGCAAAATATACTGACATGTTTGCTCCCGCTCTTCTGACCAACTGGAAGATTTGGCCTATAGCACAAGTAAGTTCAAGTACACTAGTAACTGTTTGTTGATATTAAACTCAATTTCTCATAGATGATCAATTTCCGATACATGCCACTGCCATATAGAATACCTTTCCAGTCCACCTGTGGTGTCTTTTGGACGTTGTACTTGTCCATATTGAATGCCAAGTGAGTAGCCACAATTTATGCACGTCCGATACTTCTATTGGTAACTCTAACTTCGCAGGGAGGACGAAAGGCAAGATAGAGAGGCAGCACTGCAAGCAACAGTTCACTAGACGACTGTTTTTTCTTCCTCCAAACTGGTCATCGGTAGACCCCGGGTAATATCATATTCACATTGTAGCTCATAGATCTCATTTGCCGTTTTTATATCTAACCCCGTTGCTGTCTTTACTTGCTCCTTGTTATACTTCATTGAGACGCCTTTACACGTAGTCACACGCGTTCCAATGCTATCCATTGTATATTGCAGCATATCCCGCTTAGGGTAAATTTTGGGGTACAAGCGTCGCCAGATGTACTAGATTTTTAAGTCTGCCCGTATTTCGGCTTGAAGAACGCAGGGGGCAATTTTGATAACACGTCTGCCAGCGGCCGTTCCACCAACACCAGCTCCCCAGGCCCAAGGAAATCGAGTGCCAAGATGGGGCGATAATTTGTCACCATCCGCAACTTCCTCTCACTAGCCATCTCTCCTACTGCAACCGGGCCGGTCTGCCTGCGGCGTTTCCGTGACTGGCCAGTGTACTTGCCTTCCCAGTCCAATTCAAGCTTGCAAAGCCACGAGGACCCCCAAAAGATAGCCTCTTTGGGCTTCGTTGAGGGAGGCGCGATACCCGTCATTTCGTCGTCCGATGAAGAAGGAAGGGGTTCAAACGCGACTCCGATGACTGGATCTGGGGCGCTGAGGAACTGCTTTGGAAGACGAGAATTGAACTCCCGACCCCATGATGGCACTTCACCGTGTTCTACGTGGAAAATGTGGATCGTATTGTTGGGAAGAACGGCAAGGAGTATTTGCGGGTTTTCGGGGAGGAAAACTAGGACGCTGGGTGGGAGAGGAAGTGATGGCAAAGTAGTATGGTGCTGGCACAAATTAGCTCTGCACTACATCTTGGCGATAAATACTCACTTGTATGGAATCGAGATTGAAGATAAATATTCGGCAGAGGTCGTCGGATGTCGCTAACCACTGGCCGTCGGGACTCACTGCCATCTTCATGATAGCGACGGAATCTATACCACCAACCGACTGTTCGTCCTCGTCTGAGGTCCCTTTGTTAATTCCCCGCACCACTCTACCGCTTGTGATTGATCCAGCATTGCAATGTTGATTGAATGTCCGAAGTATGGTGGAAGCTTCCGAGCTGAGATCGATAACGAGGATGAGCGACGTTATTGCAGAGGCCATGATCAATTTCGACGAGTCTGGAGTGAATGTAAACGATGATCCACCGGTTGTGACAGAATTCTGAGAGCTTTGTGCAGTGATTCGACTCTCTAATATTGATGCGAATGTCCGCACCCGGCTCGATTTGAGGAGGCCGGCAGGCTGAAGTAAGATAAATCAGGAAAACATCTAGAAGGTTAATTTCTCCACTGCTCACATTGAAGCTGAGCTCGAAAAGCTTGGTCTCGTACAGGTCAGACACGACAAGCCAACGCCCATCATCGGATAACGCGCTGGCGATAAGATTTGTGCGCACGTTGAGATCCATCTCGAGCACTTTTTCCCAAGAAGTTCGTGTTTCAGGATCAGTCGATGGATCAACGCCATCCACGATCACATCCGAGTCTGGGATGCCTAGAACTCGCCATATATTGACGCCTGTCTCGTGCATGCTTGCCACAAGGCGCGCTCTGCGAGAGACACACATTGATGCGGTGTATGCGATGCGACGATAGTATGAATCTTCGAAAGTCGTAGTGACTCTTGTTGTGAGAGGGTTGACAACGCGAGGGGCAATGGAAGATGAAGTCATGCTGGCTGGCAGCGCGGGAGTGAGGGCAATAGACATGTCCAGTCCTCCAGAAGCTAGGACCGGTGCGATGTATGTCGCATTTGCAGAGGGCTTTCGCTTGTAAGAAGGGGGTATGGGGGAGTAAGGTGGCCAAACTGCAAGACAACGAACGTCGTGTGAGTGCACACGACGTGAGCCAGACTGAATCCATCGTGCTGGGGTGGAGGACAACACAGAAGAAGCTTCTGGAGCGGTGGGAACATATGAGAAGAGCACAATTTTTTGGTCGACGCCAGAGCTGAATACGGATGTGCCTTCCTGGAATGCGGTACATTTAGTCACAGGAGAATATCATATTGGAGGACTTACGGGACCAATTGCAAGGCAAAGCACGTCAGCTCCGTGCGCCGGGTAGCTGCAGGTTTGCGTGCAAGTCATGGAATCCCAGAACTTCACCGTACCTAAAGAATCCCCAGAAACAATGGTCCCATCGCTGTGTTAAATTGGTTAGATCGAAAAACTGAAGTATTTTGCACGTGCACTCACGCAAGCACGCCAACTGTCCAGACAAGTGTCCGTTCACCTTTCATTTTGTCTGTCCCCATGCGGTCAGTCGATCTGCCAGTAGCGATATCCCATTTCCGTAAGCTGCTATCTGAGCCACCCGTGACGAGCCATGTGTCGATCCACTCGTCTTCATCGTCATCGCTGTCTTCATCACTATCCGTTCCACTGTCAGTCTTCTTCGCCGTCCGTTGTTTTGGCGGCCGAGGTGTTGGCGGGCCCCAAGCAATGCTCAGTATGCGACTTTTTATGCGATCGAATCGCCTGTGATGCTGCAAAGTATCCGCAACTAAGGATAGCAAGCGAACAGACCCGTCTTCACAACCCAGGGCAAGTAGTGTCGAGGCAGGATTAGCTGCAATGCTCCAGATGGCACCTCCCTGGGAACTAATGGTTCTCTATAGTCCAATATGAGTTCGGTGCGAACTATACAAGTAAGAGCATCGTACGCGAACACAGCTGCGAGATATGTCCCATTCCAGCAATTCAGACCCACCACCTGAGCTGAAGAGACGAAGATCAGAGCACGATGGTACGGTGTCCGATGGAAATATGTCCGGATAGCGCAAAGTAAAGGCTAGCGAATCTACTTTTGATGGGCATGGACCTGGAAGAGTCTAATGCAACTTCAATTGTTGTGTCAAATAGCAATGCAAAGTGTTCACCTTGCGCACTTGCCAGGCTTGGGATGCCTGGATCTCTCCCTCCTCTGCAGTCCATTCGAGAAGGTCGATGTTGCCATTGGCATGGCCGACACCAAGTGTGCCGAATTTATCTTTTGAATCCCTTTCCCGCTTCTTACCTTTGAGAGATGGCAATGGTAGCGGAGGAAACGCGAGAGCCGTAATCGGCGATGGCGTATAGTCAACAAACCTACAACGATGGACAGCAACAGGTCTTGACATGGCGCGAGTTTCAGTCTTCCTTCTATCAAGGTCTGGCTCTCCTACGCATTTTTCTTCATTGCCTTTCTTGGACGCGTCCTTTCAACCACGTGGTCACGCTTCATATTTTGCTCCTTACATCTTCGAGACTTACTTGGACTTCCGCGTCCTCCAAAATTCTTGCTTTCGATTTCACTCCGCTTCGAACGTTCTTTGCTAACATGTCTTTCCTTGGTCGTGGTGGTCCGTCACCAGCCGGTGGTGTCAACCATGAGCGCATTGAAATGGCCATAAACGAGTGCGTCGGCTCCCATTTCACCTAAACCGTTGCAGCTAACTCTCAGGCCATAGAATTGACATGGTTTCAGACGTATTTAACCGTATTGTTTCGTCCGTGACAGTTTTTCACAATTTCTGTGACCTTGACTTATTTTATGTGTGGTGTAGTTCATGTCATGCCAAGTGTATCAGTCCTCGCTATGCCGAAGGAGACCTCAACAAGGGCGAGAGTGTCTGCATTGATAGATGTGTGGCAAAGTTCTTCGAAGTTAACAAGAAGGTCGGAGAAAAGATGCAGAGCGCAGGTGCAAGTGCACAGGCCACGGGGTCAACGAGCTTCTCGTTATGAGAGTGACCGTGCGAGGACATTTATATGGATAGTTATGATGTGAGTCAGTCGCTTGACCTTTTCTTTCTCACCTCGCTTACTCTTTTTCTTCAGAGCTTCGACTTGTTCTACAACGTAATGCATTGGTGCACAACCACTCATCCCAACATATTAGACAAACATGTATCGGACGCATCCTACTTGGTAAAGTTCGGGAAACATTCTGCCAATGTTTTTGAGTGCTTGTTCTGGGCGTGCTCCTCTAGTCTGCAATGCAACTATCAGTACAAAGCGCTTCTTCCACATTCTCATTTGATTAAAAAGGACACTTACGCTGGTGCGCGTGTGGTGAGCAGCTGAGATGATGGAATCGATTAGAATGATCTAGACAGAATCTACTGACTAACGACTCACGAAGGCCTGTCTGCAAGTCTGGCAAATAATGTTCTTCGCCGCTTCATTAACCTTCGACCTACTTGTAGGGCCTTTGTCTGCATTTTTTGCAGCATTGCGTTCACGCTTTTGTGCAGCTTTGGCGCCCTGGAGGAGGCTTGTTAGTGGACTAAAATCACCCATTCCTGTGAACTGAAGATAACCCACGTTCCCCATGATTAAGCTAAGATACTGAAAAAAACGGAGACCGAGAGCTAGTACAGAGAGCTAGGGAGATCGGAGCTGGTATAACTGCGAGTGCTCAACAACGTTGCACAGGATGAACACATGTTTTACGTAATTCGTGTTATGGGCTTTCGTAGTCAGCCAATGATTATCTTGGTACTTGTTCAGAATCATATTTGCAACAGCCTGAGATGCTCAGATACCAATCATCAACTGACCTATAAACTTGGCTTCGCACCAGTGTTTGTAAGCGGAGTCCCGCGATATCAAGCAAAGTGCGGATAACAGTTTTCGACCAAGGGATCACTGCAACCAAGCTCGAGTCATTCTTGACTAAACCTGACATGAGAATACTGTCCAATGTGCGACATTCTTGGAATCATATCCGTCACTTCTCTTCTCGCATACCACAGCCTCACTTCAAGATGGATTCTAAACTCGCGTCGATCATTGAGCAGGTCAAAGTAGACATCATCACTCCTACTCAACAGCGTGACAATGCGAGACAACTGGAAGAAGTTTCTAGGAATTTTATATGTGAGTTCAAATGAAAAGTAGGAATTTCATCTGGCTGAAGAAATGGTAGCCGATACTATCACAGGTGTGTTCTCCATTTGTATTGCAAAGTGCTTGAACAGGACATCGTTCAGTGCCCACGAAGGAGATGTTCACATACGCTGTACAGACTTCACTCGGTGACGACGTCTACAACGAGCCATCTACGATTGCCCTTGAGTCACACATTGCTAAGCTCACAGGGAAGGAAGCTGCTCTCTTTGTAAGCAGTGGGACCATGGGTAACCAACTTGCTATCCGCACGCATCTCCAGCAGCCTCCCAATTCCATCATTTGTGATGTTCGGGCGCATATCAATAAGTTCGGGCTATTGCTCCATCCATCGTGACATGGCGGCTGACTTTCCCTAGGTACGAGGCTGGTGGCGCGGCAATCCACTCAGGTGCTCTCCAGAACGCTTTGACACCTAAAAATGGCATGCAGATGATTATGCGGTCGCACACTCTATTATTAACATCCACGCAGGACACCATTTGACTCTGAAGGATATTGAACCTCATGTAGTGTTCGGCACTGACGTACACAGGTATGGAGGTTCCGCATTTCAAGGATTCTGTTAATGTCTATCAGCGCACCAACGCGAATCATTTGCCTGGAAAATACGCTGAATGGCACGATCATGCCGCAAAACGACATAATTGAGATCGCTGATTTTGCCCTCAAGAATGGCATACTGATGCATCTTGATGGTGCACGTTTGTGGCATGTCGCCGCTGAAACTCAGACACCGATTGATGAACTCTGCGCACCATTTGACTCAGTCAGTTTGTGCTTCAGTAAGGGTCTCGGTCAGTATTGCCATCAGTACCTACGAGCAGAGACTGACTCGCTGCAGGTGCCCCCGTAGGGACATGTCTCGTCGGTCCAACGGCATTTATACAGAAAGCGCGCTGGTTCCGCAAGATTTTTGGCGGGGGATGCGCCAGACTGGCGTTCTTGCTGGGTCGGTCGCTTATGCACTTACCCATAATTTCCCCCTCCTTCCTAGGGTTCATGCTCTGGCAAAACGCCTACAAACTGGTTTAGAAGAGCTTCAGGTTGGCATATTGAGTCCTGCAGAGACTTGCATGGTAAGCCCCATCAGTTGTTTCTCGATCTTAGATTTTCCAACAAACTTGTCATGCGAAATAGGTTTTTTATGATCCCTCCACAATCGGTGTCGAGTACTGGGAAATCATAGATCATGCAGCTGCATTACCGAACCCCATTAGTCTCACCGGCTCTCGTATGGTGGTACATATCCAAACATCACCTGAGGCAGTGGACGATTTCTTGTCATTGATCAGAATGCTGAAGGAGAAGAAGGTCCGGGCAGGCATTGTTCCCTCACCAGTGGATTCAGATGGGATGAGGAATGTGTATGTCAGGGCCATGAGGCCCTCCACACCCACTAGATAATTCAACACATTAAATTTAATGTCTGCTGTCCTCAACAATCACCAGTATAGTAGCATCTTTGAATACTATGTCATTGCAATATATGTAATGTAAAGTTTACAGAGTGATTGGCTACATCATGGCACATAGAACTTCAACAAGCAAGTCAAAACACTAAAACACACACAATCAATCATAGGAATATGTTAGAGCAAGCACAATGTAGGACTGCTCCTGGAAACCACTTGTCAACAATATCAATGTAGTGTTATCTCCAGTGTTGCATGTAGGGTGCCATCACAGTCAACATACATAGTATTTCTGCAACAACAAGTCAGTTCAAGTAATTAAAGGAGATGAGCAACATATGTTTGATTAATAAAATCCCCATTCCTGGGACTCAATCATGAAATCATGAAGCATAAGGGTAGAGGACTTACTCATCCATTGGCCAATCACTCAATGACCAAAAGAGTATAGCCAAATCTGATATTTTGACTGGTTCATGTAACTGACAACTTGTGTAAAATTATCAGTACATATGCATTGGTTTCAGATAAATAACCCACTCCTCAGCTCTAAGCACACACCCAGGGATAACACTATTTGGCATTTGCAGATCTTCAGGTTGGGTTGTACAGTCAGGTGTCCTACTGTGGGCCTTGATCATAAGTGCAGCTTCTGGATGAGCTGGAAAGCTAGGATGAGAAAGACTGAACCCAATGCACCACCTCCCATTATCCCCCATATAAATGAGAAACCACCATATTCGTCCTGCAAGAATTGGTTTAGTATCAGCACAAGAAGTACTAGTGAGAGATGTGGACCATATCTGCAGCAACAAATTCTATGCCCAATTCACCTGCAGTGTGCAGGCGTTTCTGGAACATTCTGATGTGGAAACAAGCAACAAACTGGTTCTTGCCCATTCTATCCCCTTTATCATGCACCTGGACCTCATCTGGTGGGCAACCCAAAAAATGTCTCAAAGACTCATCCTTAGCTGATCAGTGCAAAATGAGTTAGTTGATGCACTTGGGTGGGCATTGATGTCTCCACTCACAATTGATAACATGTCCCAAATTCAGCTGCATAAACAATGCATGGTTGCTAGTTGACATACATGCAAGACACAAGTCAGAAGAGCAAACAGATGAGAATTTGAGGATGTGTGCAGCAAACACTGAAAAGGCTTCTCTCTGGCCATTCACAGCTGCCCAATACATTGCAGTGTGACCCTCAATATTGGGACTTTGCAGGAGGTCAGAGAACTCTGCAGGGAGGAGAGCAGCAGTGCAGGTGTTGACAATAGGGGCAATAGGTATAAAATTGGGAACAGAGACAATATCATGGATGTGAGATAGAACAGCCTCAGTCTGTTTGGTCTTGGTGAGTTTAGCCTGTGTCTGTTTATACTTGTTCTGTAAAAATGAAAATAAAGGCAATCGGCTGCCAGTACATTGGACAGAATTTGCCACAGTTGATGATGCAGGTGTGGAAATCTCATTGTATGGGGGAGGCATGCTGGTTATGGACTTGCCATCATCAAAGACTTCAGACTCAGTAGCCATGATGATATGGAGGGGCAGAAGTTAGGAGATTTTTGCTCTTGTGAGGAATAAATATTAGTGCGGAGCAAGCCAGTGTCAGACGGATGACGTCATCAATCAACTATTTTTCGGACAAACATCATGATGGGCCTATGTGCAATTCGTGCAATGAATTGAACAACGACTCTGATAGCATCATGTGCCGAGCCATAACTCTTCCTTTCATCGTAAACATACTGGAAGTAAAGTTCATGGCCTTTCAATGACCTGTCCAGGATCCTTGTCTGCCCAGTCTTTTGTTAGGCTCCTACAGATCCACCCAATCCAGAGAGCCCATCGAAAATCCAAATCGCTTGTGCAGCATGGAATGATGCTGCTATTCACGTTCCAAATAAGCGCGAAGGTGTCGCCGAATTCATACTCACGCGATTGCTCAAAAACAAGTAGTGTTGTTGGCAAAACTACCGAATTTTGCCAACCGGTTCGGCAAAACTGGTTGTGCCCGGTCCTCGGCAGAACTCACGCAAAAGGGGGTGGCAAAACTATGACTTTTCTCCAGACTCACTCATCTCCCTCCATACAAAAATCAGCCAACGTTCTTCTTAGCCTCCTCCTCGACTTTCACTCTAAGACGCGCACGTTACACGCATACATTCATGCACTCTTTGACGCCTGTGCCTCTCTTCCTTCCATTAGATCCCTTGTATTACCACAAGAAATTCTACGGCCGCGGACGGACCTCTGCTATCCTTGCGCACATCCATCTTGCCTCGCTCGCATAAGCGCTCCGCACATTCTTCACACCCACCCAAGTAAAAGAGGCAGCTCAGATTGCCCAGACTCCCAAAAACACTTTCAATACCTACCAAAACCTTTCCTCACTGATAAAAACTAGCGAGTCGGAAGACAACCCGCATAAAAAGCGCCATCTGCGAGTCCATTGCCTACGCAAGCCATGCGGGAGGCAGACGCATATGCACTTTCCCTTTTCTTCAGTCTCAAGTTCGCGGCTCTGTGCCTGTCGAACCTCCCAGGCTCGTCCGTCACCTCCGAGGTCCGCGAGGCTGTGCTTGAGGCGGGCGTATGGGCCATCGACGCCGCTCGCTCACTTCTTTGTAACAGGATTTCTAAAAGATCCTGGGCAGACCAAATGACAGATGCTGCACTTCTTCATTTTACCTATCATCTACCGGCTTGGAGGTGCAGCGGAGAACAAGGGGATTATGCGAGGACTATTGGAAGTTGCATGTCTGTTGGTTGCCAGCCTCACAACGGCGATCCTGGCGAACTACCATCTGCGCTACCTGCTGCTAACGTACTCCATTCAAATTCTCCAGCTTCGCAGTACGCTGGTTGAGCCTTTCAATGAGCGACAAAACCAGTCTTCGACAATTTTCCAATGTTTTCCACCTTCACATATGAGACTGGAAGTGCTGGTGTCGATGCTGGCCCTGTGGCATTAGTCCTGAATGGCCATAGTTCAAGGGAGGTATGCCAAATCCCCTTGCATCGCCACGCTTTCACCCAAAGCATCTAGGATCTGTCCCGGCGCTTGGTAAGGGAGGTCCATAGCGTGCACAGCGAGGCCCATGATGGGGTAGTTGTCGACGTTCTGTGTTCATCTTCACACTGTACTTTTGTCCCGCTCGATGTCTGGAGCGCACATGTATCAAGTTCTATTTAGCGAATTTAGAAGCGTGAGATGGTACATAGTATGTTGGCTTCGAAGTAATCTGAGTGTATTCTAAGCTAGCTGAAAGTGAGTCGAATTTTATAAATCACGACACATTTCCTGCTGAGGGTAATCTCAGAGTAGTATCGGCAAGTCTCGCACTTTTCCCTCATTACCCTGCCTCCATATTCCGTGATTTTACGCCGTGTTACAGCTATCTTCGTATGTATTCAATGGTGTGCTTGTTACATTAAAGGATATCTACCACGACATGGGACAACCTAGCTATTCCAGATGTTGCTACAATTGTTACTAAAGAAATCTTGAGACCTTTCGAGTCATCACCGTCACCGTTCCAAACACTGGTCACCATGGTCACCACAACCACCACGCAACGAAAGAAACCTGCTTCCAAAAATACTGACCCAAGACACAGTAAACAGCTAGCTGTCCGCTTCGCAGCAGTGGCAGTATGTGGCGATCCCAGTGGTTGGACTTCCGAGTTGACATTCATCATTTGAAAAGATAGTGAAGATAGTGAATGGCTATAGGGAGTTGTGGTGATGACTACAAAGAGCGAGAGTCAGCTTGAATATTCTGATCCAGCCACTGCGCCGATCGTGTGCAGGTCATTCGCATAGGCGGCCAGCAATCGTAGCAGCGCTGGGAAGCGCCAGCCCCTAAACATCACCCAAAACACTTACGCCAGCATGAAATAGGTACAGTGCACATTGTCGAATATGATTCACGAGTATATTACATGTTTTTTGGTGAGAGCCTGTTGGAGAGTGTGCCATAGCATGGCGTAAATCGACGAATACCGACGTCTGGACATGGTACGGTTCGGCTTCTCTGAACAGCGAGCAAGGTCATCGACAGATGTTGAGATCCACGGTGAAGACATGGCTTTAGACTCTTTAAAGGCTCGCGTAGCCGCTGAGTCGATGGTAAGAGATGCGCTGATAACAGGAAGAGTATGCAGAGCAGTGACTACCACAGGGCCGTGCAAATTCTGAAACTCGACAACAAGCGAAGTACCCCATGTTCCTGGGCAAGTAGGTGTCGTCAAGAGACTCTTGAAGAGGATATCATCCAACCTGCTTGCAAGCTCTGTGCGTTTCAAAGCGAAATGAGTCATGTGCATGATTACATTGGCACCACGTTCCTTATTTCGCGCATCTGACTTTTTAATTCCAACTCGCAGTGCAACGCCACGCAGAACAGGTGCAGACAAAGCAGGCAAATTTTCTGCACAGCAAGTATCCGAATGATGAACCGGTGTTCTGTGCGTCAGATGGTCTGTAGAACACGGCGCCAGTTTCACCTGGGGAAGTGAGTTTGTAGAAGATGTATTTGGAAGTGAGGGAGAGGAGGTAGTTTGCGGGATCTAGAGAAGAGTGGTCTTCGCGCAGTTCGCAGAAGAGCTGTGGTACGTAGTCTGTGAATTTGAAGCCACGTTTCACGGAGGGAGTGAGTTCGTTCCCGACACTGAAGTGATGTGAGTTTGAGGTGAGGAGCGGGTGGGGAGTACGTACATGCCTTTATGCCTTGTGGTGAAGGGTCTTTTTTTTCTCTGGATGGAGTGAGAGCCCGCAGCATATAAGGCTGATCTTGATCGCGATCGGCGGGTCCCGATTAGCCTTGAAAATGAGATCAATGAACTTGCGAGAGGCAATATCTGGCATTGCTGACGGGAAGGGTTGTGTTGGGAGTGGGATGGAAGTGAAATATTACGATGGCACAGCCTCGATCTTGCGTGGGCCCTAGTGTTACCGCCGAGACAAATCGAATCGAGGTGGAAAATTGACACGGTTCGGGCTAATGAGTTGAAACGATGTGTACCTCTTTCACCTCGCGATGTGGAAACGAGTTCGGAAGCGATACGGACCAGCAGTCCAGCCACTGAGAAGCTAGGGATTCTGCATGCCGACAATGACGATCATTTGCAAGTTGCTGGTACATGACCAGCAGATATATTAATTATAATCAATGTCCCTGGCATTCTGGAGCAACTCATCGAGCTCGCGAAGATTCCCAGCAGCCATTAGCTTGTCAACTGTTCTGGGAGTCACAGGTCCAGACATTGTGTAGTCCCGCCCATGATGCGATAGTCACCAGGTCCTCTGTAAAATTGAGGCAGTCTTGCTTGTAAATAAACTTCGGACTTGTAGTGTTTCAAGTGTGGCTGGAGATAAGTTGCTGCGCCGTAGAGTGTCTCTTTGCTGGATGAAAGTATGCGGTTGGAAGGTACAGATAAAGCTTGAGCAGGCAGGACATCCATAGCGACGCGGAATAGAAGCGGAAATGTACGTCCTTTTTGCTAACATGGTACCTGTTGATATTGTGAATTGCAGACAGAAATATATCGCATACCTCCAGGAACGAACGATATCTGTTGTACGTTCAGCTGTTTCAAGTAGCATACCATACCTGCATCTTCGTAACGGGAAAACTCGCATTCGGCACCCTTCCTGTCCAGTTCGAGTTCCTTGCGGAAGCGTTCCTGAATAGTTTCCAGTGTCGGGGAGTGTACCCACTACTTCAGAGGCAATGATAGTGGGAGTTGGAGGGATAGTGCTATTAGTAGCAGAAGATGAGTGCCGCACAGTTACTTTAAGGTTGTTCATGCGGCCAAATCCAACAGATAAAGACCGCGAGGCGATTGCTGTCGAATTGGTGAGCACATAGCTACTATGATACTGAGGGTGTGGATAGCTCCAGTTGGGTCTGGGTCTCGCCGAGTCCCGACTCTAATGGACGTACGAAACGAAGTGCATCTGCACTCGAAAATCACATCCACAACATGCAGAAAACAAAAACGACGAACCGCTGTAGCATCCATTTCCGACATCATCAGCCTCCTAGTGCTCCTTCAACCACTCAAGCTTCATGCTTGGGTTAATAACTATAATTCGGTCGATGAAAAGTCACCCGATCAGTGAAAAAAAAGTTGAAGCACACTCATCGATATCGAAAGTCACCATATATAAGTTCACTGAGGTTGAAACGTTGACGGGTTGGAGCTAAGTTGGTGTTACAACTATCTTCATATCTATAGACCAGGATCCAAAAAATCCACTTAGCCGCAAATTTTATTGCGACACCAAACAGAGGCGCTCATGCTAGTTACTTTCGTAAGTCGCGTTAGTCGTCATCAGTGTTTGGGGAGTACTACTAGCACGACGACTGTCGACTGTCATCATCATGCACGGAAACTGTCGACATATATATACAACGTTTGCGACTGGGGACGAAGGGACAATCTTGCTAAAGTGTCAGAAAACTAAGCGGAGCCTCATCTGATGACAAGCACGACTTAGCTTTTTGACGTTCTTCAAGTTGCAACTGGTCTGCTGTAGGCTACCGTGGATGATCTGTGAAGGCAGGCTGCAGTCTATGCAATGGTAGGTGAGTCGTTTTATGATTTACACCCCAACTTGAAGGGAAGGGAGTACTTCAGACAGCGATGTTCCCGATGTTCATTATTCAATATTTTTTTGACCAGGTTTACTACTAGTATATGATAATGGATTACCCCGGGCCTCACTGGGGCCCCAGCCGGAGTTCCGCAAGTCAGCAGGACAACACAATATAAATACCAGAGATATGGCACAGTACCTCCGATATCTCATCGACTCATGCCTTTCCTGACAGACCTCCGTTTCGCTGAACTCGCGCAGGACATCGCTTGTGATGTGCATTCCAAGACTCAGGAGGATGACAACATCCTCAAGATCCAAGAAATCTCCAGGGCGTTTGTGTGTGAGTGGTTTGCACCATTGCATGAGAGTGTGTTTTCACAGAGTATCTACAGCGGACACTCTCACAGGTATTCTATCTCGATACGGAGCACGAATCCACGCTGATGGCAAAATATCGTGATTAGTACCGACCAAGGAGATGAATGCCTATGCTCTCCGTGCGTCCCTCGGAGACGATGTGTATTTCGAGCCATCCACCGCCTTGCTTGAATCCCACATCGCAAAGATCACCGGAAAAGAAGCAGGCCTCTTTCTACCTACGGGCACGATGTCGAATCAAGTTGCCCTCAGGACTCACTTGCAGCAGCCTCCATATTCAGTCATCACAGATGCACGGGCCCACATATACCGGTAGGTTTACTTGTCGCGCGAGAAATATGTTTCAAACGTCTGCCAGCATGGAAGCTGGCGGCGCCGCTTTTCACTCAGGTGCCAACAGTATCCCAATTATTCCCGCTAACGGTATGCTCTCTCTAAATCGGATCTGCATTTAAATTATTTCTTGCTCATGACCAGAACACCATCTTACCTGGGGGACATTGAACCTCGTATTGTCTCTGGCACAGATGTCCATGTGTAAGTGCCAAAATAAATGTTGCTCGACTACTCGAGTGACACCGCCCCTGAAGTGCCCCAACGCATATCATAGCGCTTGAGAATACTCTGAATGGAACCATTATTCCACAGGACGACGTGATTGAAATTTCAAAGAACGCACATAGTCGGGGTATCATCATGCACCTCGACGGTGCGCGCATCTGGCATGTTGCAGCAGAGACCGGGTTGTCCATGAAAGAGCTTTGTGACCCATTTGAGTCTGCGAGCTTATGTCTTAGCAAAGGACTCGGTAAGATATGTTCAGCAACATGTTGTCGTTGACGGTGCTCATTAATCGCGTAGGTGCACCCATCGGAACTGTCCTAGTTGGTTCAACGCCATTTATAACCAAGGCGCGATGGTTCCGAAAGCTCTTTGGTGGGGGTATGCGCCAGACCGGATACATGGCTGGCTGTGCTGCATACGCGCTTACTTACAATTTCCCTATGCTCCCTCGCGTGCACGCCCTTGCAAAGCGGATGCAGCAGGGCCTAGAACAACTCGGCGTTGGCATCTTGAGTCCCGCTGAAACTTGCATGGTGGGTGGCACCCTGGCAGGGTTAAAGAACGCCACATGAAAACGATAATGACCTTCTATTAGTTGTTCTATGACCCTTCGCCTATTAGGGTCGAATACTGGGAAGTAGTCGAGCGGGCCGCACAACTCCCAGATCCCATTAAGCTGAATGGGTCTCGCCTTCTAATGCACATTCAGACATCGCCTCAAGCAATAGAAGACTTCCTGGAGCTCCTGCGTACGCTCAAAGAAGAGAAGGCTGCTGCGGGATGGAAACCCGAGAATGCACCGCCCAAGAAGAAGTCCCTGTTTAGAGATGTGTACGTCAAGGCCGTTAGACCAACGTAGTTGTGAAGAGAATCAATGCAAGTGGACAGATCGGCAATATGTATAGATGTATCCAATATGAATGTGGAGCTCTACCCCTTCCCGATATACCGCTGTTTTTCATACTCCTTCCAGAGTGCCTTCATCACGCTCTTCCCACCTGTGTCCAACGCACTCACCATAACGGCATCACGACTGTGCGTACCCATCATCTCGCACAGCGAAAACAGGCCCGGCTCAAGCTCACGCCTCACATCCGCCCGCATGACACACAATGGGTCGTTCACAGCGTCAATGTGCGCAGTGACCACATAAGCAGCGTGTTTAGCAAACGGTTTTGAAAGGCTCTCCGCCTTTTGCTCTGTATTGGGCTGCATGTGAGCGCGGGGAACACTTTTTGTCGTCAAGGAGGTGAAGAGCCGTGCAAGTGCACGAGCTTCTGGCACACCTAGGGGCTCAGATGGTGCTATCCACGATGGGAGGGTGTCGGTGACGATGCGGCTCTGCTTTGCAGCTAGCTGGGGCCGTAGACTACGTGTGCATGAGACCAGTTGGCGGAGGATCATCCCCAGATGTGGCAAAATGTGGACGACAAGATCGCGCCGCAGCCGAACGAGTGCGTTTAGGATGGTAGTGGAGGTATGGAAGACCGCAGGTGTGGTGGTACTGTCATGTATTGGAGACCTGCACAGGATTTTAGAAAGCAGGACATGGATAGGACCCGGATCGACAGGGCGAAGAGCTGCAGGCTGGGTGAAGCGTCAAGTGAGGATCAAGGATAGGATGTACTACAACGTACTCTGTCTGAACATTGCCGAGCCACAAACTCAAGGCAAGCTAGCTTCAGGTCCACGGGACCCGCGAAGAACTGTAAGTGTCCAATAAAAAGGTTCAGACACTGACTGAAAAACCCCTGAACGACCTTCAAAGTCCCTACGACGGAATAAGGATGGTGTTCCGAAATATTGAAAGCTATCTCATCTACCTTGAGGTGCATCACGCAACAGGACAGTAGCCGCATGCACTAGACGCACGCATTGAGCTAGAGGAAATCGTGTGCTTTCAAGTGCCTCATATACTGTGTCCAGTAGATGTGAGAAGTCATCAACTGAAAGATGCTTGCACCCGCTTGAGATGACTTCATCCAAGGATTTGATGTCTCCTGCGTTCATCTCAATTTAGTTCGACCAACGGAACTGAACTAAAAAAAACAACCAACCAGCTTCCGTAGAAAATACAAATACTCCTACTGCTAGGTCAAGATGCATCCCGCGGTCAACATTAGGCAAACAACGCAATTCCTCAAAAAGAAGTCCCAAGATTTCTGCAGAAGGCTTGCATTTTTCTTTCTTTCGCAAGAGGGCGACTGCAATTTGTTGGCTGTACCCAGATGTTGAAGTAGCTGGGAAAAGAAACGAGTCAGGACCACCAAATTTAAAGATGCTTACATCCTTACCGGCAACGCCTAACCAATGGCCAAATGAAAGGTAGCGCGCCCGTACTTTAATAGTCCTGCTCGCGGGGAGCGTATCGATGACGTTGGGGTGTGAAACCGGAGTGAGTGCAGCATGCAATTCTTTTATTGATGCAATTATCGAGTCGGGAAGACTATCATCATTATTAGAGGAAATTTATGTTTATATGGAATGACGAACGGACGTACCTAGAAACAGAAAAATCCTGTCCGAGACGCTCAACAAGCTGGAGCACACATAACTGGGGAACGCTCTCTTCATCAAGGGAACCAGACTGCGCGAGAGAACAGAAGATAGAAGCACATGCGGCTGAAGCAGAAGGTTCTTTATCTGATGCTCGCAGGAGCGCACTGCTCGGTAGTCAGCAAACTTACAGCATAACAGGGGGAAGACATACACAATAAAGAGTTCCGCAAGATTTATCGTGGCCTCTCTCAATGCCGCATTATCCTCCATATTCATAAGATGCTTCACATAGTCTCTGGCGCTCTACAAGTCCACGTCAGCCAGGACTAAAGAAAGCGAATGTAGACATACTTCGTGATCAGACGTGTTCAGATACCCGAGTTTCCCCATCCGTTGAAGAAATACACGTATGTGCATGAGCGTTTGCCTCATATCTTCTAGGTCCCTTCCTTCGTCACGCTTACGTTTGCCATTTGCTGCTCTCTCTCCGGTGGTTGCACGCAGCAATGACGAGATGGTGACATCCCCCTCCATTGCCCGGCGCACAAGCTCCACGCGAGCCTGTTTAGTGAGGTACTCAAGGGGAACGTATAAGAGGAGGTAGTAAGTGTTGCTAAGCTGATCCAACGCAGAACCTTTCAGAGAGTTAGGCGAGGACGTGAGGTATGCAAGAACGGAAGCTGTCGTCATTAAGTGGTAAGCATCAATATGGAAAAATGAAAGCACAACGGGGAATCAGAGCAGCGGATAATCTTACTTCGTATATTCCCCATCTCCCAGAACTGTGCATTGTGCAAAACACCCCAGAGGACATCTTTTGGCTGCAAGCCCTGCACATCCGCACAACGAGTAGACATGGGCGAAATAGAGAATATAAGTTTGATCAGACGATCGAGGGAAGGTTTAGATCCTTGGGCACTGCATGGTTGAGGTGTATACATCAGTCGATAGAACCACAAGGGGATATGAAAGAGATAACACATACTCTACAAGATCTAACCACCGCTCGGCGATTAGGTAGAGTATCATCAAACCGTCCGTGTTCTCTACTTGCGCCTCAATATATGTCAGGGCAACGTCTAATACAGTCTCCATTTCTAGATCGGTTACCGATCTAGAAGACCACGCAAAGAGAAACCGCAGCTAAAAAACAATCAGGGCCTTCCAACAAAAGAGAGAAAGAAGACACACGATTTCAAGCACTAGCTCGCCCTCCACACCCTCTTCCATTTTGGCAACGCCCAATAGTCCTCGCATATCTCCTTGTTCTCCGCCGCACCTCCAAGCCGGTAGATGATACGCCAAACGAAGAAGCGCAGCACCTGTCACTTGGTCTGCACAGGATATTTTAGAAGTCCTGTTACAAAGAAGCGAGCGAGCGGCATCGATGGCCCATACGCCCGCCTCAAGCACAGCCTCGCGGACCTCGGCGGTGACGAACGAACCGGGGAGGTTCGACAGGCACAGAGCCGCGAACTTGAGAGTGAGGGAAAGTGAAAGTGCATGCGTATCTACTTCCTGCATGGCTTGCGCTGGCGCTGGACTCGTAGATGGCGGAGCGGGCTCGCTTTTCCGTCGCTTTTTACGCGGCCTGTCTTCCAACTCGTTGATTTGTATGAGTGAGGAAAGGTTTTGGTAGGTATTGAAAGTGTTTTTGAGAGTCTGGGTAATCTGAGCTGCCTCTTTTACTTGAGTGGGTGTGAGGAATGTACGGAGCGCTTGTGCGAGCGAGGAAAGATGGGTGTGCGCAAGGATAGCAGAGGTCCGTCCGCGGCCGTAGAATTCTTGTGGTGATACAAGGGATCTAATGGAAGGAAGAGAGGCACAGGCGTCAAAGAGTGCATGAATGTATGCGTATAACGTGCGCGTCTTGGAATGAAAGTCGAGGAGGAGGCTAAGAAGAACGTTGGCTGATTTTTGTATGGAGGGAGGTGAGTGAGTCTGGAGAAAGAGTCATCAGGAATGGCGGGCACATTGATTGGACAGAAAAAGACGAATGAAGAGGCAAAGCTCACCAAGATCAACCGAGGAAGTACCCTTCCTACGACAGGCTCAATCACATCATAATCGACCCTCACAAGCGCAGCCAACACGTCCAAAGCCAAACGTACCACCTCTTCTTCCGCTTCGTCTTCCAATACCCGTACCGCATCCTCTCTGACCACTTCCAGCTCCACTTCTCCCACACCCTGACTCGCATAAATGCGCTCACTCTCAATAATGCTGATCAAACCTACTCGTGCTTCCCAACTCAGATCGTTCCCGGCTAATAACTTGAGGCACGATGCGAAGAATGTCATGGATGTCATTCTCATGTCGTTTTCACGGTTTTGTATTTTATTCTGGGAAGTGGGAAACAAACTGGTGCGAAACCGCCGCAGGAAGTGTGTATGGGTGCTGAAAAGGCGGGGTAGGAGCGTGATGGCCGGATTTGTTGTGGAAGGCGAGTTAGACGAAGATAGGGTTGTGAATAAGCTCTCAGATGAGGGGGATGCACGAAGAGCATCGAGAGAGAACAGAGTCTCTGTTCCTGCAGCATATACTGCTTTATTCAGCTGTGGAGACAGACGGGATGACGGCGAGACTGCGTGAATCCAGGATGACAGATAGGTTTGGAGGAAGGTCGCGGGTAGCTAAACAAATGTCCTAGGTTTCTCTCACCACATAAAAACAATGGCACTGCCCACCTTCTTCTTGTTCCCCGCATTTCCTAGTGCTTCTCTATATGAAGATACAATTGCTTCACAAATCCCTCCCAAAATCTCATTATTGACCAACTCAGCAGAGACATTCAGTACAGCGCCAAGGCACTCTAGTAGCGTCTCCACGCCAATTTTGTGGACACTTAACGGCCACAGGACAGAGAAGCACGGACGCACGAGCGCAAGAAGCTCTTTCGCCTCTGTAACTGGCAGATCCCTCAGCAGAGAGAGGATAGAGATGATGATTGGTGCGAGCGGTGTGCGATTGAGAAGAGAACCAAGCCAGACCTTGATGCCACGTGCACCTGCCCCTACGCTGCCATCTAAAACCTTGCGAAGAAGGGACCAGTACCGCGCATCAATTACCGGGTTGTCGCTAATTCATCGGTTGTCAGGACCAATGGCTGCACTCCGCATAAGCAAACGCACCTAGTTTTTGACTTGTCTTTGAGTAGCCGTGTGAGTATGAATTCGGCGATGAGCTCGTGCTTATTTGGAATGTGAATGGCAGCATCATCCCATGCTGCACAAGCGATCTGAATTTTTGGTGGGCTCTCCGGATAAGGTGGATCTGTAGGGGCTTTTAGGAGCCTAACGAAAGACTGGGCGGACAAGGGTGTTGTCATTGAATGACCATGAACTTTACATCCAGTATGTACACGATGAAGGAAAAGTTATATAGCCTGGCACGTGATGCTATCATGCATATTGATCATGGTTTTCGGTGTTCAATTCATTGCACCAACTGAATCATATTAGTGGTGCACGTCAAGTACCCAGAGATTAATAGGAGATCTCAACATACGTGAACATGACTTCAAGCTAGAAAATGCGTCAAATTGTCGCGATCTTGTAGTCAACTTAACCTGAACGGATTGCACCCCCCTTGGAGGGGTCAATATATATATGCAGAGTGGAACGCGGTTGGTGCATTTTATTTTTGGCCCATCATCCAAGTTCACTGTTTTCAGGCTGTCGCATCTCTTCTCTACTCACCATGTCTGCCCAGAGCATAGCTCGCTGGAATGCAATTCCCATGTCTCGACCTGATACAGACACTCAAGAACAAGCACAATCTGTGCAAAACCAAATTAATTCCATGAAGGTACTCTGCCATATTTTCTGGCACGAATAAAACACCCCTACTGCCCTCCCATACATCCATCCCAGCGCTCTCACCAAGATGTCGATGATGACGACGACGACGGCGTCTCGCTAGTCTCAAGGTCCCCATCGCCCACCCCTGATACAATGGACATTGAAAAATATGACGAATATGTCCGCCGTCCAGAAAGGGAGGTTATCACTGTCGAGACCAAGATCAAAAGCACCAACAAGGGCTTTGAAATGCTCGCAAAACTCGGTTGGTCAGAGGGTCAGCCGTTGGGACTATCGGCAGACGGTAGGTTTCATCATTCCTGTCGGGAACTACATGACTAATCCTTCTGCTGCAGCGCGAGTCGATCCTATACCATTTCATGTGAAAAATGATTTGACTGGTCTAGGAAAGACGACTCAAGATTTTCGAATGATCGAGACAACAGTTGCTGAAAGGCGCAAGTTGGACTCTGAGCGACAACGAAAAGAAACCGAATATCAACGAAAAGCACGAGAGGCGAGCCCAAACCATACTAACTGTTGCAGAGCATACTGATATTGTTCCAGGACGACGCCGCCCGTCGGGCTGCACTCAAGTCGGAAATTTCAGATACTCTCAAAGCGTTCTACTGTTCGCTTTGTGAGAAGCAATTCCAGAATGTCGCACAGTATGATGAACATACAAACTCGTACGCGCATCACCACAAGGCGCGCCTCCGGGATATGCAAGCTAACACACGTATGACCACCCAAGAAGATGTCGACAAACGTAAGGAGAAAGAGCGCAAGCGAGAAGAAAAAGAGCTTCGCAAAATTGCCAAGGCTGCTGGGATAAAGATGGCAAAACCTACAACTACATCAACTTTCGCGCCTCCTGCACAGACACCTGCTACTGCAGAGGTGCCACTTCCCTCTGAGGCACAATCAAGCAGCTTCAAGAAAGCTGGCTGGGCAACCGTTTCAGCACCAGTTGAACCTGCGACTAGTTTCAAGCGGTCAGGTGGGGCGTCCTTGGATTCCAATGCCTCTACGCTTTCCGCCCCATTTCCATCCCCACCACTGCCAGTGGTTAGTCCGCCCCCAGCTTCTCGCAGCGCAGCTACACCAACATTTCGCACCGGTGGCTGGACATCTCTTGACGTCGGCAGCTCTCAGTCAGTTACCCCGCCCCCTCCCAACAACACTGCAGTGCCACCACCTCCGCCACCCAATGTAGCCCCGCCACCTCCCCCAGTTACTCCTATGAATGCGCCCCCTCTACGTGGTCGGCCTCCATTACCGCCAGCAAATGTGCGTCCACCTAGCGTACCTCCCCCTCCCTGCATGCCTCCGCCCAGTGGGCCACCTCCCCTCCCTCCCACAACAGGCGGCTGGGGACCTGCTGCGCTTGTCTCAGATTCTAGGAGACGAGATCAGAGTTTTGCTCCTGTGCCGACGTTCTCCCAACCCGCGCCTCCGGTAGTAGCCGCCCCACTTACATCAACCAGTCTAAAGGCTGCAGTTCCCCCGCCTGCTGCTCCACAAGCAAGATCAGGCTGGCAGCAGTGGAAGCAAGGTTCTGGATCGAAACGGAGATAGAGTACATACGTGCATCCCTGTCATTTACTATGCTAATTATGTGTCATGTTGCTCAACTATTGGGCATCTGCGAAATGTAAGGACGGAGTTTTTGGTTCCGCGGAAGCACCGGCATTCACTCTTCACTCGCTTGGCAATCGGGACGTAACCACTTGAACTTCGCCGCCCACCTGATCTTGCCGGTGTCAGCCTTATTGCCAGCTGCTCAACCGCAGGCGGCCCTGAACCGTCAGTGTTTCGTGACCGGAGACTGTTACCACTTTCATCATTCTTACACCCACAAAATCCACACTCCAGTCTGTCCTGAAAATATCACTCTCCGGAATCCAAATTCATTACTTCTCTTATGCGCTTTTCCCGCTGGCCGATGACAGCACTTCTGCTTTCTTTTCAGGCCCCTTCCTGCTCAACACTTCCTGGCCAACTTCTTCATATATGTTGGGTCAATGTGGTCCACGTGAATTCCCAATGTGTTGTATTGGATTCTTCAAACTTCTCCGGGCGATTAACCTTAATTGTTTTCCGGGCAGTCTAATATTTCAAGCTTCAAGCACCAGTGCTATGTAGTTTTTTCCGACAATTCTTCAACCACAGGGGTGACAGGACCGTACGCATTCGATACTCTACGCAGCCCGCCGGGCCTCGCATCCGCTCATGAACGTTTGAACATTCACGCCGTTCGTCGCCTGCCAGTTTCAATTTCTGCTTCATCTTACATCAAGTTACATACTATAGCTTTCAACAATAGCCAACCCCTCAAGGCCTCACTGTGCCCACAGCTTAGCTGTACTCGATATTTATCGCAATCATGACACATCCAATACAACTTGAGTTTTTACGTTCACTTTCAGCACCTACCATGTGAGAGTTCCAATTTCCGCTGCATGCATGTAAGCACGCTGGCTTACTAGAGTTCCCATAATCTACATAAATACTGTCCGCGATACTGAAACACAAGCTTTCAGTATCACTGCCTTTTGGCGTAACAGTTAAGCGGACGACAGCCTTGACTCAGTTACAATGCAGCCAACACTTTGCACTCCAACTATCTTTTGTTTCAATACAGCTCTTTATCTGCAAGGTACCATGCACACAGACTCGGATGCTATTTTCGCAGGACAAAATAGAGGAATATACTACATATCAATGCACCAAAGAAATCTTCCATGGTACTAGACCAGTATACACAGATCTAGACTTTCAAGACCAGCCGCACTGCGGCAATCACTTGTACTTACATAATCCTGTGACTTGAATCCAACTTAAAGATCGTGTTGATTTCAAGCTCAAATATTTTTATTCTGCTGCACTGATCAGTGCTCAACACAAGTTGACGCTTGAGACTATCATTTTTTGGGTCTCTTTGTTCTTTGATCTACCTGCAGGCATGGGAACTCGCGGGTACTACGTGCTCCGTTATCGGAACCTTTATTTCGCTCGATACCACCATCATGATAGCTATCCAGATGGGCTTGGTGTACAGGCACTTCAGTCTGTGCGGCACCCCAATGCTATCACGACCTATCGGCAGGAGTTGGGAGAAATCCTAGACGGTTTGGAAAGCCCTTCGCATTTTCCAGTATTGATAGAAGGTGGTGAAGATCTCTTGCCCCCCTCCAGGCTGCGGCCAGAAACTGACATCATGATCGAGTGGGTCTACGAAATCGATCTTGATTGCAGTATATTCCACATAAATGGGATGCCCTTTTTTTCCTTGGAATGCCTGCCAGACGATAGGGCTTTTATCCAATACATCTCCAAAGATCATTATGGCCACCTAGCTTGTGCATCACAATGCCCCCCTAAGCACAAGTACAAGAGGCCAACACCGCCAACTGTCGACAATTCTGACCTCGCGACGTACCAATCTTTGATGTGCACTGGGTCTCATGTGGCTTTGAGTAACCTGCTCGCCATTAATGACTTCCCGACTCCAGACGAGCATATTCGGGTCTCATTACTAGAGGTCATGGTTGGGCAGTGCATGATTGACCCAGTCATTGGCAAGGATATCTACGATATTGAGCTCGTATCTGATCACAATCAACTCACGGACGACCAATGGTCAATCGCTTTCTTCATGGCCAACATTGCATTTGTTCCTCCGATATTCGACAATATCATGCACGTTTGCCATCCCAAGCTGAGCCGAAAAGAGTTCACATGGGTTCGCGAAGACACTGTCGTTTGCATTGCATCACATCTAGACGATGAGCGATGCCTACAGGCCTCTGTGTCACGCCTGATCAATGCAATCATGGAGCAGACGGATAATCTTGGTGATTACTTTGGAATTGCATTTTCCGTCTACCATTGTGCACTCGTCAAAGTCGTCAAAGATGCACACACGATGACATTCAGCCATACAAGCGCCCTCCAGTTTTTACCATCATTCTACGCAGATTCACCTTCTACACCAGGGATCACTGCTCTCGCTCGTCTTGGCTTTCGCATCGACCCCGCACTCTTTGAGCGCTCGGTGGAAATTTGCCATTACAATCGTTTCATGACGGAGGAATCGTTATCTCAGGGAGGTGATGGCAGTGATGATGTGCCACCCAATATCACATGTCCACCACTGCCTCCTGAGCTTTGGAAAGAGATTGCCCTTCATCTCCATTCCTCTGAACTCATCCCCTTCGGGTTGGTCTCGAAACTATTCCGTGAAGTAGCCTCGATGATACTCCGCTATCCCCACCTCTGTGGATATCGCTTAGTCGCTGCTCCCAGAAGGAAACCAAGATATCTCCAGCATCAGCACCTCTCTCTGCATGGTGCATCTTTTTCTGCTGTGCGAGCCGGTATTCCTACTACTGTGCTTCTTGGATTGGAGTTTAGAGATAAACCATCGGAGAGTCTGGCCACTCCGCTCAGTGTTAGAGGTTCCTCGCTTTGGGTGCTTTTCCAGCCACTTCCTGAGGAGCTCGCTGGAGATGGAAACCCATAGCTCATGTGGTGACTAGAGACCCCCATGTGATGACCTGTCGCCTAATGTCTTCAATCCGGGAGCACACATGGGTTCCTTGACTCATATAGTTGATGTATCATACTAAGGCACCGCTACGAGTTAGACGATTGTCAAGTCAAGTTCGCAATGGCATTTCTTTTTTTACGTCACAAGACAAATGCGATTTGTGTAAAATGTGAACACTGGTGCGCTTGGCGAATACAAGTTTACTGGCCAGTTGACACGTCCGATAATCGTTGCAGTAACGTGTACCACTTGTATGCAGTACTCTGCATCTGGTGAGTGAGACCACGCTGCATGAATGATGTGGGCTTGAGTTCAGTGAGCAGCGAGACTCGAGCACAACTCCAGCAAGAGCAAGGTTGGATCAAGCGCCAGGATCCAATGGAACGACATATATACATTCTGATGAACATAGGTGGCATCCACATGACCAGACGCGGTGCCGAGGAACTGTAATTCAAAGATAGTGACTGAGAACACGTCAGCACAATGTGTGCTACTTGAGTTAACTCTTTAGACGGAATGAAGTTGTTCCTTCCGAATAACCTGCGAGAAAATCTCCAGTGCTGTTTGGGGCTGGAAAGCAGGCTGATAATAACACAAGTGGCATCAGCGGATATCGTCATTCTGAGACGAGTCAACTAACCAATAGGTGTCCAGCAGCATACACCCGTCTAAAAGACAAAGTAATGAGAGAAATATATCTTGAAAAGAAGTTAAAAGAAAACCGCTTACGCAAAGGAAAAGTTATCAACATTCTGCACGGCCGCAACAGGCGTGCCGTTGATCGTCATGTTGGTGAATGGGGTGTTATGGAGTGTCTCATTGCCATACCAATCCATTGCTAGGACTGATGCATGAACCTTTAAACGGTATAGTTCAGCGATGTTGGAAACAAAAGAGGTGTCAGCCTACCCCAAGCCAGTTGCAGCTAAAGCCATCGAGAAGCGTCAAGATCACACGAGATATTATTACAGCAAGAAATCGCACTTGATATCAGCGTCTCCAGCCTTCCCAGTAAATTAGGTATCAAACAATGAAGTAGACGCTGAGGCACGCACCCAAATCAAAATCTTCATCCCAGAGTTGGCCAAAGCCGAAAGCTGGGGCAGCCAAGTCCTAGCATCCTTTAACAGGATCGTACATTTAACACTCGAGGAAAAACAGTTAGAATGTTTTTTACATCGCCTGTCTTTGCAAACTGCTTCATGGGTGCGTTTGCGCATTCCTCATATTTGACCTCAGCACCAATCTTCTTCATGACATGCTTCTCGCGTAAATAATCCACATAATATTCAGGGAGGAATAAAGCAGATGAATTTTGACGTAAATCATTTTGGTCGTAGCCCTCTACAGCAGGGTAGTAAAGATTATCAATCTGAATGAGTTAGGCGACGCCCCTAGAGATACTACTTATATGTCACTCACGCAGTAATCATCAGCATCTTGGCAAATCTTGTTTGAGCTGGTGGAATTTCCAGCGGCGTAACAGGCTTTCTCTTGTGCTATGCAACCATTAGAACCATAAAGGGCATCTGACATGTTCTTGAGTACTTCATCTGGCTGGAGTTGTCCATAGCCTGGAGCATAGGTCGCAAAGTTCAGCCACGCGATCATCTGAGTGAGCGGATCAAACCATCCACTGTAAATGTTCATTCAACGCCTTTCAACGCGCATAAACCACGAAATCGACATACTTGTTGATCATCAGAGCGCTAACAAAAATCGGAACGACATCGATAGCTCCACCAGCAATTAAAGCGTTTTGCTCTTCGAAGTAGGTCACAAAACTGGGACCATAGTGACCGCCGTAGCTTTCTGCAGCAAAAATGAATCTGGGCACGACATAAGCAATCGTTCATGCAACCGAGTTAAGGAGCTAAACGACTGACTCTCGACTGGCATATTTCGAAAATAGCTGGCTTTCAAATAAAACCTGGAATGCAGTCCATACATAAGGTGCAGCGGCATCCGTGCTGTTTACTATATTAAAACCATAAGAGAATCCGGTCCCGATTGGCTGGTCGATGTAAATCACTGGGTGAGGAAGTCAACTCTTGCGATATAATTGGGAAATTACGTGCTACACACTATTACTAAGATTATTCCAGCTGAAGGTACCCGCGTCAGTTTAGCAATGAAAACGTCTATGATCCTGAGATACCTGTAGGAGTTAAGGGTGGTCGAATTACGGTCGGCATGCACTAAGCACGGCCCGTTCTCTGTGGAAAATGAGGAGCAGATTAAAAAGCAATATCAAATCAATCAACCTTGGAATAATCCGATTATAGAAGAACATCCAGGGCCGCCATTCAACCTGCGACAGCAGGTCAGAGGTGTGCCCAGACTCAGGTACTTAGGTGATCCAGCTTCCAGACAACCCACCATAGAGTGAATGGGGCTGTTTCAGGCGAGTTTCTAGACTCGAAGAACCAGAACCACTGTATTTGAAGTCAGTTTGTATCTAGAGCATGATGCACGGAGACATACCATAGACATGTTTGTCCCAACGTCAATGTAACCTGAAATTTGCGTAACATTTGGAGTCGTCTCGCAGATTCCTGAATTCTTGACATAGCGAATCCCAGATGCATTGGCCTTAAATTGAACATTGATGAGCCCTGCTTCTGTAGTGTCGAGATTAACAGAGACAGCACAAGTTATGCGCACACCGGCTAACAAGGCAATTCCAACTCGGACGAACGTCCTCAGAAACATGGCAGTGTGCGCTGGTAGAGGGGCCTAAAGTCAACAACTCCAGGTACTTATAGAGTAAAAGATACTCTGGAAAAGATATCAGGCGATCAAAAACAGGTGCCCGCATGGCGGCGGAAAAACGATGTATGCCTAAAATTCTGATGCCGTAGTACGTTAGCGCTTTAGCATCATTGACCCCGCGTGCTCCGAGTAAGTTGGAGAACATCCGGAAATGTCCACTCTGGATTCACGATGAACTTCTCCAGGGCCTGGCAGCTGGTTTAAGACACTGCTCGATGATCATTGAGCTTTGAACGTCGGATGCTGACCGCTGCTGATGGGCCAGATAACTACATTCCTGCCGCCCATCACATTCTCTTGCCCCGTTTCACCGTAGGTTGCACTGGCATTTCCAACACGGGGATGAGATAGAGCTCGCAAACGTTTGAAGCACTGGAAGTGCCGGTGCAACTGCAAACACTGGTATGGCTCTAAATGTGTGACAATAGGAAGAAGTTAGTTTGGAACTTTGACGGGAATGAAATCACCAGGTCGAACCTTCCATTCAGTGTTCTGCAACAGACATGTAAGCCACCTAGTACTAATTGCTTCGGCCAATTAGCTTGGTATCAGCAGCTGCAGGGTCCAAGCGAGTGCGTGGGCGAGCTCGAGAGAGGTCATTGAGATTGGCGGCCATTCACAGCGGTATCGAATGAGCTTCGGTCATCGGCGAAGGTTTCGAGCCTAGCCAGCAAAGCACTTCAGATCCGCCAAAGTCGGACGTCATCAATCAAACGAAGTCAAGGTATCGAATTCAAGGGTATCGAGCAGGCATGGTCTACAATTGTGACGACCATCAGTCACGACTAGAATTAACTAACTACATTGCTGTTCTTTAATTTTGGTGTTGTATGTATGTACGTTTGCTTGCGAGAGAGCGAGGAGATGAAGAGTAGCACAAGTTCTGGAGGTTATAAAGATCAAGAGGACAGTCGCAATTAAAGGAAAACAATAAGCGGGGGGGTGAAGAAAATCTACCAACAACCCGACGAAGTCGCGCAAGAAAATGTCGACCAGATACGATAAGCGACATCACAAGGCAAGGAAGACGAATTACTCCGACTCGCTGCCCGAGCTGTCGTCTGAAGAAGAGTCCGATGAATGATCGCTATCATGCTGATGAGCTATTGCAGGTGTAGCGTTGGGTGTGGCAAAGTTGTTATCATCGAAGAGCCGCATCCGTTCCTCCAACTTGCGGATCTTCTCAGCTTCAGCAGTCTCGTCCATGCTCTTCCGTTTAAGGCCACCAGTACCCGTGCCCTTGCCAGTCCGATTCCGTTTCTGCGTTGGCTGCCGCAGAGGCCGAAGCACAAAGTTGTACAACTTTGTGAGAACATGCGGTGGTAGTATGTCAATCTCAAGTTCAATCTCCTCGGTACTCTGCTTGAGTTGTTTATCAATATGACTAGTACATATATCCCAATCGACTTACATCACGAATTTCGGGAACGCCCTCATGAATGATTTGAATGACCTTCTCAAGTTTCACCCCATCGAGACTGGTAATGGCCTCACTCAAGTCCTTCTTCTGCTCGAAGGATAGCGCATCGTCCTCGGCCATAGGCTTCTTCGTCGTGGTCTTACGCTTGCTTCCGTTGGTCGCAGGTGCTGCTTCGGGGCGCGCGAAGTAGCGGCCTTTGAGGTGGAAGCAACAGGAGCCTTCTCTTTCTTCTCCTTTTTCTTCTTCTCCTTAGCTGGCTTGGCCTTCAGAGCCATGAGATTACCGCGCATCGACTCGATTTGAGCCTCCATATTGGCGATCCTGCCTGTGTATATAAGATACATTAGCGGATGAACATACTGGGTATGTGAGATCCACCCACGATTACGTTCTTCCTCCGACTCCTCATCCTCGTACTCCTCCTCTTCATCATCACTTGCATCCCGAAGGGGCGGCAGATTCTTCCACTTCTCAGTCAAACAACCGCTGCAATTCAATCCCTGCCTGATTGACAGGTGTCCCAGCGGGGTTGAACAAGAAACAGTTGCGAATCATGAGCTTAAAGTCATCAAAGAACTTTGAGGCATTGGGATACTCCCCGGCCTCAAGCTTCTTCCGCATGGTGGACATATCCATGGGCTTCTTGATGACTTTATAATATGTCGGAATATCAAGCTTTACAGCATCTGTAGGATTTCATGAGTAAACTCATCGCAAGGTACGAAATTGACTTTGGACATACCGACAGGCTCATAAAATGGAGCAGCGATTGTTTGATGTTGCTTTCGTTGAAGATCACTTAGGATCCTCCCGCAATATTTGAGCTGCTCTCCATGTGCCATCGTCCTTTGGTACCTTAACCCTGCGCATCTTTTTCGGCACAGTCGGCATATGGTAGGTCTTTCGGAGGAGGTGGATGAATTTCACGTTTCGGCCGTGCAGATGCCTGTTCGGCCTCGTTGCGTCGAATGACAGGAACCGAGGTTGAAGGACGACGAACAGGTGCTGTCGCGGCTTTCTTGGGGGGAGCTGGTGGAGGAGGAGGTGTGGCAACTTTCTTGACAACAGGAGGCTTCGGCTGTAATAATGAGTCGCGCACGCAGCATTCATTAAAAGGTGGCATACCTCGGCTGGAGGTGGAAGCTGCTTGATCTGCTTATCAAAGACAGCCTCGACGTGTTTGCCTGCCTGAGCAATCACATGGTCCGGGCCATTGAACGTGATGCAATTACTAAACACTAATCGCACGTCGGAGACGAACTCCTCAGCGCTGTAATAGCGTGGAATGTTGGGACTAGTCTCCGGCTTGGCGGGATTAGACGCCATGAGCTTGCGCTCAATGGTGCTGAAGTCCATCGGGGTCTTGATTATGCTCGGGTAATGAGGAATATTAAGAGCGACGGGGTCCACGGGATGCACAAACGCGGCAGCATCCTTAAGCTTCTTAAGCGAGCGTACCGTCGACAGACAAAATCTGTGTTGCACTGGGCTGAGGGTCGATATGCCGCTACCCGTAGGTATGGGCACTGGGATTGGACTTGACACAACAGTGTCACTATTTGTTTGCACAGAGGACGCTGTAATAGGAGGGGGAGAGCCAGTCTTCAGGGTCGAGGAAAAGAAAGGGATTAACACGCCTGTATGGTGCACAACGAGAACAATGCTTACATTGGCAATGGATGCTTGATCGGCGTCTGAATATTTACGCGCCCGCTTGGCTGGAGGTGGTCTGGCTTCATTATCATCATCGATGGGGTCAGAGCGCTGCTGAGGAGAATCGAAGTTGGAAGTAGCACGCGATGTTGGTGGGCCAGCAGAGTCCACATGAGCTGGTGGTGAATGACGTGGTGTGCCATTGGAGTGACCGTTCAGTAGTAGGGGGGGTCCGGTCCATGTGGACATCTCCATCGGCGTCAGTGGTGTGCACGCCGTTGACGCCATTAGTTGTCGGGACTTGATCCAAATCATCAACTATTGTCTCCTCTGCCATCTTTACATCATCCAACAACTGGCCTTCTATTGGTCTTGGTGTTCCGCTCGGGGGATGAATGGGGATGGAAGCTGTTCTGATAAGAACAAAGAAAACAAAGAATAGAAAAAGAACTAACCTGGATCAAGCGGAGTCGAAATTTCTACACAAGTTGAGAGCGTGTCGAGGATTTCAGACTTTAGAGAAGGATTATTAGAGTCTGAAATCATTCGGTCAAGTTTCAGGTCTACAGAATTTGTGTTACATTTTCAAGTCAGCTGGAGATAAGTAATTAAGTTAGGGATCGCGTGCACCATTGACAACATTGTCGCCGTTAACAGCGGTAGAAAGAATGGATTGTTGTTCGGTGTTGGTCGCGCTATGCTCTGTCGCGTTCATGGGTGGCGCGTGACTAATGTGTCACACAGCGTGACGTTTTCAGAGGAGAGGAGATTTTGGATTTGGGGGAATCGGAAGCCAGCCATTGGGTCTTTATAGGCGAACGGAATTAAGGTTTGACCTGCGCAGGGGCCACTAAAAATTACTCACACCTCATATCTCACGTAGAGCAAAAAAATTGAAACTAATTCCTGCTCTAATACCCACAACCTCATAAGTCTGGTGCTCAACCTTCCTCTTCTTCTTCCTCGTCCTCTGAAACGTTCGCAAATACGGGATTGGGCTGGTTTTGTCGCCATGCTGGTTAAATCCAAAGTAACGCCACGTCAGCCGGCCGATTAAAACAAATAACTCAAAACAATTATTTTCATACTCCGCTACGGCACCTCCCACTTGCCGCAACCCCTCCCCCTCCGCAGCCCAGGCTGCTATTGAAACATGCTGCTCACCTGAAGTCCATTGAGGGTCCTCGTCCGCCATCTTCGCATACTTGAGCAATGCCTCCCGTGGCTACAGTCGTCAAAGAAGTATGAAAGAAAGACATAGTTAGCCACCTTGGAAACCATCAAACAAAAGAAGATAGGAAGCACGTGATTATGACACCGCACTGGCGCACGAGAACATCTTGCTGCGAAGCGACGTAAAGAAAACCAAGAACGCAACTACTCACATCTTCGTCGCGTGTCGTATCCCGCACCAAATTCTGCACAACGTGCTGCGTCGCACTCGCACCAACCCGTCCTCCCCGACCCGGTCCTGTCACCGGCAACTCCGGCCTCCTGCTCTTCCTCGGGTCCATCCGGTCCTTTTCCCGCTTCCTTTTCATTCCCTTTACTAACCCCTCCCCATCTTTGAACATTGGCAAGGCATGCGGCGTCAAGATCGTTGGTGCAGCGAGTGCGTCCGACAAGTCCTCGATCGTCGGTCGCTTGGGGGCTCCCTTTGACAGTAACAGTTTCGCACCGTTCAACGACGTCTCCGGCGAATACAGTACTGCAATAGTGCCGTTGGCAAGACCTGTAATAATTTGATTTATCTTGGAATGCCAGACCACTTTGACTGGTGTCGTGTCCATGTCGATCTCCTTCACCATACTGAGACTCTCTCGGCGGAACAACGCTAGTTTGCCCCGGCCTCCCTTTGCGGATGCCCCTGTGCCTGTTAGGATATACTTTTCATCAGGGCTGAATACAGCATTCGTGCCAGGATACAACGTCGTAGCCCCCGAATGCGACGCGAGCGGTCGTTTAAACGCCCGTAAATCCCACACTGTGCCGAAGTCAGCTAAACATGTCAGCAAGCCTGCATTCGTACGTACGCTTAACGGTGTCGTCCCCTCCTCTCGTCAGTACTGTTCTCCCATCAACGGAGAAAACCAGAGATCCAACATCTGTGCCCTTCGTGTGTGCGCCCTCAATCGTCATGTTTGGCCTCACAAAATTTGATGATGCCTGCCACATATGCAGTGCGCCATCGAGGCAGGCTGAGAGCGATCAATGATTACTTCATCTCGCGATCAAAGCGGGTCTAAATGGACATACCGCCTCCAATCAGCGTTCCGTCGGTAGAGTAAGCGCACGTCGTCACTTTGGTCCGTGCACCACGTTCTTTTGATTTGACAACAATAACGGATTTCTGTTTCCGTTTGTTCTCGACATCCCATATTCTATTCCGTAATGTCAGAAGTTGTTCGTTGATAGCGGCGTGAGAGCTTGCCTAATAGTCGAGTCTGCCGAGCTAGTGATAAAATATTGCTTGTCCTTCGGATGCCACATGCAACTTGAAAGTTCCCCGACGTGTCCACTATAAAATATATGGCGTAAGCAAGTATACTCACGAGTGATATGGAACGGGGCGTACGCAGGTGTGCTTCATGTCTCTAATATACATATCACCCTTGACGAATGTTGCTCTGAGGTCATTCAAGCTATTCTGTTCTGCAACAAGATAGATTAAACTTACTTCTCCTCGCCCTCCCGATCAAACAGCTTGGCTTGAATTGTCCCTGAAATTACGAGGAACTGCTGGCCATCGTTAGAGTACTTAAGGTCGTTAACCTGTCTTCGAATGTCAAATATATCCTTCTCGTCGCAAAACCAACGCACATACATAGTAACTGCCTGCAGGCTCCCACGTCTTAAAGGACCTCGTTTGCGTCGTCATTCCACCAAAATCCCACAACTTACAATCATAGTCATGCGAACCACTCAACACACGTGCACCGCTCGGATCTACCGTAAGCGCGGAAATCACCTTGGTGTGCTCTTTGAGCGTTGCCTCGTGTGTGATCGGGAAATCGGGAGTTGATAGCGAAGGAGCGCTGGGGTCGTATTCTGGCTCGTCGTCAGTAGAGCCAGCATCATCTTCGTTGTCTTCGTCGCCTACGGCCATCAACATCCTGTTTGAAAAAGCCTGGTTGCGGAAGGGAAGGCCCGGGGTCGTCCGAGTCTTCGTCAGATTGAGAAGGTGCCCGAATAGACACTTTGAAAGGCCCTGATGCAGGAATCAAGGGCTTGGCCTCCACTTTGGGAGGCTGAGCGGATAAAACTGTATTAGAGGACAATGGCAACCGAAAAACGATGAGACTGACCACTAGCTCCTCACGTTTCGTTTTGTCGAATCTGTTGGGATCAAGCTCGCGCTTTTTGGCAGCCTTGCCAAATCCAACAATGCCCATCGCAGAAAATACGTCCATGTCGGCCATTGTGTTAGAGTTGACTGTTGGTGTCGATCTGTGGAAGTGGAAAGCTTGCAGCCACATTGCCACAACCTAAATTACCTACTCCCACAAATTCAGCCTAAAATGGAAACCCCGCCTAACTGCTGTCTTGAGGCTTTAAGAACGCTATATCTCAAGCTTGTCCTTCAACCATATTCTGACCTGCAGCCAGAATAACCCAATATGCTCAAACGACAGCGTCCTCCAACGCCCCCACCATCGCTGGACGAGGTTTCGTCGTTAACGCCATTTCCCGATCGACCTATCAGACCAATACCACACCGTGAAACTCCTCCAGACATGTTTTCACAGGAATCGCGTGCTAAAAGACGCAGAATACACCCTCCAGTGCTAGACGGTGCACAGAGAGGCTGGGGTAGACCACCTGCATTGTCAGTGCCTCACGCAGATGATAGCGATGGCGAAGAAGATTGGATAGATGAAGAGGATGACGCGGCAACTGGTTACTTCGCGGCGTCACCGGACTATACAGACTACAAGCGGGCCAATACTATGCTACACGAGATTCATGCTTTACACCAGCATAGGCTTATGTTTACCCAACCGGACTCACAACCACCGTCACATCTATATTTGCCTCTGCACGCAGGCTTCTCAGCCCCTCCACCGCTTATGGCCACTCATCCACATAATCTTTGGCATTCCACTCACGGTCTTCGCCATCCGCCTTCTATTTCATCCAATGGCAAATTATTTATACCAACACTGCCGGAACGCCCTTTGCCTGAGTTCTATTCCCATCTCCCACATGCGGCCCAAACTCCTACTGAATTAACTGCACACACCCCATTGGATTTTCACGAAGTCAAGTCCGTGCGAGAACGGTATGAGGATACCAATAAGTACGACTCGTGCCTTCTCTTCTTTTCATGTGGCGTTGCTAACTGAACCTAACAGACTGTTGGGTTCAGTATTCCTCTCGCGGAGACGGGAACTTCAAGACAGCCCTAATTCCAGTACTCCTGTCACAGAGCGAGGCCACTGACCAACACCGGAACTTACTATGAGATCGAGCCCTTAGATCAGGTGCTGTGGACATAGACCTACCATACACCCGTCGTGATCGGCACCTTCGATTCTATCATCGTTCAGTCCGCCACTACGGATGTCTTCTTCCGAATTACTGTCGCGTGCTCATCCTCACATCCTACTTTATTTGGCATGTTCGCATTCTTTCATCTATGAGCATTCTTGGGCACATTGGTTTTACACCACTATCACAAACTGTACTATCGTGCATCGCAATTAAACCACAGCTTGCAAAAGGCGGAGCAATTCATATCCGTTATATGTAGGCAACGAAGTATCAACGGAATCACACCGACAATCTATGGAAGCATCCGTAAGTGACATTCATAGATTTTTCTTTGTATTGGCAAAGGTGGAAAAAGTTCTACCCGTTATGCGTAGGCAATTAAGAGATCGTAATGGCAATCTATGCAACCATCCGCAACAAGTCTACTCCTGTATCTGCGCAGACACACCCACTAGATGCAGGGAGACTTTCGTCTGGAGCATATCCGTTATCTCCCCATCAAGCAGTTCGCCAAGTCCTATTCCATCTCGTGCATATTGCCAGTCGTCTGATTCCAGTACGTAATCATAGCGCTTGGGGCCACTAATAAATTCGCGTTTCATGAGTGGACGTTCATCGGCGAAATCAGACATGCGAAGTAAAAAAAGAAGTATGTCAGTGTGAGACTCATCATCAATCAGGCGGACGAATTCAACCTACCTGAGTGGGGAAGAGAGCCATATTTGCTTGTTCGGCGGTTGCTTATTGATCACGTATGTCCCATGGGTGCCTAAGTTGAGCGTCAGGACGCCGCTCTGCGGAAGAAGCAAAATAGTGAGTCAAGGGCACGACTACGGGGCCAAGATTCTAGTATTTTCGAGCATGCTTACATGATAGTCTACTTCATACGCGTCATTCCCTACTGTGTCCAGCAAATCCTCGAGCCGTTCGAGTAAAGTTGTCATGGTCGCGTCGGAAAGTGCGTGATACCGCTCTATAGATAGGTCACTGCATGCAGTATTGGAAAACAATTTGCCACCTTGAGTAGGATGGGGAAAGTAAGAGCGGACCTGACATTGACCATGGGGGCAGGTGTGCTCAAGGTCCGTCTGCACACGTAAAGGTGCGTCGCTAGCGGAGCCCGCGTTGTCAGTGGGACATGTCTTATTATCGATGACATTCTATTTGCAGCTGCATTCTGCCAATGTAAGCTCATGCTTTTTGGAATGCGTTGAAGCAGGTTGCGGGGAAGCATCATGAAGCAGCACGGACTAGCCGTGAGAACGACTTCGATTAAGAAACCTCGAGGTTGGATCACGAGACAACCACGGGCAATACGAGACTATGAGTGAAAAATGAAGTGTTCGAACTTCTTGAAACGTCGACCACGCTCTCGAAATTCATGCAGGGTTGAAAATTAGAAGGGTCATTTTAAACTCATTTCATCCACTATGAAGAAAAAATATTCTCGAGGGCTGTATTATGCATGTTGCATTATTAAAATGCGGGGAAGTCCATCAAGCAGTAGACCCCTTGCCTCCTCCTTCTCGTGACGTCCACTCTAGCCACGACCCTTCATAGTTAAAAATGCTAAAGAAACATGAGTGCACGTTGTATCAAAGCACAGTAGAGATGGCCAGTCTGCGATCACTTACTTCTCGTATCCATTCCTCCGTGCAATATCGCATGCACTAGCACTCCTCATTCCACTACGGCAGTAAAACACGACTTCTTGTTGCTTTCCTGGCTTCTCGAAACCATGCTGCGCCTTGAAGGCTTGGGGCGTAAGGTGGAACGAATTGGCAAGTACCGAGAGTGGTAGATTCACAGAGGATGGAATAGAGCCCTGCATAACCTCGTCGGGCTCACGCACGTCAATCAGGTAGGCGTCCTAGGTGGTAAAGTGGGTAGGCACAGGCACAACGTGAGAGCGCGACGTACTGCACTGGGACTGAGGGTCTTTGGTTTTACTTGCTCGTATGTGAGCACAGGCCCTTGCCAATCCTTCTGGAGTTTGTCCTTGGCCTTGCGAGCAGCTTTCAGAGTGTCATCAGCTTTGCTCGACTCATACCGTGCGAAAACCTGATGGGTTGGTCTCGCGACTTGACGTGCAAGTAGCGTAGGGCGTGCTGAACAGCGGGTGGTGTTGAAAAGTGCAGTTCGCAGCATCCTTGAGCTTGATTCCTATAGGGTGCAAGTAATATCAATGAGTTGTTAAAACATAATGTCTATCATCCACGAACAGAGGCTCCGTAAGCCATTGCGTGATCCGAATGGCCGACTATTCACGTGATCGATACGCTCTTTTTGCTATTGGTTGTCGCAGAAATGCCGCAGTCTTTCCGTTCCCTCCCCTGCCAGCACTTTATCCTTCATCTTTCATCTTGCCTTCATCGCTCATGCCTATCTGTGCGTCAGGGGCTTCAGCATTTCACCTCGGTGCTACAAATATTTTATTTCAGCAGTTTTAGACGTCTTTAGGAGCGGTTACCGAACGGTTCTCAAAGTAACAAGCATTGTGTGTGTTTTTTCCCCTTGACACCTCGCAGTACAAGTGGGAGTGTTATCCTCAACAAGCTTGTACTGTGACGTGCCATTGCCTCACAACTCATTCTATCGGTCATCTCGCGGGCTCCATGTTTTCTGGGACTTGACATCTTTTCCGGTTGCATTCCTCGTCCCCTCGTCTCCGTGGTCTAGGTCGCCCGCAAAAGGATTTACATGCGTGTTGTCATCTCTTTCGATATTCCTCCTGGGGTTCTGCCAGGGTTTTGCTCACTACATTGTACCAGGTTCTTCAAATCGTGTGAGAATATGTTTCCATTCTCAGCGACCAGCGCTCATCGTTGATAGCTCTTTCAAGCAGTGATGGACAACGTCAATCACCAATCGGGTCTTTATGTCCTACGCATATCCTGATGTGCATCGCTGTTCGGCCGAAATTGTACCGATCCGGCGAACCATGCATGGTCCAGTTCACGTCAGCTCACCTATTTCCCCGAGTACGTTCCACGCGGTAATAAATTGGCCGTGACATGCGAGCGTTATTCTCCGAATCTGGTTGACGCGGCACTGTCCTCAATTGATCTTATATATTACCTGTCCGACCACTGATGGAAAATGGTGATCTGTCGTAGTTTCGATAACGGTTCTGTGACGGCCTCTCCCAAGGAATTTCTTTTGAACGGCTGATTCAGCTATGGCACCTTGCAAGAAACATCGAATCTCAATAACTTCACAGGATAACACGCTATTCAGCGCTCAGCTTCCGGAATTCATGATAAACATTGAAGCAACGCAATCTTGTGACAGATATCGGGTTACCCTGAACCAAGGGTTGCCTGATATAACCAAATTTCGGCAATACGCGAGGACCTGTCTTTTTAGTCTTGCGATACCTCTTCGCTTCCCATCTTCTGGATACGGTCACCTTGAGCTCTTGAATTCGCCATGGATATGAACTCTACTACTACTACTACTACTACTACTACGGCGATGACTATGATGACGCCCTGGCTACATTTCAGTGGTGGAGACTACTTGATTTTCAAGACTTGGATGCCTGAGTCGAAAGGTGCAATCGCCGGCGCTTGCATTGCGCTAGTCGCATTTTGTATTCTTGAACGTTGGATTGCGGCGCTCCGGCGTCAAATGGAGATTAAATGGGGGTCAGGGTTAGCTATGCTTAAACATACCGCATGATTAATGCTGATTCGCTTTGGTTAGGGCGCTTGTGCTAATTCGAAAGCAGCATAATTCGTATGGTGTCGACGATAAGCCCAAAGACCCCTCTGATAAGATAGATGGGATTGAGGAAGGTTGTTCCTCTCTTCCAACCACCCCAGTGACAGTCCCCAGTCGCCCGAGGCTTGTACCTCCCTTCATTCTCATGCACGATATCACACGGGGGATATTCCAGGCTGTTCAATCACTCTTTTCGTACGTCTTGATGCTGGCCGTCATGTAAGTCGCAACGCATAAAATCCTAAGGAGTTCAACTTAGCAAAAATAGGACATTCAATGCCTCGTATATTATATCCATCATTTTGGGTCTTGCCTTAGGCGAAGTTCTGTTCGGGCGAATTGGTCGCTTGAATGGAGGTCCAGTTTAAATGTGGTGAAGTCTACCTGACCAACACTCTGCTTTTGATGACTTTCTTGCTGTGTCCTTGCTATCAATCGCTTTCGTGTGGGTAGTTTGATGGTTGCAATTATATATGAATATTTGCACACGCATTCTTGTAATCTGATAGTCAACTATGCAATCCATATAGTACTCTTACAGTGGGCACGTGTTCCATGTTCCAAGGCAACTTATGATCCTACGTGATCATGCGATTTGTCGCGCATCGCACAGTCGGACTTCCAGTGGAATGGTATGATTAAAGTCCGAATCAACCACCACCATATCATGGGCTGCGATGGGTCGCATCAGGCTACCGGTTTGGCTTGACTTGCTCTGTTCACGTACTTTCTGAATCCAGCTTCGTCTATCGTAAATATATTGAGGTCAGACAAACAATGGCTGGGACCAAACGTTAGCTTGGTTCGAACGCTGGCAAGATATGTGGGCTGATTGAATGACCATTTTATGAATGTTGAAGCTGGCAGTGGGTATTTAATTATATACTAAAGAACATTGTGATGTGATTGTATTAAATCCTGGGGGTACCGGTGGAGGGTGAGCGGACCGTATGATGAAGAAAACCGAGAGGAAAAATATTACGAGCTGGACGTGTGGTGCCGATTCTTTCCGAGCGTTCAGGAACAGGTGCCTTTCACGGTTCACCTGAAGGACCCAAGCACCGGTCTGCAAACAAGAGCAAAGAAGTGTGAAAAACTTTTTCGTAAGGCTTAAATATGAAGGAGCAGACTGAGCAGACTGGAAGCAGGCCTTGAATTATTTCTTGAGTCTGGTTTATCCCATCGTTGTCAGAATGATCTTCCCCTCCATCTCTGTCGCTGTTGTCCTTTCTGCAGCTGTACAAGCTCACTTCCAGATGCAATACCCTATTCCAAGAGGTCCTTTCGTCGAAGACTCTGAACCGTTGTTCTGCGGTGAGCGCAAAATAGTCTGGGCGTCTGTGTACATGCCCTCATCTGATTTTATGTAGACGGTTATACCAACGCCGTGAATAACCGTACCATATTTCCCCTTAGTAACGGGATCATTAACATGAACAGCGAACATCCGTTGTGGACAGGTGGGTCAAAGGGGGCTGCTCTTTTCTCGCAGAAGCTGATGATTTAAAAATACAGCGGAGGTCATTGTCTCGACATATCAAAACCCGGATAATTTTAGCGAATTTAATTCTAGCTCTGGTTATCAGACTGTAGTTCCATTCTTCCAGCAAAGCGGGGAGGGGCTGTACTGTTTTCCTATTGATCTCGCTGCTGCTGCAGTAAATGTGTCCGGTATTCAAGACGGTGCGAATGTTACTATTCAGGTTCTCTTTAATGGCGGCGACGGTAGTCTCTACCAGGTAGGCAGTCTTCTTCTGTTTTTTTTTGATTATGATTATTGAAATGAACATTGCGACAGTGTGCGGACTTGACTTTATCTGCTAACATGACGGCTCCGCCGGCCAACGCCTCGTCCGGCTGCAAGAACGTATCTGCTACGACTAGTAGTGGTGCTGGTAAAGGGGTAGTAGAAGTTGGATCAAGAATTATCGCTGCAGGAGTGCTTAGCATGGCGATGATGCTACTTTCCGCCCTGTAAAAGTGTAGCAAACGGTATCTTGAGGCAATAACTGCTATGTACTTCAGTATTACTTTTATCAAATTTATGTATCCGTCAAATGAACTTGCCCATGCTCAATGACCCACTTAATTTCATTGGATTGACTCATGACGCATAATTGCGGCCAGATCTCGTAACCTCTCACTTCTGCTTATGTAATACAATTCGGATGACTAAGCTACGTCCACTGAAAGATGTGTTTTGAGCGGAACTCCAGCAAACCTGGACCAGCAACTTCCCTCTTGCTTCTTACCACAACATCATGTCAGGTCTGGATGATGACTACGACATACAGGATCCAATTCAACAGGAAAACGAAGAGGAGGACAACGAGCAGCAGTCACAACCAAGGGCGAGCGGGAAGTCTCGAGGATCTATTTATGACGCATTAGATGGCGAGGACGAAGAAGAGGAAGAAGAGGATGATGAGGATGAGGAAGACGAGGAACCTGGAAGGGACCGTGGGCGAAAGCGCGCAAAGGTCCGTGCCCTTGCTGACCTGCACCACTATGTGTATTAATATACTGCAGCACCGGCACAGACGCAATGCTGTGAATCGTTTCCTTGATGTTGAGGCCGAGGTCGATACCGAGGAGGAGGAAGAGGAGGAGGAAGATGAGGCAGGGGGAGGTATGATTCCTTCTGCTAGCTCGTTCATCTCCAATACTCACAAACATTTCATCATATTAGACGAGTTTATTGCTGATATTGGGCCAGAGGGTGATGAAGACGACGTGAATAGACGCGCAGCAGTCAATGCGCGGCTGGACAGGCGAGAAAGGGAGCTGAACGATCAAGATTTGGCCAAAATTGCCCAGAATCTTCACGAGCGTTATGGTCGGGCAGCAGTGCGGTACACGGGAGACATGAATGAAGTACCGCAGCGCCTGCTTATGCCATCCGTGCATGACGCAAGCTTATGGCAAGTTCGGGTCAAGGTGAGCTTCTCAAAGATTCTTCCTGATCAACTGAAGCTTGAATTATGTGGTAGCCCGGTCGTGAACGCGATATCGTCTTCAGTCTCATGAGGAAAGCAATCGATCTCGAGTACACCGCTCAGCCTCTCTCGATCCTATCTGCATTCCAACGCGACTCGCTTCCCGGTATGGTATACGTCGAAGCACGGAGTGCCCAGCAGGTCAACCAGGCTTGCAAGGGTCTTGTCGGCGTGTACCCGAGCCGTGGCATTGTACTGGTTCCCATCGAGGAAATGGCTAGCTTACTGCAAATAAAGAAGCAAGACCTTACCGTGACACCCGGAAGCTGGGTGCGCATCAAGCGTGGCAAGTACCAAGGTGATCTTGCACAGGTCATGGACATCACAGAAAACGGAGAGGACGTTGGACTTAAATTCATTCCGCGTATCGACCTGAACCCACGGGACGATGCCAACGTTGATGGTCGGAAGCGCAAGAAGGCTGGTACTGGGTTGACGACAATGCGACCGCCACAGCGGTTCTTCAACTACGAGGAGGTCGTTAAGGTACATGGGCGTAAGCAGGTCTCAAAGCGGAACCAGGTTTACGTCTTCCAGAATGACACGTACAAAGACGGGTTCATCGAAAAGGACTTCAAGCTTAATGCTCTGCAGCTAGACAACGTCAACCCGACACTGGACGAGATTACGAAGTTTAGCCGAGGGCAGGATGGTGCCGACAATGAAAATCCGGTGGATCTGTCGATCATTGCGGAAGCGTCGCGGAAAGCTGCCATTGCTGTGCTGCAGCCCGGTGATCACGTCGAGGTATTCGAGGGCGAGCAGTCTGGTGTCTACGGTGTCGTCGATTCGATCAATCAAGATGTCGTGACCGTTACAGCTATTGGCGTTGATATCGATGGTCAGAAGGTGGATGTTCCTGCGCGCAGCGTGCGGAAACGCTTCAAGCCAGGTGACCATGTCAAGGTAATGACTGGTCAGAATGCAGATGAGACGGGTCTTGTCATCTCGGTAACAGACAATGTGGTGACTTTCCTATCAGATATGTCAATGCAGGAGGTAAGCAGAGCTTCGTTGACTGCTATTTGATTGATATTAATATCCTCGCAGGTTTCCGTGTTCTCTAAAGATCTGCGTGAGGCCGCCGAAGTTGGTTCTGGAACCAACGTTGTTGGCAATTATGAACTGCACGACTTGGTTCAGCTCGAGTAAGCCGATCACCCAGCATCTTTGCATGTATTTATCTGATTATTGGTATACAGCTTGCAGACTGTCGGTGTCATTTTCAAAACCGAGCGAGACTCCTTCCGTGTTCTTGACCAGAATGGTCAAGTACGATTGGTGCAACCTCACCAAATCTCGATGCGGCGGAACTCTGACCGTGCCATTGCTACGGACTCTGAAGGTCACGAGCTCCGTGTACAAGACAACGTAAAGGAGATTGAAGGAGAGGTCAGTCCTTCCTTGTAGCCTCTAATAATCCCACAGTTTAAATGCTTTTGCAGGCTCGCAAAGGCCGAGTGTTACACATTCACCAGTCATTCTTTGCCTTCCTACATAACAGGGACATCCTTGAAAATGGTGGTGTATTCGTAACCCGGTGTCGCTCCCTAGCATCGCTCGCTCCAAAGGGCAACCTCGTCAAGCCAGGAATGGATTTAGGCAAGATGAATCCCACCGCTGCTGGCGGCGCTCAGGGTGGCATGGTTGGCTCTGGTGCAATGGGGCGCGGACCACGAGATCGTGACATTGGTGCAGTCATAACGGTCGTCAAAGGCAATCACAAGGGGTACAACGGTATCATCAAAGACATCAATGGTACCCTGGCGCGCGTTGAGCTAAATACTGGTAATAAAGTTATTACCATTGAAAAGCAAAAGTTGTATCGGAGACTGTGAGACATTTGCTGTTTGTGTTGGTATTTCCCCTGCTTACCTCTAATTATAGTCCGGATGGCAAACTGCAGCCACTTAATGCACCCTACCATCAACAAGGCCAACAACGAAATATGGGTCCCCCAGCCGGAGTCCCCAGTCGGACCCCGAATCCATATACTGCTAGCCGTACCCCTGGTTGGGGTGGCGGTCGGACTCCGAACCCATTTGCCAGTGGGGATGGCAAGACACCTGCATGGAACGCCTCATCACGAACGCCAAATCCATACGTTGCTGATGGTAGCAAAACCCCCGCATGGAATGCCTCGTCACGGACGCCGAATCCGTATGCTGGTGGTGATGGTGGTAAAACTCCCGCGTGGAATGCGTCAGTCGCGGACACCAAATCCCTATAGTGAGCCATCGTGGGGATCAGGCGGTTGGGGTAGTGCATCGCCTGCACGTCCAGCGGACTCGAGCTGGTCGTCTTGGGTGAGTTCCTTTTGAGTTTAATCTGATTAAGGACTCATGAGCAATCAGAACGCACCAACACCAGCTGCTGCGGCAACTCCTGGTTTCTTATCTGCACCAACCCCTGCTGCATATACAGGCGCACCTACACCAGCAGGCATTATGAATGACCCTGGTTCAATGTCTGCACCTACACCAGGTGTTTCGGGTAACGAAGATGACCATGACTCGGACTTCGGTACGCACAATCAAAACAACTGAATGCCTTCTATTTACACAAGAGACAGGTTTGGTGCTACGTGACCCTTTGATCGCGAACAAAAAGGTGGTGGTGGAGATTCGAGGCTCGGCGGATGCAGGATGGCTCGACGGCGATTTGGAGTTCAAGAAGGGATATGTCTCCTCAGCCTTCGCTTCCTTATCTGAGATCACAGCACTGTTCCACCCTCTGGATTCGCCAGGGGACCCTCCAGTTCACGTACCGACAATCTATCTTCAGCCTATCCAGCCAGAGGAGGTAGAAGATCATGCTCTCGTTTTGCGCGGAATTCACAGAGGCAAGCATGTTGTCTTAAGAGAGAGTGCAGGACATGGAGTTTGGAAGGTGTCGCAGTTTCAGGACCCGGAGGCATTCACAATTGACGAGGAGAAATTGGTGAAGCTCTACCATGTTTGATTGAGGGTTGGTCTCTGTTGTTTTTACTCTAGTTGTTTTGCTGTTACACTAGTTTCATCTTGTATAAATCCCATTTTTGTCGCAGACAATAAAAATGAACTGTGATCTCATGTTATAGATAGACCAAACACGTGTACTCCTGAAGTGGCGTGCGGCACCAGCAGCAGCAGCGCTTGGGATCGATCATTTAAATTGCTTCTACGGTCTGAGCTCTAGCTCTAGTCGTTAACCATGGAACCCAACCCATCCATTAGCATATCGACAATACGAACTTTGCACGCTCCCCAAAGTATCGGAGAATATCCTAGTACAATCTCAGCCGTCGTCACCAAGGTCAAGCGCCCTGGCGACTTCCCCAAACAGCCCTTCTGAGTCGGTATCCTCATTACCTTCTGTCAGCTCTTCATTCTTCTTCTCTTCCGCAGCTGCCAGTCCACCGCACTCGCAGCCTCAGTCTAATCACTATGCACGGGATTCTAGTACACAGGGGCTTATCATACCGTCTCTGACCCTACCAGCTCCGTTGCGTCGTCCCACTCCTTTTGGAAAGACCCTTGGAGATTTAAGGTTGATAGTTGTAGGGAATGGTGCTGATGACCGTGAGCTGGTATCCCATATACTCTTGGACGACAACGAGGATGTTGTGGACATCAGTGGATGGGAGGATTTCGAACATGGTTCGATTCTAAGAGCATCCACAGACTGGATCGAGCATCGGGATGCCCACGGACTCGAGAAATTTGAGCCTGCGAAGAATGTCGAAATCATATCCCTCGCACGACACGAGTTCGATGATAATGTACGTCATAATATGCATGGTGAATTGATTCAAGTTAACCTCTCCTCCCAGTCAACGAAATCTTCCATATTACCAGTCATTCAGTCGCCATTTCACTCAGTATCTGAATTAATTGATCCCCGATGCCAGGCATCCGCCGCTCTGGCTAACTTAATTGCATCACCGTGGTCACCATTGCACACCGCACTCATTATCCTATCCAACTCAGGTAAATATTAGTTCCATGCATTATAGCTGCTACTTCTGACTTTGCATTACACAGGCCCATCCACTTCGGAGGACGGCCCCATCGACTTACTTACTCCACATATACCTGTCATACTCATGCGGCATGGCCCAGATCATACGCATTTCCCTTCGCGCCCCCACATGTCTTCATTTAGGCCACGTTCAGCAGCTGCTCTTCGGAATGGCCTTTTCCGCTCACCAGAGACGCTTTCCTCACTACGTTATGAAGCGGCAGAGCGCTTCCTTCGCTGGCGTGAAGTCGAGTGCGCTGTAGAAGGAATCAACGCCTCCCATCGAGAAACTATTTCCTTGTCCTCCAATGAACCTTTATGGAACAAGGCGAAATGGGAAGCAGAATGGGAATCTCGATTGTCCCAGGATGTTGCTATTTCTTGCGAGCGCGAAGACCCTGTAAGGGTTCCAGCGCAGCAGTGCTTTGATCCACTACACTTATCATCACTAGTTTCGTTCTCTTTGTGCCTCCTTGATCCTGCGACGAGATTGCTCAGTAGGAGCGTTTCTACGTTTGTCGATAAGTTGGCAGACAACCAAGTCAGGATAGCAATGGTGGGCAGTTTGTGTTTGGGAATTGGGATCGGGATGATGATACGATGAGGGACGGCATTTCAGAAGGCAGTTTGTCATGAGGAGCGTGCGTTCGCTTGATTCTCGTATACATATTTGCGTTAATTCTGTAATATCCGTTTCATTTCACTATTACTTACTTACTGCGCATCTATTAGTGGTAGTCGGAGTGCACGATCCAGAGACAATTCAGCGCGCGATTCAGAGGGGTTCAGCGATTCAGTGCGCGATCAGGAGACAACTCAAATTTCGAACCGCGTGAAAATTGCTAGGCAGTGAGGTATTCGATAACAGACCTGTGTTTAAGGGTAGTATTCATTCTAGACCGCAAGATTAGATTTGCGCACATATTCATGGTTGTGTATTCTCCTGCAATAGTCAGAACTCCAATGAACGGAACACGTTGCGACACGCATCAAAGTACTAACTCAAGGACGTAAGCGACCACCCACGTGTCATCCCGCCGACTTTGCTTGACATCAATAAAGGGTCTGTCCTGTCTTCATGCGGTGACAGTGATCATGGTTGCGGCACGGGCGCGACGCTGAAATCGATGATGTAAAGCTGGAGCCTATTTATGTTACGGCGAATGTAACCAAACATGAGTGGATACACTTGATGTGGGAAATCTACAACGATCAGGTTGATCAGGCAGAGACGTCATGACCGCACCAACTGCTGCAAGTAGACATTGATTGGGGCATGAATCAGCTGGAGGGCTGTTGCAGGTGGCGTATCTGTGGTGCTTATTCACCGACTGGAAAAAAATCGTCCGGATGGGCCTCGGCAAAAAATAGGGTTACTTTGTGTGCCTCGGGTATTGCGGATGTGCCAATACGATGGGCCGCATGATTGGCGAACTGAAGCATGGCGGATTACCGATATGCCAAGTTTAATCAGGGTGGCATGCCGCCGTATTTTCCACACGTGAAAAAGTGTAGATCGTTAAACTGCTGCAGAGCCATGAGCAAAACCAAATGGTGTAGCAATTTCCCGTTTCCGGGAGCCGCGGCAAAGAGCTCAGTACCGTAAAGCCGTTGTAGATCATAAACACAGATGTCCTGTATATGCAGAGTTTCCCAGACAAGCGATAGATCTTGGAGGTGCCATTGATTAGTGCCATCGGGATCATGGTCGATATCACACATATGAGCACTAACCACCAAGATTGTACGTTCAGGAACTGTCGTCGGCCTATGGTACCGAATGACTGCACCATTCCCTCGAATTAACCGCGCAAAATTTGGGGTCCGCTTACAGGGAAGCGCGTAGGTTAGACAAACGTGGTGGTTGAGCACCTTCCAGCGCGTGAGAATACCTCAGCAAAAAATGCATAACGTAGAACGAGGACATCTTGCCCGTCGCCGCGTTTATGGCGCAGCGTGTCGGCCCTGATAGGTTTTATCGAGCAAAACGTCAAACAGCACGAAATTGCCGCGCCCTGATCGTCTTCCACTCTCGGTGTGCCTTATGTACAAGTCGGTTCAACACTAGGTAGGGGGAATAGATAAGGCAGATATGGCCGAGCAACCGTCTGTTTTAAAACCACGAGGTCCTGTCGGTAAAATTCCGAGTCAAGGAGGTAAGTAAGTCCCGCAGTACGTCCTGCAGCGGCACCGCGGTACTTAAAACTCTCGGTCATTTGCAGCTCCCACTACCTTCCGAACCTAACAGACATAAACAACGTCGGCGAGCTGTTGCTCACTGCTATATGGCTTGGCCTGAGACTTATGATTGGGATTCTCAGACTCTATCAGACTTCACAAGGCCTTTCATCCGATCAAACTCCGCGGTTCGATTCTACTATCTGCACAAGTGCGCCCAGTACTCTTCTCTGACAAAACCAGTGTCAAGCGACTCAACTCTCCTTTTAAGGGAGTATATCATGGATCACCTTATCGTCCCTCACTCATTCCCGGCAGAATGCGAATTATTTTCCATATCGAAGCAATCTAGAAGTAATTCCTGCTTCATGTATGAGAATCACATGCCCGAGCACTGCCCGAGAAGTCATCTTCTGGCTTGCGCAACCCTGCGGCATGGCTCGGATATTCAGAGGGGACCCGTCCTCGGTTACGGATTCAAATTCGAATGACGGCTCATGCACAGACATGCGATAGTGTCATCATAAACCGTCATAGGGCGGGACATATTTGAAGAATGCTCCCTAGAGACGGGCCGTTAGGTGCAGTGAAGCAGTTTTGATTTCGTAAGTCAAATGATATATGCCTATACGAGCCTGTCTCGGCCTCATTTGATCTTATCTTGCTTAGTGGGCGCAGCCGCGCAGTCGCGTCGCTGCCTACCGAGTGGCAGTGCCGAGTAAAGTCTTACTTATATTGCTGTATCGAAGCGAACAGCATCTTCCTCATGTTAGCGCATCTGTTAGAGGTATCAGGTTAACCTTCTGCGCCGCAGCCATGAAGTGGCTTCGTCGAAAGAACGAGCAATCTTGGGAGGTTGTAGGTTGCGAGTGTATCGATCCTGTGCCAATGATCGATGATGACGATGGTGCGTTGGTCTGGTCCTGGGCCTGTGAATCATTTCCTATCAAGCCATTCCCCATCCCAGAACTTGATATCCTGCGTGTCAAAGATACGGCCACGTGTGGGACATACATCTTCGACCTCGGGAAGCGTTCACCCCAAGGCTCCGATTATTGCAGAGCAGTGCTTTTCGCCAGGCAACAGTTGCTCCAAGAGATTGTGAAGAACGGTTACAACATTTTAGTTTTGGAAAGGTGAGTAAATCGAATGTATGCTGCAATAAGAAGTTTCCTGATGATGCACACATTGACAGCTGGACGCTAATTCTTTATCGCAAGGGGAAGTCGCATCGTATAGAGGTGCAATATGCGGGGCGACCGGCACACGTGTCAGGTAAAGCGCCACCATTTCGCCCTCCACCGTTCATGGCCGTCTTGGAGTCGCAGCATCTTTTCTCGTAATTTGTTGACCACAATTGTATCTGAAGCCGAGAGTCCAGGCCATCATAACCCATCGTGTATTTTATTTCTGCCTCATGCTGTCCTACCACACACATCCCAATTCGTATATCCTTGCTCTACACGCCTGTCGGTCGTAAGGAACATGACGCACCATATCCAGAAATGAACGTCTTCGCAAGATGTGACGATCCCAAGGACTAAGGGGTATCAACGATTCATCGTGTAAAGTTACCTCAAGGAATTTGCAAATGTCAGCTCTTAATTCTGGTGGCCCCTCGTGGTAGGGTTCTTGCCATCAATAGGACACCTCGGAAAGCGGAAAGGCCCTAATCGGCCATAATTCAGTGCACGTATATAATCCAGCAGTTTCACATAATGGCGCCGTAATTATCACTATTCTAAAAGCTCCTCTGCTACCTCTCCTACTCATGACCTTCAAGGACATCTTTTCCCCAACTATTATGGTCCAAGTCTGCAACCGCGCCTTCACCAACTTCTGTCATAATCATCTTGGTATACAGATACATCAAGTCAACAAAAGTCATATGCTGGAGACCGAACGCGTCGAGAGCTCGTCTGGGCCGGCGCGTACACACGCATGTTTAGCAGATTTGAAACCAACAGTTGTTGGTCCTAGAGTGCAACACAAGGACGAGTTCACCTGCAAAGGGGGTGTCGACGCCGGAAGACTTGTCAATCTAGCTCGCAAGGGCTTGTATTCGACGGCAAAGGAGATGGGCGGGAATGTTCTCCTCGAGGAAAGGTCAGCATATCCTGCATCTTGGTCTTATTCGCTGCTAACCCATGTCATTAGATGGGACTGCGAGATCCGGCATCCTAGATACCAGCGCCGCGACCAATTCAAAGTCACAGTGAGTGACCCGTTCCGTGTTCATTAGTACCGAGATCGAACCCTCCCATAGATTCATTACTCGGCCACGGTAGCCCGATCATGCAGGCCTGATGCACAGAAACCTGTTGAAATTGAAGCAGCTAAAGGTATAAGGGGATTAATGACCGTTATAGATCGTCATCCGGAATTTTGAGAAAAAAAATGTTGTTAATCCACGGACAGCGTGGGTAATCATTGAGTATTGTATTTTTAGCCGTGGAGGATTCGGCAGATCACTGTATATCTTAGGTCCACATTAATAGCAGGGAAACATGGAAGTAGGAAATGGTTATGTAGCACCACATTAGTAGCTCATGTATATGACGCACCAACATAATGACAGATGGTTGATTTCAATGCGAACAGATTTCAAGGTCTTCGATATTTGTGACAAGGATTAAAAAGGGAAGATTCAGTTTTCCGCCTTCTCAATCTTGCTAGATTCCCGACTCGCATATCCGGTCCAAGACTAGCAAACATTAATAGCCCGCAAAAATCTCGCGCAGATCATAGCTCACCTCATCATACAATGCCACATTTGGAACATCCAATAACTTCAGTCCTAACCAGAGGACTCCCGCAGTCATACCACTTCCACAAGATGTGATAATTGGTCGTTTTCCTTGTATAACGGCTTCCGCGTGATCGCCTACGTGACTCACCAATGCATTCCGTAAATCCGGAAGGGATAGGAAAGTGGTGTATTGTACGGAAGAATTAGGGATGGTACGAGTCTGCAGGAATGCAGTGAATGGCAAGGAGAACGAATGAGGAATGTGACCGGATGATAAGCCTGGCCGCGGTTCTGGGTCTGTGCCTAGGAATCTACAAGCGCAAGGAACCGTAAAGCTTTGTCCGCAAAGCTCGCTATTAGTTTTGCTCACCGACCACGGGAACGAGCGTCAATGACAAGCTCGACGGCTGGCTCCGAGTGAAGATCCGTAAATGAGTTTGTCACCATTTGATCGTAGGCTGTGAGAGGCCGCGAGCTTGGACGACATTGGAGGATAGCGAACATGAAGTCACTCACACCGTACCATTCCCTTATCGAAGACAGGAGTGGGATAAACGGATTTACTAGCACAAGCCGGCGCGTTAGCCTCAATTGGAAAACCCTCTGCCTCCCAACGTGGCAGACCTCCGTCGAGGATACTCGATTTCTCGTGGCCAAACGCTCTAAACATGAAGAGTGCACGTGGTGATGAAAATACTCCATGCGTATCATATCTGCGCAATGATATAGTTCAACAATACGCTCTGATGGGAGAAGTGTGAAACCGTACAAAATTACATGAGAAGTGGGCTCGATTCCGAAGGCCTCTGTTATGAAAAAAAAAGAGGATTAGGAAATGTGATTGCAGTCTGCAAGTCACTAATTGATCATACCGCAAGCATCGGCAAAGTGACGTTCACTCGGAATCATATGTTTGAGGCCAAGTTCATGGGGAGAGGACACTTCATCAAGGTCTAAAAACTGCGCACCAGGGATGCGCTTCTCCTGGAACTCCTCGTTGGCCTTCCGCGGGGAATTAGGCATGAACCAGCTAGAGTCCAGGATCGATACATGTTTGGTATCAGTAGAAGGCAGCAACTGCTGCAGCTGCGATGGTGATAACAACAATGGCGTCGACATCGATCTTGAAAAAGCCCTCTTGACCGTCAAGGAAGTTATCGAAAAGCGTTTCCCAGCTGCATTCACGCCATTCCGACTCAGCAAGGCCAGCAACATGGCAGTTGAATTTTAAAGAATAATTTTTTTGGATTTCCATTGATTTCACCATCTAAGTCCATATTGGGCGGTACAGCGTTCGGTACAGTGAACATCGTCACTGAATCCACCAAAGTACGACATGCCATCCGACCAAAGCACTTGGTTGATCGCAGTACCGCAGGATGGTGACTCAGAGGGTCTCCTACCAGAAATCACAAGCAAGCTCCCTCAACTCACGGGAGTAGCAGAGCTTGGCATTCCCTCATTCAAGGTCCTTCATTTCGTACTCATCGGGCATGGACCAAGCCATCTCATGAATCGTCGTGTAGACAGGGACATTAGACTCCCTGATCGCCCTGTCAGAGGAGCTGCCAAAACAGGACGCGTTCTTTACAGCGACTGTCGCAAAGATTGTAGACACCCTCCGCAACTTGTTGAATAACGACCCGACCAAGCTTGTCCAACATGTCCTTGTAAATGAAGGCAGCGTCGATGACTACGTACTTCGGGGCTGGAAATGGAATGATAGTCGATATGGGGTGCAACGGAGTCTGCGGGAAATGGTCGATGTCCTGAACAAGGTACCAGTGTTTGCCGTGCATCACTCCTGTAGGGGAGGGTACTCATTTCCGTCCAAGGAAATGGCGTCCATAGACAATGTGATGAAGGCCAAACTAAACAACTACAATATCGTAAAAGGCTCCCTCCTCCAGATGCAGCGCAAGAAGACGTAAGCACGAACTCAATGCATAGCACAGCACTAATCACTCCTCGAACACAGCGGAAATCTCTCCGTACGATCCCTTGTAGGCATAGTATCCAACGAAGACATCATCCAGGACTCCGAGTACCTAGAAACATGCCTAGTTGCCGTACCAAAGTAGGTGACTCCTACATAAACGCATGCCGACTCGAGCCATTCAATATCCACCCCAGAATCCTCGTAAAGGAATGGAACTTGAAGTACGAGCGACTGACTAACATGGTCGTTCCCCGTTCGTCATCGTATGTACCATCCATACCTCTACGCAAAGGCTCACATACCCGCCTAAAAGACCCATAGCATCAGACAGCGAATACACCCTCTTCGGCGTAGTCATCTTCAAACGCGTACACGACCAGTTCCTCCAGAAATGTCGTGAAAACAAGTAAGTCCGTCTACTCACCGTACCCAGAACATCTAATAACACCCCACCAGGTTCATCTTCCGCGACTTTACCTACTCAGAAGAACAAATAGCCAAAGAAGGAGAAGAACTCGAGTTAGCAGACACAACAGAGAAAGAACTCTGGGTAAGGCCCATCATCACCAACGCAAAAAAACCCTCATTCTCACCGCCACCACAGACAGAACTTCTAAGACTATCTCGGACCAATTTCTCCGAGTCTTTCCAGATCCTCGTGCATTTGAAGATCCTTCGGCTATTCGTCGAGAGCGTGCTTCGGTACGGTCTACCCGCGAATTACGTTGGCCTTGCTATCAGGGTGCGTTGCGTTGCTTAATTTTGCTCTTCATCGCATCCGAAATCGCTTCCCTTTCGCTTACAGCCCGAGCCAAAGTCTACCAAGAAGACCTTATCAGTACTCACGAACCATCTCAGCTACCTCAGCCCCCGCTCCTCGGGCCGTGCCCAGAAAAAAAACGCAGCTGACGAGTTCGCAGGAGAGTACCAGTCTTTAATGGAACAAGAATTCTTTGATTTTGTCTTGTACGAGGTACCATGGATCGTGCTCTAAGGATCAAGTTAAATAGTTCTATTAGTGGAAGGATAACAATATGACCAGCCCACTACTGTAGAAATATCATTCGATGTAATGTACAAAAGAATTGGGAGTGAGCGAGCAGGTTGAACCACGTATAGGACACAGAGCAGCGGAACCGATAAACAACTAGATCGAGCACTAGCGTTGGTTGTAGACAAGGAAGAAGAAAACATCAATGTGGGTTCGGATGCGTGATATGAGTGCGAGATGTGAAGGGAACGTAGAGAAGATCTCCTGGTACATTTTGAATAGATCCTGTGCTGGATAGTCCCTAGGCAGAGCAGACTGAGACTGATCGCGTGCGAGCGAGAGAAGAACAAAAAAAGAAAAAAGATACAGATGCAGCAGCAGTTACAACCCGAGGTTCGACATCACCCTCGAAACCTCATCAACAACATCAGCATCGCTCCTCATCGCAGCTCGTTGCGACGACGAGCCAATGACAGCTGATGATCGCGGACCATACACACTCGGAAACGACGGCGCCGTAGCACTCGTCGGGCTCGAATCGCCACCCGCTGTCGACGTTGTAGGCGACTCAGGCTGCGGCAGCCTATTACTCGCCTCTGTGATACGAGAGAGCGAATACGTGAGATCAAGCGACTGCGCCCGGTTCTGCAACGATCGGGGCTTGCTGATCTGTTCCTTAATTTTTGACTCGAGTAGCGAGTCTGACCCGCGTTTGAGCGCGTCTTCAGTATTTCGTGGTCGTGTAGCCATCCCCGTGCCCTGGGTCTGTGTCATTAAGGGTTTGGAATCGGAGATAGGGGACTTACGATCGGGGGTAGCGGTGTCCAACAATCGAGGCCCGTTCCTGGCGGACCATATGCTGATTGAGAGTCCTCATGCTCCTCCAGATCGTATATGTATGCAGGAGCATTGAACAATGCTTTTACGTCTGGCGATGAATTTGCCATCCTCAACCTCCGATCGCCCAAAATTTCCGAACGGGTAAGTTCAACCGATTCTATAAAATCAAAACCGTCAGCACCTAAATAAAATCAAAACAACGACCAAAAACACTCGCCATGCCTCCTCGCAGTCGACAACACCTTACTATCAAAGTGCGGGAACGCCTCCGCGAACGAATCACCCCGTTTATGTGTATGTGCCGTGGGCGATGGGTACACATGGACATTATGATTCAGCAAGAACTGCTCCAACAGCTCCCTTGCCGCGAGCAGGAAATCGGAATTGCTCCTCTGGCAATGGAACTTGAACGAGTACTCGCCCACGTCTCCGACCGCGACTGCACTGCCGGACGACGCAGAGGCGCCATTGGTGGGGCTCGACGTAGGTGCTTTGACGTTCGGGGTGATGATCACTTGGAACTCGCGCTTGATGCGCTCCACAAAGGTTATGAAGTCGGCGGATGCACAAACTTTAGGAAGATCGGCGCTGGGCGGGACCGCCATGTCTGCTTCGAAGGGAACGTGTTCCTGCTCTGACGTCAGAACCAAACTCGGCATAGCAAAGAACACATACCAGCAACATCGCAGCAGCGATCTGCACCTGACTCTCGGGGCCAAAAATCGTCACAACATCTGAAGCGGTCTCCTTGTCAGGGAACCGTACGCGCGAGTTAGTCTTGGTCTCGATATCGTGTATGAATATAGCCTTCTCGCCAAGCAGCGCGCGGTGGTATCGCCGGGGAATTGACAGTGTCTCGTTCACATAGTCCTTGTCCTGCGCCTCGTCAGCACCCACCTCCCAGATGCCAAGAATGAAGGGATGGAAATAGATAAAGGGAAAGAGGGGACAAACGGGTGATGGGTAAAGCCGGACGCACCTTTGGATTCACAATCTCCATCACCGACTGCTTCAGGTTCTCCAGATTAATTGCATTCTTCGAGGGCGTCCTAGCCACGACATTATCCTCATTGTCATTGTACCCTCCCAGAGCCGCAAACTCCTCTGCGTTGCTAAACTTGACATACACCCCATACTTTTTCATGATCCGCTGGATATTTCGGCCGCCAATCCCGATGATGCGCTTGTGGTACGCTTCGGGTACATGGAAGGATATCTCCGCCGGAAGCTCTTCTTGCAAGAGAGTGAGACCAGTGAGCACGGAAGCGTCGTTGCCAGAAACATCAATAAGGAAGTTATGATCGTTGAATGTCTCAAATTTGATCTTGACATTCGTCGTCTGCATGATCTTGTTGATCTTGCCGTTCTTCTTCCCTGAGATGAATTCTCGGTGCTCGTTGGCTAGCTCGACTTGGAAGCGAATCTCGTGGTGGAAAGCCTGGATGGAGTCAGTGCATGCTCGACTTAGTGAGGGAATAAGGCACACCTTGACGATATCCAATTCCAAAATCATATTCACCGCAGCGCGTACCTCATACTCTAGGCCATGCATCTCGAAGCACATGCTCTTGAACACGACTTCCGCACCAGTCGTGAGTGAGATTTGCTTCAGGAGCGTGGTTACTTGCGAAGAGTTGAGGGTTGTAGGGGGGAGGAGGACGTTAAACTGGATAGGTAGGAGCCAGAACGAGGCGACGTAGTATTGGCAGGCCTAGAGTCCGAAATGTACTGAATAATATGAAATGTGAAGAGAAGAGGACGTACGAGTTGCATTATAGACCGAATTGTACGCTGCACATTCACACGGTGGTCTCCGAAGACGGTGATGAGGCTGGCGGAACTGCCTATAGGAGGGAATTGGACAAAAGTAGCATTGTCGCTCATGATAGACTTGAGGTCTTCTGCTCGGTCGAGGACCATCCAGTCGAGTTTGCGAGGGACGATGACGGTGTCGCGCGAGATGACAGATTTCCTCTGAGGAAACGTTATAAAAACTCACAAGGGTTGGCTGACAGACGGACCTTGTTCACGGATAACTGATACAACATGTCCCTCGCTCTCTGTACTCCAAAGAACTCTCCGGTGATCCATATGATATTTTGACCTTGGCGCACTCCGGGTGTAGGTGTCGTATTTGGAATGATATCAGGGCCCACCAATGCCTGCAAGGGGGAGGGGAAGTAAATATTTGTGGCAGTCTCCTCCTGGATGCTCTGGAGGACGTGTCTCTTCCTCCCTGCGACGATCGCATGGAGCTTCTGGTCGATCTCGCACATTTCGGAATGAAGACCGCTCTAAGGGCATTAATGCGTCAGGCCAAGATGAAAATGAGAAGGAAAGGGGTATAACGGACGAGTTCGTCTAACATGACCAATAAACGGACCCTTGCTAATTCCGTAGCATCGCCCTGACCTGTGATGACGAGTTCGCATACACGTTCTGTTTCGAGACCGCTCCAACCTGCGCTATTTACGCCGTCTGGGGGAGTTCGACTGCTTAAGGCAAGAGGGGAGTTTACTACTGCGATGTGAGCGAGAGTAGCGCCTGCGATGTCGTCTAGTTTACGACGGACGTCTGGTTTGAGGGTTGGTTTTGAGGAAGGAGCGTCTAGGATATCAGCGCGAGCGACTTTGATTGCTGTGCGATGCTGTGCGGTGGATGAGATAATGATTGAAGAGAGAAAAGAGAGGTAGACGGACCTGAACTGGACAGTCCTTGAGTAGCATACCACGGGCAGCCATGACCTGCTGGTATGGACCGGAGATATAAAAGTTGCAACCGCGGTGAGTGTGATCTGGAGGTAGATAAGAAATGTGTACGTTGTGGATGGACATTGCGTGTATGGCGAGTTTGTCGACATCTTCTGGAGGTACTGGGTCTGGTGGAAGAGGATTTGGGAAATCTGGGTGAATATGGCGTGTGCGACGTGGATGAGTGAAGGAAGTTGAGTAAATGTCCATTGTTGTAGGATAAGAGAGAGAGAGGAGTAAGAGGGGTATGTTATGTTTCTGAAATTTAATAGGAGGGGGGTATCCCGACGCACGAAAAAGAATTACCAAGCTGGAACTTAAAAAAATTGTGATTTAAACTGGTATCACGCTGTGCGTCGAGAGAAGAGAAGAGAAAAGGAAAGTAAGAAGAGCAAGTCAAGGTGAACGACGACGACGACGACGACGTTGACGACGTTGAAAATGCAGTGCTGGGTTTCAATTTTATAAAATTACAAAGAGTGACTGCACAGACCAGACCAGACCAGACTAGACTAGACTATCATCAAACAACTTTTCAAAACAATTCATTCCTATAGTATTGAAGTGCTTGTATGGCTCTGAGGCTGGTAGCTTCTCTCCGCATAAATAACAAAAGTGTTGTTGACACTTTATGCAAGTCATCTGTGTATCTGGGGTAATAAAGGGGGATTCACAGAAGAACGTCGAACACTCACATGATTACACCCCACACTCTTCTCCACTTGAACCCCGCATCCAGGACAACTCATACTACACCTCGAAATCCACTCACGAGTCAATCGATCCTCTTCATACTTCAAAACAAGTCTCTCAACATTCCTTCTACCCCACCTTCTCTCAATCTCAACCCGTCTAGCGTCCCCCTCTGCCAATTCCACATACTCCATCACAAACGACTCTGTCACTTGCAACGGACACTCGTTGATCGGTCCATGCCACGTTCGTCTACAAAACGCACAAAACGCAAACTCGCACCTCGGACACGTGCGTAACCTCCCCCACCCGCTCTCTTCGTCCTCTTCCGGACTCGGCACAGGCGTCTGGCACAGCGCTACAGGACAATGCACCATCCCAGGATCCCGTTCTAACGCCCTCTTGGCTCTAAGCCACTTCCACCTCCTCACCTCTTCCTCGTCAACCACCCTCGCTATGTCTTCCTCGCCAGCCTCGTGTCCCGCTTTCACGCACACAGGATCAGGACACACGACTCGTCCGATATCCCCCTCTCTTATACATGACCCCCAGAAATCTGACAGGCACGAACGGCAGAATATATGGGTACATGCAAGTCGAACGCAATGTCTTCCTTTGCGTGCAGACAAACATATCGCACAGGGAAACGACGTTTCAGCAAATGCAGAATCTTGGGCATGGGCATTATAGGATTCGAGCAGCGGAAGGAGTATCAAAGGGGAGGGGTTAATTATCGTGATGTTCCGGGGTTCCAAGAACTCTGCTCCGCTGATGAATGCTACCCAGGCATAGAGAACCCCTTGTGAATCATGAGTCCACATCCCAGCGAGCTGCTTATGCAGGTCACTACTGGGATACCATCCATGTGTGCACGTCAGCGACGTAATACGGGGTGGTGCGCGTAACGGGTACTCTGGCGGAAGAATCAACGCAAGTAAGAAAGGCGGGAGCGCAGTGAGCGGGCTCGTGTGAGAGTGATTTTGAGGTGATAATATGGTTACACTTCGTGCGGGCGAGAGTTCCACCGGGATCTCTAGCTTGATCGCACGTCCGAACGGTCCAGTATCGTTGGATATGCATACGTCTGGGTAGATCGACTGTTCGTTCAGCAATTAGCTTTTAATCCCGTACTTTAACTCGGAACAAACCTTTAGCACTTCCCACTCCTCCTCCTGCATCATAGCACATTCTTCATTGGCAATACTCTTCGAAGACATTAAAGTGGGAGAAAAAAGGACGTTCAAGTAAACTTTCCACGGGGTGCAGTGATAAGTCCGAGTCTGATACTCCGAGTCACGTGCATCCGCCGTTTCTCGCCTGCCTATGACTCTAAGCAGTTCCGTCTCTTACGTCGAACTAAGGTTCCAGGTCCGGGTCAACGTTAAGTCCAATCATCGCTTGCATCATGATCCGTGACCACATTCCCATCCTACTTCAGGCGCTCGACCCCTCGTCACGTTGCAGCTCCACAAAGTTGAATCTTCTCCCGGACTCTACATCCCAGTCCAAGGTAATTTGGAACTCTGTATCCATCATTTGTTCCGCATTGTGGATATATTCCCCGTCCAACATCAAGCAAAGGTTGACGCGGACCTTACAAAATACCGCTATGATACACTAATCTGAAGACTGTCACTGTATTCGTACTGTTCCTGCGAGATACGGGAAATGAGTGGGAGAGGGAAATAGACAGTGAAAGGTAGGAGGCAGGTTACGCTATGCTACACTGATTTGAACACTGTAACTGTATCATAGTTACAGTTCTGCACAGCCAGTCTGAGGCCCAGGCTCGTAAAGCGCGGCGGCGGCGTCTTAACAAGTTTCTGTTGCTGCGGTATATAAATATATTCCGTTGCAGCATTTAGCCTTCGTGCTGAATTTGATTCATGGACTTGTACAGTCACAGCCTACTCGGGAAACGCCGACTGGATTGTTTGCCCTGGCACCATCACAGTTGCTCGTACGTGCCTGTTGCGATAACACACGCACATGCCGGCAGGGGATATATTAACAGCGAATTTTTGTTTCTCTCATTGCTGTGTTCTGATACAATTTTTCAGCGGAATGACATACACAGAACGGCAGGGGAACTTGAATGCTCGTGATCAGTACCCATTTTCCGTCTGTCTCATGGCTGAGTTCAGCCTTATGATCTTCCAATGGAACGGCTGCACGATGATTCGTATGTGCGGCAATATATAGTCTATTGAAGACTGCCTTGTCGTTCCTCGTTCTGCAAATTTCCAACCGGTCATCAAAAGTTTTCAACTGATCCGCGAGGTGTCGCCTATTTTGGTCACTATCATCCAATGATGCATGTCCGCTGTCAACCATATGACGCTTACAACATCTTCAAGAGTGTTTTGTACAAGGTTGTCGATAAGACCAAATCCGTCTGTCAACGCGCATGAACTGGTCACTACCCTATCTGCGATATGCGTTCGAACTTTTGAAGCACTTGGTCACAATCGACAGACCGACGTGCCCACTGCTACGACTTGTGGATCTCCATGATGGAACGTTGGAAAACAAGAGAATTCGGAGGTAATTATATACCTTGCTGATTAGCGAAGGGGCGTCTAAAACTTGAATTGAACATCGCTTCACAATCGTCATAGATGCTGATTTGGCAGAAGAGATGCACACGATGACATAACACTGGGAATAATGCAAATGATTCAGGCAACATTCACGACTGAACTAGCATGTTGATTTTTTCGTGAGCATGTCTACGCATATCCTATACAGGCGAACCTTGAAGACGCGGTCTGCGTTCATAGGTTATTCTAATATTGAGACCTGGAGTTGGTCCTTGGGTAAGTAGTGTTGAGGTGGCTATCTCCGACGGTTATGCATTCACTGGCAGGCTCGGGTATGCATATCTGAGCGCTAGCCAATGCCATTTATCTTGTCTTCATGCCTATCCACGTCACCTTCTTTGATAGATGCGCACAGGAATCTATTGCAGATAGCCATGACGATATGGACCTTATCATTTGAGGTCGCGGTGACTTTGCGCACATATAAAACACGCACAATGTCTTGACTCTTAACAGTGCCATTCGTTCCTTTCTACAGCAGTCTTGTAAGACATTTTCTATGAAATATCGGCGCTACTAATGGCTGTGGTGCTATTTCTAGTACACCAAGGATACTCGTACGCGTCACATCTACCTTGAGTAGCTGAAAAAGAATGCGTTTACACACAGGCTCTCAGGCATGTAAGTGCAATTAATCGCACATAGCTTTCTGCTTTCTGACCCATTCCCTCTGCCAACTAGTAACTCTCTTACTATTGGTGCACTCCGTCGACAAAGTTGTTGGACTGGACTTGGCTCAGTGTTTCACCGACATCACGACGAATGCAAATATTACCAATAATTTAGTTGGTCTGCTTGATGGCAACGGTTATCCCGTGTTGAATATTGCAGACGCGACAGCGATCAGCTACTCGCTGTGCACCTCTGTCTGTGGGAATACGCAGGATTTCCAGTGGCCTGCACTTTCGCAAGATTTCAGTTCGTGGCTACTGCCATATCTCGCATTGATTTCGCAGCTCCCCTTTGGGGCACAGTACAGGTCCGATGATGTCATGTCTGCTATCTTGACCGTCGGGTCACCAGTACTCGCTGGTTACTCTCTATTCGTCACCCTCCTCAATTCTCGCTGGATCAATCGCCGATTTCGTCAATCGGTGGCCTATCCCAATTCACATTTCGCACTTTCTATCGTCAGCAGCCTTCAGCAAGTCCCGCTAGATCTGCATACCGATAAACTCACCTCTCTTGTTGTCCTTCCGGAAAACGACTGCTGGTGGAAATATTTATCTCAGTTGACGGACCTCCCTCATAAGTGGTCAGCTGCGTCCGCGACCTCCATCGCCTGGGTCATTATTGCCTATATCCTGTCTATAGCCAATTCACCGTCAAATGCTTTCACAAGCACTCAGGCCGACGGTGGAGCCACTAGTTCAATGTGGCTATGGTTGGTTCCAATAGTAGCTGGATGGCTGGTACTAGTCCCCGAAATGCGATTTCAATCGCTTACAAGCAGCTTATGCTCGTGCCGACCAATATGCGCGTACAGGAATGGCAGATGTTCCTGCTGGAACCTCCACCCAAAGAGCTCTCACCATAACTGCTCGGGATGATGAAGTGATGTCTCCAGACGAACTCCTCACTCCTCCGGTGTTTAATTACTCGCGTTCGCTGGCATGGGCAAACACAGCAGAAACAATGTTCCAGGTGTTCAAAGCGGCATCAGAGAAGGCTCAAAAACATCTTCCCGTCAATATAACCGACGGGGATGGTGTGTGGGCCAGCGAGCCCAGCGATTTAACATCCTCTATCCACCCCGACAATCGAAGTGGGACCCCTGATCAAATCAGGGCATATTGTGCGATACCTACGCAGCGCAGCCACTGGGTGCCTGGAGTGTTCACAAGAATGGCTTTCGCGTCATGTGTTGCGCTTGCGTTACAATGGGGAACAATCGGAGGAGCGATTATAATAGAGTGGTTCACTCCTACGACAGTGCGTTTCTTGTGGTATATGTGATATCGTGTTGGCTAACTTCAGGCAGGGCATGGGGTGTCGATCTCTGAGTTACTTCATTTATGGAGGCGTATCGACTATCATTTGGATGATGCTCCTGAGCTCCAGTATTCTCGCGCACTATTCTGCAGCTTATTCCAATCGAAAAACGATCCGCCTCCACGAGAACCGCTATCTGCACGTGTTTCCCTGGTACTCTCGCACTGCCTACGAAAGATGGGCAAACTGCTGGCCATTGCAAACTCTGGCTGGGTGATCACGACGTGTATTCTCCAGTATTCCGACGTTTACGATACGTGCTTCTGCAATTCTAGTATGATCAGTAGGGGGGCTGCTGCATACATCACGATCATCGAAACCTCAGCCCAAGCTGCACTAGCCAAGAATGCCTGGATCGGTGCCCTCTTCCTAGTGTTTATCTCAGCGTCAGCTTTCGTCTCCACTGTGGGTCTTTTGGTGGATACTATTCCGGCAGAACCATCGTTGTAATTCATCTCAAGATGCTGTCTGACAGCCCCCGTGGGATGTACTTTTGACTTACTTGTTCTGATTTACGTATAACTCCTGACCACACTCGTTAGTTTATTCTTTCTACGGTATATATGTACTTGGTTTCATTCCGTCGATGTTTATGTCATATGTTCTAGTACCTTACCCCCGCTCCTTATCTCTTACTGATTTTTTGTCTCCCCACTGTACATAGTTTATGGACAGCCCTTAGGAGTTCTTGTTTTTTGGACCCTCCAATATCTCAAACTGTCTATTTCAAACTGAACGCATTCTTCCACCGGTTAGTTGAACAGATAAGCTGTTTAGGTAGGGTTAATTAATATACCAGGAATTATCTTCAAGTTATATCAGGATGATCACCGACAGTTCACCTGACAAAGCCATCATGATATATCACAGGTTCTGATAGTGACAACTTTTCACCGCATAAATAACAAAAATGTTTACATTTTATGTGAGTCACATCTGGCATGTGGGGTAATAATATCTGGGATTCACAGAAGTCATTACTCACATGATTCAACACCCCACACCCTTATTCAGCTTGGCTTTAATCAATTTAATTCCTTGAGTTGAGTGTTGAAACATTGGGCAGTGAGCGCTGAGTCATCATGAGGACCTGAGCTTATGTCACAGATCGTAGATGGCCTTTGAGATAAAATACTCGTATTCTCCACTCGAGCCCCGCATCCAGGACAAACATATATGCACTCAAACATGCCACCAGAGGATCACATACCTTTCATTGGACATTCCACTCTAGGTTCTGTGCATAGTTGCTCCTATTTACTTTCTTGTCCACTCGAAGGGGTCTGCAATGGTTTTGCACATCAATGTTGCCAAGCTTGCAGGGGAGAAAAATCCCTTATTCGACATGTCAAGAGATTAGCCGGATTTTCATTATTGATGGAATGATACTAGGTGGCGCATGCTTTCTCGTTGGGAAGGCTGGGTATAGGACCGGTTTTCCTCTATGCGAGTGCATGCTTTTAGACTGGCTAGCTGTGTAGTCCTACTCATGGCATCGCTAAGACATGCAGTAGAAACCTTTGTATGACAACTTATAATATAAGCGCCTTTGTAATGGCATTCGCGAACACATTATGGTAAGAAAAATAAGTATTCTATGTATGGACGAACCAAAAAAATACGGAGGACAGTCTGTAGTAATGATTTGACAAGTAAATATTCATTCCTCGTTTTTGATGCATCCTCGTCACCCAGGTACCCACTAGAGCATGTTGTAGGTATTACGAGAATTTGATTCATTGTGTCATGTGACCGTCGCGTAATGCTTAGAATAAACTGTCACTCATTCGCGTTCTGGTCGTTCATTTCTTCCTCTTCCTCCCGTCCTCGTAATGAGTTCGTCCGATTACGGATTTGACGATGAACTTGACTCAGCTGTTCTGAACGAACTGGACATCATCGAGGCCGCTCATCGTTCTCCACTTCGAAACCCTCCTAAGCCACCCCCGCCTGCACCCAAGGCACCTGAACCTCTGGACGAAGGGGATTCGTTTTTCGATCTTTCTCTTGAGATAGACGACACGGAGCTTCAGCGCTTAGACACGTTCATTGATGCGGTATATAAGGGAAATGCACACCCAGTGGCAGGCCCAAGCAATCATGCGCGTCCTCCTTCCTCCAAAAATACTGTGCAACGAACCCTGTTTGGAGATGTTGCGCAACCGACGTCTTCTAGTAGGCAAAGTCCCACTAAACGCTCCTCGCTTCAGCGAACAAAGTCGAGTCCCCGCAAACCTTTCGGCCAACAAGCACCTCAGACGAAGCAGTGGGACCATACTGTGTTTGCAAAGTCAGGCTGGAAAAAGCCAAAGGCTGTCAAGGGCAAGGGAAGAGATGATGGAGATGACGACGAAGAGAACGTCGAGTTTGAGCAGTTCCCTGCTCCATTCGTGTCAGGTATGTCTAAGGTTTTTTGGTTTGTTACAACTTATGAAACAGTGCTGATACGTGTCTCTAGTTGGGTAAGCGTGTTCCTTGAACATTATCGTACAATTCTTACACTGCACAAAATACATCTTAATTTCCCCAGACTTGTGTGTATTATGCCACGGCACGCACCCTATTTACTGACGCTCCTACAGCTACCTCCTATGAAACTCAAGGTCGACATGCTCGAAGCTAAACATTGGATCTATCCCCTGAACCAACCAAAGCGTGACTATCAGTTCAACATCGTTAGACACTGCTTATTTGACAACACCCTCGTTGCATTACCCACCGGATTGGGAAAAACTTTCATTGCAGGCGTCGTAATGCTTAACTGTGAATCCCTCACGGCTCTTCTTGTCAAACAAAATCTAATTTCTTCCAGTCTATCGCTGGTTTCCGAAGGGAAAAGTTGTGTTCGTTGCCCCAACAAAACCTCTCGTCGCGCAACAAATTGACGCGTGCCACCGCACGTGTGGCATTCCTGGTTGTGACGCAGTCGAGCTTACCGGAAACAACCCTCGAGCATATAGGTATAGGATGGTCTGTATTTGTTTTACGTGATCGACGTTTAAGCTGACTCGGATTTTTGTAGTGGGAGGAGAAACGTATATTTTACATGACACCGCAGACTCTCATCAATGATCTGACTACGGAAAACTGCGATGCGCGGGATATCGTCCTTATGGTCATTGGTCCGTTACCTGCAGTTAATTATGTTCATTTGGTTTACTGAGGGAAGCGTGCAGACGAGGCGCACAAGGGAACAGGAGACTATGCCTACGCACAGGTCATTCGTTTCTTAATGGCCAAGAATCCCCATCATCGCGTGCTGGCATTAACAGCAACGCCCGGAAGTACACCTGAAGCTATCCAGAGCATCGTTGATTCACTGCACATTAGTCGTATTGAAATTCGTGATGAAAATAGTATTGACCTCCGCGAGTATATGCACAAGAAGGTTAGGGTCAAACGCAAGTTTCGAGTCACTGCTGACATGAGGATCGACATCTGGTATCTAGGAAATTAAACAGCACATCATCAGGATGACCGACGATGTTCTGAAAGCTCAGGAACTTTTGAAGGAAGTAATGATAGTCAGTTATCCTTCCTTTTGGTCACTCTTATTGGATGATGACGTATGGGTAGACCATCCTTAAACCACTCTCTAGCAAAGGGGTTATAGAAGTGGTGGATCCAGTCAAGATGCACCCTTATCGTGCCCAGGCTACCATGCAACGCATTGGTTCCCAACGGAACAGTCCTCATAAATGGGCATTTTCCTCGCTGTCCAAGCTCGGCGCATTAGCGCGTGCTATGGGGTACCTGGTGAGACTCCTTGCGACGTACATATGTCTTGCCTAACAAGTCGTGTGCACGGCTAGATGGAAGCCAGCGTTGGCATGTGTCACAACTGCCTGCTGGAAATTTCCACTGAAAAGGAGGACGATTCAGGGAAGAAGAAGGGTTCCACAACGAGTGGCTTGCGCAAGGACAAGAATTTTATGGCTCTTCTAAGTGAGCTCGAGGTGCAGAAAGTCCGTCCAGGCGGGTACGGCATGCACCCGAAGATGGAGACGCTAAAGATGCTGCTGTTGCAGCACTTTGGGGCACGGATGGGTGAGGGGGAGGAGACGAGAGCTATGGTGTTTGTGACATACCGAGAGTGTGTGGATGAGATCGTACATATCCTTAATGAGGAGAGTCCCCTCTTGAAGGTGACGAGGTTCATTGGGCAGGGCACAGATAAACAAGGCCGGAAGGGGTTTGCGCAGAAGGAGCAGCTTGAGGTGGGTCTAGTGCTCCGTCCCTGGGTGTATGCTTATAAGATCGTCGAAATAGGTCATCAAGAAGTTCAAGGCTGGTGAATTCAATGTGCTTGTCTCCACTTCTATTGGCGAAGAGGGTCTCGACATCGGGGAAGTTGACATGATTGTATGTTATGACGCACAAAAGACGCCAATCCGCATGGTGTGTACCACCTAACTCGTCCCTTTTACATGTGTATAACTACTCTTCTGTCGTAATGTGCAGCTTCAACGCGTCGGGCGCACGGGCCGTAAACGGGACGGCTATGTCCACGTCCTCCTCTCCGAGATCCGCGAGGAGTTAAATTGGGACAAAGCGAAGGACACATACGGCGAGTTGCAGAAATGTATCGTCCGCGGCGATCAGCTTGAACTTTATGGCGACATCCCACGACTCCTCCCTGAGCATGCGAAGCCCCAAGTACTCGAGAAGAGAATGGAGATTGAAGAGTACGTACGCCAAGAACATGCTTCGCGAAAGAAGAGTACAGTTGTCAACGACGAGGATTCGTCTCCGAAGGGCAAGAAACGCAAGCGAAACTGACGGTCTTGCTAGGAATATACCTCAAGGCGCAAGCACGGGCTTTGTCAGTGTTAAAGACCTGCTTATCAAGGGCGCAGACACGAAGAAGAGGAAGATGGCAAAGACGAAAGGATTTGATCCCACAGCTGCAGAGGATGACTCGACAGATATGGAATTGGAGGCTAATCTCATGGATATGCGCCGTACTGCCTCGACGCCTGCTGGTGTCAGTACACAGAAGGACAAGCTGCGCAAGGCACGTACGATGGATCCATCCAAGAAACGACAGCCGGCAACGTCACGCAGGAAGGGGAAGGAGAAGGAAAAAGAACCATTGACGACTAGCCAATTTTCGCGAAAAGGTGATGACGATGATGATGATGTCGAAATCGAGCAGGGAATGTCACTAGCTGCTTGCAAGGCCATCGCTCGTAAAACCCTTCCCCTCCAAAAAAGCGGCCAGCTTTGCCCAGATATCGCTCGTCTTCACCCGATGAGGCTCCGATTTTAGTTCGAGATCGTTCGAATGGTTGCGAAAAACCATCTACAATCCAAAGTCTTTCCTGTCGTCTTACCGAAGACGACGCGCTACTTTTAAGCTCCTCAGAGGCGGATAATCCTTCAGCGCCAAGCATGTTATCTTCGTCGCCAATGTTTTGCGATGCGGATGACGTGATAGAGATATCGTCCTCCCCGCCGCCCCAAACTGACCCTGAGCAAGCTGCAGAATCTTCATCAATGTCGTGTAGTCCCAGAAACTCTCCGACCGATATGTGCCACAAACGGAATGGGAGTAGCCGAGAACGATCCCCAGATCGCTCACCATCACTGCTCTCATCTTCAGGACGGGGTGACGGGTAATACACAAAGCATAGGCGTGGCTACTAGGATCAGATGATGAGCCTGACATCCAAATTCTGTCGTCTCCGCCCATGGCACCACTGCAGGAGCGCAGTCCTCGCGCAGATAGCCTATTTAACTGATGAAAGCGTTATAGACGGAAGGGGTCTCTTGCCTGGGGCACATCTAATGCCACCACCTCTCTACCAGTGCCGAGGTATCATTCAGTCACCCACACACTCTTCTGATCACGACATTCCCGACGCCTCATTCGCTGTGCGACCTGCTGGACGGTTTTTCAAGCCGCGTATAGCAGCCGCAGAGCTTAACTCACCGGCATTGGACATGCCACCTCTTTCCCAACGACGTCTAAAACGAAAGGATACAGATGTCATTTCTTGGGGATCAAGTCCGCCCCCTAAGCGTAGCAAGCAAAAGCTGTTTGTATCTATGCGACATAACCCGTGGCTGGACGGAGAAGCGGCCCACTCTGGTGACGAAGCAAGTGAGGGATCGTCGCACTCGGAAGATGATGTCGAAAGTGATTCCGATCGCCAATTCATCAAGGACATTGCAAACACTCAGGTCTCTCCTTCTTACGATCAGTCACTTGCTTATCGACGGGGTTTGCTCACACAAGCCCTGCCGGGAGGTCCCGTGTTTGCCACCAGACCGGTGAGGAGGGAAGTATATGCTCGAGGTGAGAGCGCAAAACGCCGCGCTGGTGTGTCAAGTTCTCCCGTACGTGAGGACGATTTGCCAGACGAGTATGCCATCGGCAGCTTTGTCATAGATGATGATGAGGACATCATCTGATTGAAGGATGTCATCTGGAATATCTCTTGTCGGTTGTGCAGTCGAGACAAGGTATGGTCTTGTATGATCCTCAAAGCTTTGGTGTCTCGTGCACTGACTCAGAGTATATAGGTGAAGAACTAGCGAATTGTAATATCTTTCTTTCTTTGACATTAATACACTACATCGGCGGTCCGTGCTTAACATTTAGAGACAATGCTGTGGTTATTACTATTAGTAATATACATTTTGAATCCTAGAACTTTTTGACAGCCGGCTAGCGCTGCGGTTGGTGATATTATAATATTCAGTGTCATTATACGGAACCGCTATGATCAATGAGTGATGGTGATCAATACTTTGAGTACATCAGCTAGAGTAGAAAGATATCTCATTCTTTGTGCAAATAACGGCCAACTAACTGGATGTTTTATTCTGGCGGATTAGCCGCGTTATTGAGCAACGGTTGTTGTACAACTGTCGGGGCGGCCCGCCATCGTCACATTGCTTTGTCACACCACACTTTTCAAAATTCCCTCATCGTCGTTCACGACGCTAGCCCACTGTCCAGTTTCTCCCTATAGCCTGTGATAGCTGATATCGAGTAAATTTTGCGATCCTACACCGTCTGGTCAGGTGGCGCCCAGACTCCACTTGGAGGAGCCTTACTATTTTCACTGATTAGGACTACTCATAATTCTCCTGATCATGGATGAGCTCGTGCATCATTGTCTTCGAGAGCTTTCATTCGACGGCGATCTTGGTACGTGAGCACTATGTACTGATCTCATCTTATCCTCGGCGTTTTTTGGAGTGCTGATCGTGAAGAAGATCGTTCGAATCCCCATCATTACATCTCTTTCCAAATATCCATTTTTTCGAACAGCATCTGATTTTTGTTATTTCCCGCCGTTCCTGCAGGTTGTAACGTTTCCCGCTTGCGAGATTTCATCGTAGGATTCTACAGTCACGATGCTACCCACCCACAGGTCGTCGACGATGCTTTCTGCGCGTTTGTCTGGTCTATAGTTGTCCAGCAGCCCACTGTCCGCGTTGGTACAGTTCCTGTAGGCGTATCATCTGAAGTGTATATCGCTCCTCAGACGAGCGCAAAGCGTAAGGCGGCAGCTAAGGGCGAGGTACTTGTCGAAGAAGCCCCACCGTCACTCACTCTCGTTGAAAATGCACGCGATAGGTCATTGGAGGATCTAAAAGCAGAATATAGCGAAGATCTCAGGATTGCTGTTGATCCGGAGACATCTTTTGCTGCGATCACGGATCTCATATCAGAGTATGTAACAATCGTCATTTAATTTAACCTGAGCTCATCATTTCGCAGGCTTCGAAACTCAGTCCGATGGTTTACAGTGCTTTGCAACTCATCACCAGAGGTCGCGAAGAAGGTATTACAACTGTCGAGCTTGGGCGCAAGACAAAGTATGATCAGAAAACGTGCTTTTATGTCATCAAACAACTGCTAGAGCTTGGCTTAATGTATGTCTCGATCTTTCTTCCTACGAAACTCGTAATGATGCAAGGATAGCATCAAAGCACGGCGTGGAGGTGTTGGTAATCACTCCTGCATTCACAAATATTTTGTCGAGCGCAGCGCGTTCTGGCAACAGATCCAGCAAGAGGAAGCCAAAGATGATGAGCCTATTGTTATTGGAGAGAGTCATCCGCAAGATGCAACCCCTGTTGAAGATGGAACTCCCTCTGCTGTACCATCAGAACTCGACTTTGAGCCTGTAGATTCCAGACATTTGTCTAGTCTTACACTAATCAAAAACCGAATCGTCAAGTTGTTGAAGGCCTCGCAGAACAATATTCATGCATCCAATAACTTGATTATCACCATCGTAGGTCATGTTCAGTTACAGTGCGGAGTTTTTGTTGAGTCTCTGCAGGGCTTTACGAATCCAACCAAGACAGACCGTCGCTTCTTCCAAACCCGTCTGCGAGAGTTGATTGCGCAAGGAGTGATAGAACGTGTGTTGGTTCCGAGCTCCAAAGTCAAAGACAGGCTTGTCAAGTGCATACGACTTGTTGCTCCAGACAACCAACTCCCAGAGGGCGGTGTCATCCTTGCCCCTCAAGAAGGCGAGGAGGATGACAAGGAAATCATGTTTGATGATATCTCTGGTGTGACACATCATTCATCTGTAGGCTGTTCTAATTAGTCTCTCAGCTGGTTACACTGAAGTCAGGGCAAACCGCACAATCCAAAAACAAGTGTCAGATGTACTTGAAGAAGCAGGGTCTTCCGGCAGAACTCTCCACGTAAGTCTCCATGCAGCGCGCTAGGGCAATAATTTGACTCTGTTCACAGGAAATCTGCAGCGCTCTTGGCAATTTCGATAAACGCACTATTGAGCTTCTGTTAACGCGAGCAGCCAAGAGTCAACCTCCCGCTCATCTCAGCGATCTCGGGATAGCGGACTTCATGGAGTCGTTTGGGCGGGAAAGACGACATCGATATTATACTCTCGCAGCATATACGACGGTCATGGCCAGCGAAAAGCTCGAAGATACCACGACGTCATATGTTGATATTGATCTCTCAAAAGCTGGTGATTTTGCTGTGTTCCACGAGGCAATGTTTTATGATGACGACCAAACTCTCCACTACTACGAAGACATGTTTAAAGACAAGGAGGGCGCCAAAGTGAACACAGGAGCTAAGAAGCGTAAAAGGCCAGGAACCGAAGATCCAGGAGATGACGAAGCGGTTGAGGATACGCCAGAACCTATTCCAAAAGCCAAGAGGGGCCGCCCACCGAAAAAGCCACGTGGTGAGGCGGATGGTGATATCTCTATCCCACGAAAAAGCGTGGTCGACCTCGCAAAAACCCGATTGCTGAGGAGGGTGATGGAACCTCGACGGTACGTAAGGTTCCTAAATGGCGCGGCCGTCCACCCAAACAGAAGCCCGATGCTGAACAAGCCGTTTGCCATGCTGAAGTTCCAAGGAGTGGATCGATGGAGGGTGTCAATGTTATTGTTCTTGCCGCACGAGTCCTGTCAGCGCCTCCATCAGAGACCAGTGGACACCCTCCAGAAAGCTCAGATATGACCGGCGTAGTTAGTTTTCGACAAGGAATGACTCCAACCACATCTCATGTTGCCCCTGAGCCCCCGACTTCGAGTCCAAAGGAAGGAAGTCATTTGTTTCAGGGATCATCCGGCTTGTCCTCATCGGCGGCACATGAGGATCCCAGCGACGAGCAACACCGTATTCGTCAAGCTGTGGCGGACGCCAATGTGCAAGCCGCAGTACCGCGACCGTCTGATGGCGTCGCGCTTACGACCAACATCGGCGACCTTATGGGATCCTACAATGGACCTGTAGACGTACATGCAGAGGAACCAAAACCCTGGAGATCTCATAGAAAATCGAAACCCACAATTTGCGAGAATGATGCTTCCTCTAGCCGGAAACGTGGTACTGTGCTAGAAGGACTGCCGAGTGAAGGTTCTGATAACCGAATCGATAAATCAGAGGTCGTTCGCATCCCACAGCAAGTAGTGGATGGTACAAGAGCCGATGAATTATTCGTCATGGATAACCGCCCTTCTGCACAAGAATCTATGATTATCGATCCTGCGCTGTTGGGGACGTCCCCTGTAAGTAAACCTTATGTTTGATTTTGCATCACCCGATTAATGTGACAGTTGATGGAGGCGGACGTAATGCCTACTGTGATAGGAGAGAAACGGAAGGGATCCCCACCACTAGTAACACCTTTCCAACCCAAGCGCACGCGGACATCCACGCCTGGTGATAAGGTCAAAACAAATCTGAACATATCTCATTTACGCCGCGAGAACGAATTTTTCCGGGTAATCCAGGACTTGGGCGGCATTGCAAATCTGCACACAAAACATTTTTTTGACGCGCATATGGCTCTGCTGAATGATATGGCTCAGCGTGGAGAACCTGCAAGTGCACCCTCAGGAATTCGTATCGACAAGAGAACCGCAGACGCCACCGTAAAGAACATGGAAAGCCGTAGTCGCATCAAAGTACTCAAAACCACTGTATTCTCTGTCACCGGAAGCACTCGGCCTGCCTGCCTCGTTTATCTCCCAGACACTTCCCAAGAGAAAATCAATGCGTTCTTACATCATCTGAGCCACACCGCCCCGGCTCCTAACATTCTGCCTGTCAAGACATTTCAGGAGCCTGTGGACTTCGGAGCTTCAAGCAGCGTTTCACAGTGCACCACTCTACCGCTTCATCTACTGCAAATAGAGAAATCTGGGAAAGATGATGAACATCAGGTCCTTGACGTTGCCAAGGCGGAGGAACTCTTCGCATACGACTCTGAAACGATCCGCGACGTGTTGCTTACGGAGAGAACCACGGTAGCGCAGTTGTATGGTTTCAGAGTTGGGAAAGCGGCTAGGCTGCGGGACTTTCATGTCTTTACCCTTGGGTTGCTCGAACAACACTCTTCGCCCTGTATTGCGTCCCACGAGCATTCCATAATCGACATTTCCTTGTACCAGCTCGACGTTCCCATTGCCATCTATTGCTCATTCATTGCCGTTCTCACTTACGACGAAGAGCTATCAAAGCTCATAGCCTCTGCGGAGGGCAGAGAGACACTAGTCAGAGATCTGCCGAACCGTATATCAGCAAAGCTGCAGGTGGGAAAGTCACGTTCCAAATCTCGCGTTTTGGAACTTTTAGATGCCCTTCGGCTTCTTGGCCTTGTGACTCCTTACGAACCATCCACGGATGACGACGCGGATTTCACATGTACACTCTCCGATGGTCGGACAGTTGCACTCAAGGCAGCCTCTTTTGACGGGTGGCGGGTATCCGCACCATCCGCCGCGCCACAATATTGGCGCTTCAATGAAACAGCACCGTTATACCTATGGGCTCTTTCAGATTCTTCCCCGCCTTACTGGAGGGATATCTCTGTGAAATCCCGCTGTGATGGTGTAGCTTTTTGGGACGAGTTGCATAAAGTCAGTCGAGATGTTGCTCATGCACAAAGCACCGTTTGTCCAACACACGGCGCTTCAGGACCTCCAGCAAACACGCCTCTTGTGCGGTTCCTTCGCCGGAGAGTATCTTGGGACTTGGAATACCGCTTGACCTGGTACCAGAAGCGTTATCTAGATCAATCTGTAGACAACGCCACGGCTTGCAGTCCACTTGACGAAGAGGATAGTGATTCACAGCTGCAGCAGATTTGCCATGTTCTCAGCGCTCCACGTGCGCCTGTTGTCGCCTACCTCAAAGACGCTACTGAAAAGGTTTTGCGTGAAATAAAGAAAGCACGAGCGAGGCAGAAACGAGACGAGGCGGAGCCTTGTACGATGCAGAACATCGAAGCCAAAACCATGCTTCGAAAGAAGGCCGAAGAAGCGAAGCTTCAGAGGGAAAGCGACTGGGAAGCGCTGCTTGAGCACGTGCATCCCGGGCCTCTTAAGGGCACCATTGGCATCCGGATTCTAGCTGTTCGCAATCGCTTTGTACAATCCAGCTCGATCAGAGATACGGATCGATGGCGAAGTGAAATTGAAAACGCCATCCGGGAGGCTCGACTGGCTTCAAACAAGGTTATCGCAAGGCCGAAAGCGCTTGCGGTTTCGCGCTCCATAGCTTTACCTCCTGTTGCAACCAATCCTCCTGAGAAATCGGTGCATTTTCTCATAGCTCAACAAGGGCCACCTATTCTTGCGCAACAAATCGGAAAATCGAGAGGAAAGGTCAAGACCAATGAAGGCTAGTTTTGTTCATTTGCCTTTCTGCGCATTCAGACGTAACTGCCATTTGCATTTGCAGACCAATCAGAGAATAAGACATCACACCAGAGGCGCTCTAGATTCCACTGGACTCGAGAATACGACGAGCTTGCCCGTGATGCATCTGCTGTGATTCGTGCTCGATGTCGCGGTGGGGTCAAGATTGATCTTTCAGCTTTCGATCAGGTGTTTCCTGCTGTGCCGCGTAATTCTGTCCGCCTCCGCCTCTCACACCTCCGGGAGAATACTGGTGAAGACGTGTACATGAAGCGCCTCGAAGACCGATGGCATGACCTTTGGGTTCAGCATAGGGGTACCGAGTACCTTCCCGATGAAGATCCTCAAAGCCCGTCGAACTTTGACATCGTAAATCACATAGAGTTTCTTCGGAAGCATGTTGACAAGAATGCCTTGTAAGTTTACTTTCAACTGTTTAACCCATGGAGATGCTGACCGCAATTAGGAGAGTTGGTTATGTTGAGCACACAACTCGGACGAAGCTACCGGCATCAGTGGATGACATCATACATCATTTCGATGTGCTTTGCAACACAACTATTGCTCCTGCTTGGGAATTTGTATGGCAAGCTACCGTCGAAGAAGGTCGAGAGAAACAGTTTCTCCGACAGTCTTTCACTCATGGAGCAGACGAAGTTCCATATGCCACAAACACGAGTGATGATGTAGTTCAAGTCGCGGAAGCTGCACTAAAGGTGGCGGTTGTTCATTTGACCTTTCCACTCGCTTCTTACTACCTTTGCGCCGTTCTACAGATGGTTTTTGGCATGTCTACCGAGCATTATGACGCTGATTTGGCAGCGGAATTGCTCCACAGTGCAGGTAATCAGTCTGTATCCCTCGCAACCTCCAACCTTTTGCGGCGCGGAGTCCTGTCAAAGGTGGTTCGTGATCCCAAAAAGATGAAGCCGGGACGTACATTGAAAATATCGGACGTGTGAGCAAAGTCATTGACTGACGATTCTACTGGTTGACGTAATTGTAGCAACCTAAACGCCATCGGAGGTTTGATACATAGAGACTTGTTCCAAGACGCTGTCGCTCTGGATGAGGTATTTGCAGAGCAAGTTGGCATCCTGGAATGGCCCTTGTTAGCCTCTGATGGCGACACCGCAGCACTGCTCCAGCTGGTGTCAGAGGGGCAAGTACGTCGATGACTAGACTGCGTGATAGAAGTGTTGCACTGACAAGAACACACAGGTCAATTTCATCATAGATACGGCACAGTTGCGAAACGCCCGAACAAGGCTTGACTGGAACAGCAAAAAAGCAGGTCTGTGCGGTGCCTCAGTTGCAGTTCCTTCCTTCTCACAGAGAATAGATGACGATGATATCGAGACTAGCATCCAAGTCCGCTTAAATGCACTCGACGGAGACGATAACGAGGGCAATGGAAGCGCTATATTGCCTCCATACGAGTTGCGCTTGGACCCTACGAACACACCACTGGATGAGAGCATGCAACGTCAACATGGAAAAACGGTGACTGGAACCGACGCCGCTTGTGCTAAGAAGACACAATCAAAAATCGTAAATTGCGTATTATGCACCGAGTCAACGTTTTCCGAGTTTGTCGCTGGTCTGGATTACGAACAACGAAAACTGGCTCAAAATATGTTTGATCGAGCTAATGCGTCATCAGAATTAGGTTCATCAAAGGCGCACTACCTAGTATGTTTTGTATCTGGGCGTCATTCACCAACTTGCTGATCCTCCTGTACTTTGAGGCTTTTGGTGCTGGTGATGTGGTTATGGACCTGTTACAAAGAATGTCACAGACATCCCCACCCCTCATCTTGTTGGTTGGATACTCTGCGCCAGTCATCGTTTCCTGCCTCCATGCTCGTCCTTGGACAGTGGAAATCATTAGGGAACCAAAAGCTCTTGCCTTACCTCGACGTTGGCTAGATATCCGTGGTGGTACAATACAAGAGACCTGGAATGCTATTTTACATGCTGTGGTGGGCATCATTTTTTTTCATCCAGGGATTTCCCAGGTGAGTGTTTTGACAAATTTATTCGTGTGCCTGATCTCAATCCGATAGACCGAGCTGCGGTGGAGGCTTAGGGCAGTATGTGACCGACAGGAACTCGTAGACATCGTATGCTTCTTGTACCGTGAAGAAGCCGTTCACGCACGAGTTAGTACAGAATGTCCGACTGGCACTGTCTGGCCGGCAACATTGGACGATGGGGAGGAACAGCGGGTTTTCTGGTTCATTGGCAAGAATAAGTATTGGTATCAAGTCTAAATCCAATCACGTTCATCGGATGCCGCAATAACCATAATGCCATGCTCGTGTAAAGTGTTGTGAGATGTAGTTCAAAGACATTCTACAATGTTTTTTCGACTGCTCGTTACATATATGAAGCCATTTACCAGTCTCGTCACCCGTGGCCAAGGCCTGAGGTGTACATATTCTATTCCTACTCGCTACGCCTATATTATATCACACCTCAGGTCTCACAAAAAGCCACCTCACCACGCTATCAGCGCCTTCACGACATCGACGAGACCGCCCCATCAAAGCACTTCTCCATGCTGGTAGAAAAGCTCCCACGACGACATTCCTCTCTGCTGTTTCAACTTCGTACAGGGCACGCCCCCTTGAACAAGCATCTACATCGAATAACGAAGGTCCCCAGTCCCACCTGCCAGCAATGTCATCGCAGCGAAGAAACAGTACACCATTTCTTACTCGTCTGCCCGAAGTACACCAGACAACGACTCGCACTCCGGAATGAGATAGGTCCCCAAGCTAGTCATCTCAAGAACTTGTTGAGCAACCAAAAATGCATCAAACCCCTACTCCGCTTCATAGCGAGTACACGCAGACTAGAACAAACGTTTGGAGATGTCAACCCCCGCAGATGACGAAGAAGATGAAGCAGACAAATGATCCCCTATCGCCTTTAGCTGGCCTTACCTGTCCTCGTGTCACACCTGGACCAATGAAAGCACATCAAACGAAATTCGCAAAGCAATAATGTAATGAACAAGTATATACCTGTATGTGTTGTCTACCATAGGGCATCGCCCCAACGGACAATAAACAATGATCAAAAAAAAAAAAAGCCACGTTAATGACGACCATGGCCTTCAGAGAGGTGAGCCAACAACGACGTGTAAGAGTGTTTCAGCTTAGTTTTTGTGTATATTAGTGCTCGGGGTACAACATATACACTAGACAGTGGACACATCCTCAGGCGTGTGTGATGGTATCCATATGCAATGAGGGTATACAGAATTTGCGGGGAGGACAAGTTGACGCGTGCAGCAGGCGCTAGGCATTTTTCAGGACTCTGATGGAGGCACCCCAAGAGGTGCCTTCGATATTCCAGAATGTTGAGAGGTAGATCTGATGGAACGAATACCCGTCTCGCCCTCCCACTTTCCACTCGAAAAGTGACCTCTGAGTGAAACGACCGTTATCGCATTGCTGATTGACAGTGTATGAACGAAAAATTGCAAGGGAAGAATATGTGCACATACGATGAAAAACCCGAAAAAGTGATATGCAATTTGACGCGCGAGATCAGCCCTTGTGATAGGCACTTCATTCGTCCCGATATCTATAGGGTACTCCATTGTGTCGTATCCGGGCCACTAACACTGAACTTAAAATTTGCAATTAGTCGAGGGTGCGAACGCTTACAGCGATAATAAGCTTGAAAGTCTGGACCTGGGTACGGTCGACTGTCGGGAACATGATTTCTTGGGCGTCTTTCAAATGCATTCCACCGCCGGGCTGAAGACACTCCTCTAAAGGGATGCTCAGACTATTCCTTTCTGTATTCGCCTGGAACATAATAGTCGAGGAGCCGTCTCTGTTATACTGCGGAATGTTCATCGGGACAAACATCTCCACACTGTGAGAGATACTACCAGAAGACTGGATGGAAGGATTCTGGACTCCGTCAATCATAACGGCAAAATTAACTATGTAGATACAACTCACCGAAGCTGAAGAGACGGGCATATCAAACAACGCATGACTGCTTAATTGGCGGGGATCCACAACTTGGTGTATACCCAACGTGTGGTTATACATGGCATAGGGAAAACGTTCGTGATCACTGTTCTGCTGCAGGTAGGACATATTGGTGGATCTGGATGGATCGTCGAGCTGGGAGTGAGTTACCAACATCCAAGCTCTTATGACCTTACAGTCCACAGGTCAAAGAGCTCTTAGACAACTATTTGCCCATAGTCCCAAGCGCCATTAATATAAACTGAATCTGAGCCAGGATGTTAAATCACGGAAATGGGGGGACGAGGGTTCATTGTACTCCCGGTGCACTTTATGTTCCTCGGAGACGGATGAAGTAAAATGTCATTGAACAGGGCACTGGACCACCACCGTGGCTGGCATGTGAGTATGGTGGCAAAGCTCAATGATTGCACGAGGCCGGTCCCGTCGATTGATACACAAAGGACGCCACGAAGTGTCTTGGCCTTGTACATGGACTCGGGCTCTGTCCAAATACTCAAGAGCACTGTCTCACTCCGGAACAGGGGAGTATTGAGAACTTGTAGGCACAAGCACCCGGTTCCCAGTATACTACTGGCAACTGAAGGCTCACCTAGCTGTCACGGTGTGATGATGTCCTCTTGAAGACGTGATTTACAGACATTGGTGTCTCGGGTGAGATAAAGCTGGAGGACAGACACCCACCTCACGGATAAGATCAGGCTGCTCGAACTTCCAACATATGAAATCTCCGCCAGTTATGCGTTCAGGCAGCATGACATGACTTACAAGTCTTGGTATCTCAAAACCAGCACGCTCTCCGACTCGTCGACCCGAATCTTTCGGATCTGTGCTGCACATTGCAGTCTCGACCCTCGAGTAGTGGCAAGTTTAAATCCGCCATGTAAACACCTCGTGTTTGGATATCATTTGCCTGAAAATGTGACGGATTTGAAAAATGCTTAATGCAAAGACAACTTGAACTGTGGGCAGTTGCGGAGATTGAAGCTATCAACTTATGTGAGAATCTCACAGACTCCTACCCATCGGCGGGTGTGTAAGAGAGCCCCCGACATCCGACAGCCACAGACCAAATACAACCAAATGCTATTTCTCCGCCGATTTGCCGAAACTTTTGGGGCTACTTACACACCCAGCCGACTGGCAAAAGAGTGATGTGTGCCCTGTTAGCATTCCGAAATAGATCGGCTCCCAACAGGGTGGGAAACACAAATCCCTGAACACATCAATTACATACCTGGGCAGGACTCCAGTCACTGCCCCTGCAATGTTACAACTCTATACCAGCCAAGGCTAAGCGAAGGACTACAAAAGAAACACGCAAGTTGGGATGTGTGCCCTCAGCGTGCTACTTGCAAACTGTAACCCACAGCTACCACATTCCTCCAACAGTCCAATCTCTGCATACCGTGAAATCCCTCCTCCTGCTGCAAGGGTTTGCAGTATGTCAGCATCTGCAACAGACAAGTCTCCATGGTGATTCTGTGTTCCTCCGACACAGTGTAGGGAATGAGATTCCTCTAGGCATATATCGCCCATATTATGACTCACGATGATTGGTATAGTGTGCAACTCACTATCTATGACTTTCCCGCACTATGCGACGCATTCCTGCACATGCACTTAGTGCGCTCTTCCCATGCTTGGTCGCACTTTGTCGCACAGCATCCTGGAGCATCTATCCATTGTCCAACCAGTTCCCTAGTAAGTCCCTTCTTGTTTATTCTCACTATCAGACCATATTTAGCATTATATGACACTATATTTCATCATGGACCCTTTAGTTACATCATTTTACATACATAGAGCACTCCCTATTCACTTCTGAGCCCTGGGAGCATGCCTAGGCACAGCTTACCTGTTGCCTAGGAAGTTTTTATACACCTACCACCACCACAGAATACACCAACCACCATCATGTCTAGTAGTGTCTAGCAGTCAGAATTATCATGAGTTAGCATCCATCAGAGTCATCACCCTAGTCTTAAGCAGCAGCCTATCATCATCTTTTACATGTTCATGCACTGTGTGTGCCTTATTCCCATGCTTCATGCACCTATGCACTCAACATTCCTGCGCATGCACTTTCAGCGCACTTCACCAGAGTTGATCTGGCATCACCCAGTGGATCTTGCTTTCTTTGCTTCCCTTAAGGGTCAAACACATCGCTTGGCGCACTTCAACTAACACCTAGAGAGTCAGTAGCCTTCCTCTCACACCCAGAGTGAGAGTCCCTCTTTCTTTCTTTAGCTCTGCAGCCTAGCAGAGTAGTTGAACCTTCAATGGCCTGCAGCCTCTCCTGTTACGCTCGGCGTTCATGAGAACGACTAAACGGTCACAAAGAGTCTAAAGCGTACACCTATGTATGAGTCATGCGAGTTAAGCAGTATATTGCAGGCCCTGGTCTGCATAGGTCAAGTTAAAGAATACAAGCGTAAGAGATAGAGTATATATAAGGGGATTAAAGCGGAGCTTTAATAAATGAATCGGAGATGAATAGTAAATAGTGAATCGGAAAAGAGAATAAGGAATCGTACAATAGAATGTCATAGAATGTCTAAGAATGCTTAGTAATCGTGAATAAGTGAAAAGGTGAAAGGAAAAGAATAGGAACTGTAACATTACCCCCATTATAAGGGTAGTAGGCACCGACTACTATCAAAGAAGACGATGCGATCGTTTATAATTAGTAAGAAGTTCAGAAGCATTACCTAGTTCTGCTTCCTTCATCCATTCATTCTTGGAACTCGGGAATCCCTTCCATTTTACATAATATTGTCTTCTAGATGAAGATCCGCGGTGTCCGATGACCGCTTCAACTTCGTGTTCTTCTTTGCCGTCAACCAAGTCAGGGGGAGGTGGAATATAGTTAGGGCCGTGGGTATCGTTCTCTTTATAAGGAGAAAGGAGTGCGGCGTGAAATATAGGGTGGATGTGCCATTGTGCAGGAAGAGCGAGTCGATAAGTTATCGGGGATAGTACATCGATAATAGTGAATGGTCCTTTGCGTTTAGGAGTGAGCTTCCGATTAGGGTATCCAAGATGTAGGTTTTTGGCTTCGAGCCATACTTTATCGCCTTTAGAAAATGGTACGAATTTAGATGTAATTCGTTGACACATGGTGTTTCGTGCGAGTTCATGAGTGGCTAGCGCTTCGTCATGTGCTTTATTAAGTAAGGAGAGTCATTGTTCAATATTAGGGATGTTGGATTTTGGATGGGAGTCAGGGAGGTGATGTGGGTGATAGCCCATCATGAGGTAAAAGGGGGAGGTACCATGTGCAGAATGATGGTGCGAATTATGGATGAATTCGGCTAGTGGCAACATGGGCGCCCAACCGGTTTGGTCGTTGGCGCAGAAGATCTGGAGATAGACTTCGAGTTCTTGGTTTACTCATTTGGTTTCTCCATCACTCTGAGGATGAAATGTGGTGGAAAGGGAATTCTTGTATCCGAGGAGTCTTCCGAGTTCAATCTGGAATCTGGAAGCGAACTGAGGTCTGTGGTCAGAGATAATTTTATCGTAAAGTCTGTATCTAGAAAATACTTTAGAAAAGAAAATGTTCGTGATGCCTTCGGCGTTGATCGTTTTGAGACAGGGGGTGAGAATTACCCCCTTTGAAAGTCTGTGGTCGACCACGACCATGATGCTATCAAAGCCATCTGATATAGGGAGGTCCATAATAAGATCCACCAAGCAATGAGCGAAGGGTCGGTTGGAAATAGGAGCGGGAATAGGGAAGAGTGGTGGGGTAGAAGGGTGCGTGTTTACTTTATTCTGTTGGCAGATGCAACAGCCTTCTATGAAGTTCTTGACAAATGTGGCTAGACCTGGCCACCAATAGTCGCGAGAAAGAAGTTCCTGGGTTTTGAAATGTCCAGGGTGTCCGGTGGTAGGAGAATCATGGTGTAGGGAAGTGAGTTCTCGTCGGAGATCTCCGGGGGGTACGTAGGTAAGTCCTTTAAACGAAAGAATTCCGTTGCTCAATTTCCAATCGGAAAGAGCGGAACAGAGAGGAGGGGGAATTGAAGAGTCTGTAAGCGCTTGGAGCACAGTATGTACTACAGGGTCAATGGAGGATGAAATACGTAATCTGTCCGTAAAAGAAGTGTCAATGACGTTAACAAACATCAAGTCAGGAAGGAGTTGTATACAAATATTGTCCTTTTTGTCACTATTGACTGGAAGGTGATCCGTTCTACGAGAAAGTAAGTCAGGAATGATAAGTTCTTTTCCAGGTACGTGCTGGATTTGGAGTTTGAACTGGGAAAGGAAGGTTTGCCATCTTGCTTGGCGTCAGTTGAGGTCTTGTACGTCCCTAAAATAAGTAAGGTTTTTATGATCAGTTTGGACGGTAACAGGATAGGGAGATCCAAGGAGATAGTGTCTCCATGCTTTCAAAGCATGGATGATAGCAAGTAATTCGCGATCATAGATCTGGTAATTACGTTCAGTGGGGTTAAAGGATTGAGACAGAAATGAACATGGGAGCCAGTCTCCGTTATCGTTTTTCTGAAGAAGCACTGCTCCTGTGGTGTAAAGCGATGCATCGGTAGCAATCGCGAAGGGGGAATTCTTGTTGGGTATTTGGAGAATAGGAGAGGAGGTAAAGATATGCTTCAGCTTATTGAAAGCTTCCTTGTGTTCTAAGGTCCAAGAGAATTCTTTGTCTTTCTTGGTCAGGTCGATTAGGGGTCTAGCAATTGAAGAATAGTCAGCAATAAACCGTCGGTAAAAATTAGCGAATCTGAGGAATGATCGGACTTCCTTCACTTTCATGGGAGTCTTCCATTCAGATATACCTTTTAATTTCGCTGGGTCCATAGCGATAGAGCCGGGTTTGATGATCATGCCGAGATATTCGATGTCGGTTACATTGAAGGTGCATTTTTCGGGTTTAAGGTGGAGGAGGTTGTCGCGAAGTCGTTGAAGTACCTTGTGAGTATGAATTTGGTGGGTTTCATTGTCTTTGGAGAAGATCAGTATATTGTTCATATATATGATAATCCATCCCTCCTGGATCATGTCTCTGAACAGGTCGTTCATCATGGACTGAAAGGTAGTGGGTGAATTACACATTCCGAAGAACATGACCATAGGTTTGAAAAGTCCTCGGGAAGTGGCAAAAGCCGCCTTCCATTGATCAGTTTTTCTCATGCATACGTTATTATATCCCCATCGAATGTCCATCTTGGTAAAGATCTTGGCGTCCTTTAGCTTATCTATTAGGTCAGAGATTAGCGGTAAGGGGTAGTTATTCTTAACCATGTGTTCATTCAAGTAGTGATAGTCCTGGCAAGGTCGGAGGGAACCGTCTTTCTTCCCGATGAAGAAGAATGGGGAGGATTGAG